CCTCTATACATGAAATCATTATCAAGGAACCACATCAATAGAGCTTTCTATTATTTCCTTTCTTTTTTTCTTTTCACAAGATTCAATATGTATTGGAATAACCGTTTGTGATTTATAGCTTACAGCAATCACTAATTCAAAAGCTTCATACGTTACAATTTTTGGCCTTGCAATACTAGTCGAACTCAATCCTCCACGACTCATAGCGAAGGATGTGAATTGGCTTGATACCAAGTATCCACTCTCTCTACCATGTGCTTTATACTCATCTTGTGGATGAGGTGAAGAATTAGGTAAACTAGTAACGGAATTGACAGATCCCCGAATCGATAATCCACCCACATTGCCATTGAAATTATCGCTTTGAGACTGACTGCTTCCTGAAGAAGCTGAGTTGGAAATAGTACTATTAGGTGTTGTCGGTTGTTTTATTCTTATTACTGGTCGCGGAATAATAGGTTTCGTTGGAGTAGGTGAAGGACTGGGCTTCAGAGGTTTCATGAGTGTAGATGTCAATGGTTGTGTTTCTGACTTCTCTCTCTTATCTGATATTTGCTTATCGAAATTTGATTTGAGCCATACTACATCTAAAGCAATAGTTCAAGTTTCTTACAATCAAGTGACAATGAATCACCAATCAGTAATGATTGAATTGAAGTACTAATCTTCAATGGTTCTTTTTTACTGGATAGGGTAACAATCCAATTCGTTATTACTCCCAGACTCGCACTATTTCCAGTAGTAATCTAGAATAAATTCCAAAAAGGAATCAGCATACTTTCCAATGTTCTTTCATGTAATCTTCAATCGTAACTTTAGCATCCAATTCATACTCCTTAGTAACACCATTAATCCTATCAACAATCACAATATGCTTTTTAGGAAGTCTGCCATTTTGACATACTACAATTTACGAATAGAACATACAAATACTTATCAACCGGTCTTCATTCTGAATTCCCTGAGAAGATAGTGATTGCTCTAAGTTGAGAACTCCATGACGACTGTGATAAAGGCAAAATTCAGATGGATCTTTGTTTGCATATTGCAGCAACTCTCCAGCCTTACCACTGACAAGAACACATAGTGAATAAGTCGATTTCGAGTCATCATCAACGACTGAAACCGTAATAGTCTTTTCCTCTGATGAATGTACTATTCATGAGTAGAGTATAGCTATTTTACGAGTTAAATCAAGAGAAGTAGATATGACATTTTTCAAAACGATTGAAGAGTTTGTTTTCGTTAGGTAACAGGGTTCGATAATCTCAGATCCCACTACAGTGGAAACAATCTGCTCAACAGAAATGGATTTTCCAAACTTTAGGACATGTGGTTCATTATTGCCTTCTACAAATACTCGTACCTTATGAACAAGTATGCATTCAAAATAGTAAGACGATAAATGCAATTCGCCGATTTGTTTCGATTCATCTAGTTCATTATCTTTATGGCTCAAGTAATAATTTGAGAGTTCTTCCGAAGTAGGCTCATGGCCGCACAGTTTGGTCAAAAAATACTTTTTTATGTTTCTAAGGCGGACGTTTCTTTTTAAACTTAATGATTGTTTTTTAGTATTCATTGCAATGGTTAGAACGATATTGGGGCTTTCGACAGGCAAGTCCTCTTCGTTTTCCTGTTTTTCTGTCTTTGAATTCGATTTCGGTACTATTTATTAGAGATTGAGCGTAGCCTTACATTTCTCACTAGAATATGTGGTGTTAAAAGTTTGATTTCCCTCTGTAAGGTCATTCCTTATCATATCACTCTACCTTTCTTTTCTTCTAGATATATTACATCTGGAACTCCATGAAGTGGAAACTGGTAGGCAACAGAAAGAAACTGATTCTTTAGAATGAGGCGATATTTATCAATATCGGTAGTTGGTAAGCCCAACTCCTTTAGAAGGCCAGTAAGAAATATTTTATACGAGATATTGGTGTAATGTCGAAAGCAGCGTTTTTTACCGCTCCATACTACATTGTATGTATAGACATTACGAATATGCACTGTATCTCCAGAATGGCATTGCGATAGAAGAGGTTTATGCTTTTCTAGAGATATGCTGTGATAATGGAAAAAAGAAGTTTCAACGCTGATAGAATAATCTCTCTATTGGTTATTTTGCGCAATAAAAAGAATACTTCAATGAATTCACTTAAGCCAATTAGACTCGTATTATTATCAATAGTATATGAAATGGTTCTTTGACCATCTGATAGCCAAATATTCATATTATAATAAAAATGGATTTAACAATGAGCTGTTTTAAAAACTATTCAATTAGCGACGATTTGTTTTCTTTGAATGGCAAATTATGATGAAAAGTGTTATAATCATAGGAGTGGGATGATTTAATTCGAACTAGTGACTCTCAGTACTCATTTTCGTCATGCACTTTAAAAATGCAATTTGAAAAGTTGTGGAAAGACTATGATTAAAAAAACGTTGAAAATAACAAAATCGATTCTGTTCTAGTATTGCTATGGCATGTTGCTTTTCCAAACAAATCAATGATATTAAACAGACAGAACTACTTAAACTAGCAGGAGAATATTGCATTGAGTAACAGTTCGCAGCACATGTTACAGCAGGCATTACATAAACCAGTACAAATTGCATCACCACAGCGTAAGCAACAATTTTCACAATCACAGCAATCCTTACAATCACAACCAGCCTCTCCACTATTATGACTCGCCGTTTTGTCAATATCATCATTATCATCACCATCCATGCAACATGGGCAAAAACATACAGGGCATCCGCTTACACCCATGCAACAAATAGGATTAAAGCGTATATTACATTGATGGTCATCCTTACATGTAGAAAGGAAGATCGTTTTTAGTATGACAGTAACAATGCATATTAGTAAAACATAGTAAATAGTCACGTAAAGAAATGTGGAGTCATCATCAATAGAGTCAGCAGAACCAGTGTTGACCAATGAACGCCTTAGTTTATATGTGGGTTGGATAATAGAGTTGTTCATCAGATAGAGTCCCACATGAACAATATCCGGCTGGGATAATGTATAGATGACATAATTATGATCGCTGAGTAATTTGCAATATGCATCTTCTGATTTGTACTTGATTATTCTACATCACACTCGATTCCTATGATTACTCGGTTTCTACTGGTTTCAATCTATTCTCCTGCTGGAGTACATAGTAGCAAATGCGAGTCAAATAAAATGGTTGAGAACATTGCGAGAGAATTGCATTCCATGTGCCTCCATTCTGTTCACATAGCTGAATACTTAATGACCTGCATATTAATATGAGCAAAATGTGTTACAGATCCTTTAAACCGTTCAAATTCGTCGAGAATGATACCAATTGGCTCCTTGTAGCGTATGCCTTCTCAAACAGAATGGCGCTACAAGTAGAAATGGTAATGCTAGTAGATAACTCAAAAGGGATGCCGCCAGAGAAATATGTTACATTATGGATATTATTATGTAGGTTTTTGCCTTTTTCCTCCACTGTCAAGGAATTGAGACCCCCTTCCATTGGCTGGCCATTTATGGCTAATACACATTCTTTAGATTGCTCCAGATCTATATACTTCCAGTTTTTGTTAGAATGCTCTGTTCTAAAAGAAACTGTGTTGTAAAAATACTACCTTTCTTTACCATAATCTGTGATACTCGATTCAACACAAATTGTCACTAATAATGTTACAATAAGAATCATTCAAAAATGTATTATTGGTAAGATTAGTTTTGTTAATGCTTGTCGCGGTTTTTTCCAACTATTATTAGGCTTTCCTACCATCGATTGTTGTAGATTCTATAAGTAGATAATTAATACCATACATGGATTGAAAAATAGACATTGTTGAGGAGTAGGGATGCTGTGAACTATTACTTTTTATCAATATTTCGTATGGGAAGTGTAAATTATAATCTCGTAAATTCGTGATACCTACATTTTGTTTATGCTGTTCAACGAATCGTTTTTTGCTGCTTATTCTCAGTGTTTTCATGGTGATCCACAACTCTATTTCAACATTATAAAGAATCCTAAGGTACTCTCACCTCTTCGCCGCATTAGTAGATTGACCCTAATTGCATAGCTGTTTCCGTTAATAATTGCATACTCTCAAGCTGTATTGATGGAAAACTGTCTGTTCGAGATTGCATTAAGAATCTGTCTTTGGTGATGAGTCGCTGTTCTTCAGTACTATTTGTTTTTAATTTTTATAAAGAAATTGCCTGAAAATACGTTTCATTCGCTAATTATCGCATATAACTTGGTATTCTACCTATTTACTGCTTCCATTTATAGATATATCTCTATTGCAAAGATAGGGACTATGATAGTGCGCTTTCAGTGTTTGAACAGTTTTCACCGCTTTTTGATTCATCTTCTGAAGCTCAAATCTGTTTTAAAATCCAAAAAATCCTTGTTCTTTTCGATCTGTACTATCAGAATAACCACTCCCTCGAAGTAGGTTCATTCCCCTTTCCTAACCATACTCAGTGGCTTCAGACGTCCGTACTTCCGCTCCTCGCCGATATTTCCAAGCTCCGCTCCACGCTCTCCTTGCCGCCGTCCTTTCAACACCTCCTTGCCTATCAATCCAGTCTCCTCAACATTCTTTTTAATCTGGAGTCTTTCTCCGCCAAAAGCATCAAACGCCACTTAGCCTCCCTCGCTCAAGAGACCAATCAAAACGATCTCATCCCCTCCACCTTCCTCAGCGATCTTCGATCCCTCCTTCTATCGAATTCCGCGTCGCCTTCCCTCTTTTTTCTCCCTTTTCTCCCTCTCCGCGCGCCCTTCTTCATCCCTCCCGCGGTTCTCGCAGGGTTCCTCGAGTTTCGAAGGGGAAACTACGACCGCGTGCTCGCGATTTGCGCGGCACTCCGATTTCCCGCCGCCCACACAACGAAGCCGTTGGCTTTTTTGACCTCGCTCCTCGGGTCGAATTCGAAGAACGATTCGAATTCGAAGAATGGTTCGAATTGTGTTTCGTCGAATTCGAAGAACATGCTCGAATTCTCGTCGCAGGCTTGCGTTCGCTCGCTTCTTGGAAGTAGCGAGTTCGCGCTCGGCCATTTCGAAACGGCCGTGTATTATTACCAGGCCATCGAACCGCGGGAACTCAGCCATCCCGAATCCATTGACAAAATTCTGGGGATTTTTTGGATTTCCCTAAATCGGCCAGAAATCGCGTTCCAGTATTTGGAACGAGCGACGCGGTCGCTTTCGAAACATCCGTCGGTTTGGTTTTATTCTTCGCTGGCACTCTTCCAAATGGGCGAAGTAAAAACCCGATCACTCGCACTTGAATATCTCGATAAGTGCGTAGAAACTGCAACAGCAAAAAAGGATATCGAATGGAACTATTGGGCGGATTTGCTTCGCGCGATGATTTTTGAATCGCAAATGAAAACGAGGAAAGTCATCGAGGCGATCGAACACGCGGAGCTCATCGAGAAAGAGAATTCCACGTTTCCACGATGTAGCGAGGAGTCGAAACGATTCGCGGCGATCCTCAAAGCTGAATCCTATTTGCAGCTCGACCAGCCCGAAGTAGAGAATCGAAATGTGTTGGCTGACACGCAGAAAGCGATGGAAGCGATCCATCCGAAAGCAAAAGCGTTTCTTTATCCCCAGTCCATTCGAAACGCCATTCAAACAAGGGATTGGAAAGCAGTTGAGCCCTTCAACCCATCAGACACATCAGACACATCAGACACATCAGACACATCAGACACATCAAACAACGCGAATCGAGTGGAAGAGCTTCTCTCTCTGCTGACCACCGTGCGATTCATCGAGTTGCATCACAACTAGATCTCGCTCGAAACGCAGGACATCCAAAACGCCGTTCTCTTCGCCGAAATCCTCCATCGAATCGCTCCTTCCTCCGCCTCGCGCAGTCGACTCATCCAAACTCTCTCCATCCAGGGCGATCGCTCGCGTCTCCGCGAAGTCTACGCCTCTCTCTCCCTTTCCTCTGTTTCCAACAAACACTCCACAAATCATCTTCCTCCATGAACACATCCAGCTTCTTCCCTTCCACCTGCTTCTTCAGCTCCTTCATCTTCTCCTTCACCCACGGATCGCTCTGCTCCACCAGCCGATCCACCACCTCCCCATTCGCATACGTAATCGCCACCAACTCCACGTTCGCCTTCCCCTTCCCCTCCTTCAGCCCCAGCAGCACATTCACGATCGCCTTCTGGTTCTCCTTCGCCTCCAGCGCGTACTGCAGCGCCGTTCTTCCTTCGCAATCCGCCGTCATTTCGCTCACACGGCAGCGCAGCAGACTCACCACCAACGACTTCATTCCTTCTCGCGCCGCCAGCATCAGCGCCGTCTGCCCCTTGTGGTTCACCGCGCCCGGACACGCACTATTCAGAATCGCCCCGATTTCTGGAAGTACTAATAAACGCGGGTTCGATTTGGACCCACGCGGCTGTACGACAGAAACAGCACCGCGATCGATTCTTGCCGCTCCTGGATCGCCACCATCAGCGGAGTGTCCCCGTGGTTATTCCGGACGTCCAGCAACGACCCGGACTGCATGAGTTTGTGGACCATTTTTTCGTCGTGCGAATGAATCGCGGAAAAAAGGGGCGTTTCGCCGAACTCGTCGGCCATCGATAAGAACTACGATCAACGCGTTCCCGCGGCCAAACATTGGGGAAATCCTGCTTTCGCGGCATTCCGTTCATGATGACGTTGAGATACTGCGGGTCTCCGCACATAGCGGTGTAATGAAGCACATTTCTATCTCAAACAGAAAACAAGGCAATACTTGCGCGGCGTGTCGGTGGTTTCTATGAACGTGTGTTCCTCGTGCAATCGCACCAAAAACTCGTATGTCGGGCGAAAACGGCAGATGAACGCGATTGTGAGTGGGTTGAATCCCTATTTCCTAGGCTGGACGCTGCACTACGTTGAACTCCCAGAGATCGCCGCGGTTGTCGACGTCGATCGCGCGCTTTAGGAGAGGAACGTCGTTAATGATGGCTGCCATGTGCATGAGGGGAGGGCGACTGCCGAAAGGCTTGCGGAGAGAGTAGGGAATGAAGAGTATGTTTACGGTGAGGGTGGCGATTTGAGTTTGGTTGCTTTGATAAAGAGGAATGCTCATGATGAGGAAGGAGCGAGACGTACGTGAGTCGTTGGAATGGAAGTGTGTAGGCAATCGCCTGCTCTTTCGTGAGAAAGGACACGGAGGGAGTAAACTCGGTTTGCTCAGTTAATGCAGCATATTGGTCTCCCTGCTTCCCTTGCCGTTCTTCCATCCACTTCTTATAAATGCAATTTAACAGCCGGAAAGAGCCCGTGGCTGCCACTTGGGGTTTTCGTAGTGTACGCTTTCGTTTTAACGATATATTTATGTTTGTATTTCCGTAGTACACAATTCCGTCAAATATAAACGATTTATCGATTTTAGTTCCCATCGGCACAGCTTTGTCTACACTCAATTTACTACATGAATTCTACTCGGCTGGCGTTCACGATCCCAAACCCGAATGTTCACATAATATTTGCTTGAATCTAATGTCGAGTTACAGTCGTGTTAGCACTACTTTCATCATCTTTACACGCAGAATCCAGGGAAACCACTAGAATGAATTCTAAGCAGGCAAACTCACGTTTTACATATAACATACCGCACCCATCGCCATAAGACGATGCACTAGGCGTAACCATAAGTTATTATGAATGATATGCAAAAAACAAGGAATGAATATTGATTTGTACAAGTATTTTCCTGCTATAAACTGTATAAATGAACTTTGACTATTCTAAGCTATTTCAATGATCGTAGAATATGTGAAATGAACGTTGTACACACGTTTGTCGAGGAACCTATATCAATACTGTTAAAACATGCTTTGGATGTTTGGTCGATGCTGTATTTGCTTACTATTATGCCGTATATTGAAACACAAAAAGCACTCACTTGAATGGTTTTCTCAGGTTCATTAAGTTTTGATCATCTATCTCAAGTACATCACATCATTTAGAGCTTGCAGTTTACTACCACATCCATTCTACAATCATCATTAATCTCTCCTTCCATTTCGTCTCTTCCTCATCTACCACACACACACACACGATTTTCTTCAACAAACACTTTCAAAATCCTCAAAAGTCGTTTCCCATCGAGAAGATCTCCTTACAGTCCTCCCTACCATCAATCCCTTCCATCTTCCCCACTTCACTAAAAGCGTGTGCTCCAACTGCGACGAATAACTCCCCACAATATCGCACAATGGCGGATAGTCCTCCACCACTCCCTTCCTCACCAGCTCATTCAGCGTGTCGATGCATTTCCTCTGTCTTCCTCGCAGCCCATTCACCGCAAACGACCCTCCATCCTCGCGATCCAGCCACCGCCGACAGAACGGCAGCGTGTCGAACGTCCGCTTCACATGGGAGAAAAGTCGCACTTCCGGCTCGGTTCTACCATTCGAAACCGCTTCATTCGATGTCTACAGCACTGGATACTCGCTCATCGCATTCAACGCGTAGTGTGACGTCATTCCTGACTCCTTCGCGACTCCTTTGCCCGTACTGGCGAACGTCTCGATCGCGAAGATCTCGCCTTCCTCCATTCTCTCCGCGGTGTCCTCGTAGATCAGCGGAATTCCTTTCGAACCGTGGATCGAACCCTTCACTATCGAGTGGCCCGACAGGTTGCGGATCGGAACGACTACATCAAACGTGGAAACCGTGGAAACTCGGGTAGGTTCGACCGTAGATTTCGACCTCGTAGGACGTGATGATTTCTTCGATTTGGCCGCCCAATTCGCCGAGACGCGCGTCGACGCCTGCGCTGCGGATCGCTTTGTAGGTCGCCTCGCGTGTGGCTTCGAGAAGAGGATCAAACTGCGGGTCGAACGCCACCGTGAACGCGCAGTCGATGATGTGCCCTGCATTACACTCCCCTCCTGGTTCTACCGTTTACTTCCGTCCCGAAGTCCAGCTTCACCACGTCGTGGTACTGGAGAACCGTGGAATCGCCTGGGTTCGGCGTGTAGTGTGCCGCGACGTGATTCGGAGAGACGCCTGTGGGGAACCCCATTCCCGCCTAAATCTGACGGAGGCGAAGAAAAGGGAAACCGAGGGACCGTTCTCGCCGATCAGAAGACGCACCTTGTCTTCGAGATCGCAGCAGATGTCCCAGTAGCGCATGCCGGGACGGATCTTCGACTGCACGTAGCTGCGAACTTCCTTGTGCACCTCGCCGGCCTTGCGAAGGGACGTTTCGATTTCATGGAGGTCGGTGTTCGCGAGGCGTTCTTCCGTTTTTGAGACACGCTGTCGTGTGTCTGTCTCCACATAATACTCAAACTTGCCCTCGGGGAACCCGCTCGGGAAAATGGAATCGACCTTGGATAGAAATGAACCAATCAGCTCTACGGGGACTGTTAGATCGTCTGTCTGCTTTTCCGCAGGAATATTGCTCGCGTGGTGAATCACGCGAAGAATGGAAGTGGCTTCACGGTGAGTCGCTTGCGAAATGGTTTACGTAGAGGTCTGGGGTCGTCCGCAGCGGTGGGTGCATGGGAATTCGACTTGTCTTCCCATTGAGGATTCTCAGTCGAGTTTTGTACATCCATGTCGGTTTCTGGGTTGGAGGTGTTTTCTTGCTGCAGGTGCGGTCGTTTAGCTGGGCTGTGCATGGGTTTTATTGTTTGTTCATGATGAGCTAAGGAAAATTCCTCTAGAATCGATGGATGGAAAAAGTCGATCTCCCACAGTAGATCTAAAATAGGTGACTGTCAATATGATTAAGAAGTATCACAATGATATATATATATATATAGGAATAATACTGGATTGCAGAATCCAGTTTAGTGAGAACCAGTTCTCATAAAATATTATTAAATCATCATGCACCCTTTGGATAAAAATGTTATAGACGCCCACTGTGCTATGGCTTCTGACAGAATTGGATTTGTATATTCGAAATGGTTCCAATGAGGTATAGAGACAGAGAGCGCTCAACGGAAAGATTTTAACTATGAGCAAGGATATTGCTAAGAAATATCAGAACGGAGATATTGAATTGGCCCAGATTGCCGTTCGTGTGTTTTCGTTTTCTCATATTTAGACGGAAGGTATTATCAACCTCAAGAAGACAGTGGCTGCCCTTGAAATCCTAAACCTGTATATTCAAACTTTTAAAACCCGTGTGGACTCTCTTAACTATGAGGAGAAGGTCCCTGCTAATATGAGAAAGTATATAGCTTCTATTCTGTTCTGTGACGGACGTGTTGAGATTAAAGAGTTGAGTACAATTTGTGCTCAGATCCGCCGACGCTATGGCGCCGCGCTCAGCGATCTAGCGGAGGATGTGGATCCCCGCATTTCTTCGCGTCTCACCCCGTGCATCCCGAATCCGAGCGACGTCTCCGAGACGCTTCAGGACATTCTCCGCAAGAACGGCGTGTCCTTCCAGAGCCTGGAGCCGGAGGTGAACCCCTTCACGCAGTTCATCACGGAGAGCATCAACAACCCCGCTGGTGCGACTCCTTCGCTCCCGCAGCCGCCGGCTCCCGGCCCCCTGCCCCCCGCCTTCCCTGGCGTCCCTGGCGTCCCTGGCGTCCCTAGCGTCCCTAGTGTGCCTGGTGTGCCCAGCGTGCCTAACGTGCCTAACGTGCCTGGCGTGGCGGATGTGCCCAGCTCGCCTGGTGTGCCCAGCGCGTTCCCCATGATGCCGTCCGACCCGGCGATCCCCCCGCTGCCCTCGGACCCCTTGACCCCGCCCAGCGGGTTTGGAGCCATGGCTGGCGAGCCCGGCACGCCGCACGGAGCCTTCCCGCCGATGCCTCCCAGCGTGCCAAGTGTGCCAAATGTGCCCAGCATGCCAAATGACCCCAGTGGAATGAGTGGAATGGGAGGAATGAACGCGTTCCCGACGATGCAGCCCACCATGCCGAAGCCGTTCCCTGCTGTCCAGATGCCCTTCTCGATGGAGGCACCGAACCAGCCCGGCATGGATGGCCGATCCGATGCGGACGATTATATGAAAAAGCTGAATAGTTTTAAGTAATACTGCAGTGTGTGGATTGTGTTTGTTGAACACAGGGAAACGAAACCAAGCTACGATTGACTCAAGCATGCTTCGGTCCAGCGGAACTCGTTCTTGCAACTCTTCGAAAGAGGCTTGCATCACTGCCGACAGCGAGCCTGGGTCGAAAGCACAGATGGAACTTACCCATACAGTCCAGAAGAATGCTGCACTGGCTCTCGAGGAGAGGCTGGGGAAGCGGGAGACATGATAGGAGATGAGTTTGCATTTCTTCGCTGAAGTGAGAATCGACTTTCTAATGATAGCCGCGAATTGAAGTCTCTACTCTCTGGCAATACTGAGAAACGGTCTCAAATCGGTCAGAATTCAGAGCTGTGGAAAATTGAATCTACTTGACACAAAGTAATATTCGGCACCATGTACTGCATCGCCTGCTCCATGGAAGAAGCAAAAATGAACTTGGGGTCTTCATACTTCTCTCTAGATAGGAGAAACATTTCACACAGCCAACTCTATCGCCTCGATAAGCTTCCAGGAGATCTGCTTCCCGATATATACAAAGAACGCATTCTTAAAAGTCGATATAAATTTGTCAATAGTCTCTTCAGTCAGATCACGTCGATGAAGAAACAGGTATGCCACAGACGTTGTCTCATAGATCAAGATATCCTATAGGCTGAGAATTACAGAGATTGCAAACTGCAAGCAATGCATTTGCTCGCTCGCCTCTCACTTTGACCCCTAACTGCTGAAAGAGAGAGATACACTCTAGCTGGTATTCGGAATTTCTCACAATTGCCACTTGCTCACCCATTTTTTCAGCAACCGACACTTGGAGGGAAAAGTTGATATTTCAAAAAAACATTCAAATATCTTATTTTCAAATAACTCCTGTATACATATCTTCCCCAATATCTCCATAATATTCTCTAAACATCACGAGAGTCACGCAAAGCGACCTGGATTTTATGATACCCGAATCCCCAGAGTATTCCAGACAAGTGAGCAACATTATCGAATGGCGAATTCCGGAATAAAGAAATTATCTCAAATATGCACACGCATAGAAGGGCACTGTCTATATCATGAAAGAACTATACCAATAACAAACAAGCATTGATGGAGAAGAAGGGGAAAAAAATGGCCGTAAGCTGCAAAGAAGGATTGATTACGGCAGCGAGCGCTGTAACTGCATAAACAGCTCCTGAGGCTCCCAAAGAGGAAACGGCGGATCGTAATCGAACACATCTCCAGATCCAAGAGCAGTACGACGAGAAGAAGCAGGAAGACAAGTAGAAGAACATAAAATGATCCGTCCCCAGCTTATTACGAACGAGGGGCGCGAAGGACAACAGGCCGATCATATTAGCGGCAATATGCCATGCTTCCATATGTGAAAAGGTGCAGAACTGGCTCGTGAATTGATCAACAAAAACAAAACGAAGATGGATGTGACACTCGATGAGCGAGGGCAGCAGAGGAAATAGCGCTGCATTACCGAAGACAAGCGGGGAACTCTCCAGAGAGAGAACACGAGCAGGTTCAATGCAACGATAGGACCAAGAGCGACATAGTTTTGATTGACGTTTTGCAGATAATAGCGGAAGCGAGACAAAAGAGCTGATGTGTTAATTTGTGAAAGGAAGCAAAAACATACATGGCTTCTTCCCACCTCTTCTCGTATTCTGAATTCGAATGTTTACTGCATTCACCCGCTTTGTTTTCTCCCACAACATATCGAAACTATCACTCAAACGCACACGCCGAGCCTACTTTCGAATGTCCTTTATCGATGCACCAGAGAATTGGTATGGATACTTGTGTATGGCGTGGTCAATGCGTATTACTCTGTTAAGAATGAAGATTGTGTAAAGTCCTACAACATAGTCCTCACAAGCATGCAATATACCTCCTATACCTCCAACAGTGAATAAGGTAGGTTTTATATACATGTTCCACGCGTCTGAAGTCCATACATTTTGATATACGGAGCTTCGGCTCCGCATTCCCCTCACAAACATCGAGCCACGGCTCCCCATCAAGTGGCTTCGCATAAGCAAGGCATTTGAAGAACGGGTGAAACTAAGTACTTTCAACGTAGCAATACTCATTTGAATTGTGCTGGAAAATTAGTACAGCTGATTATTTCTATAAAGCAAGACTCAAACAGGTAAAACTAAAAACAACCTGACATTTACACTGAAGATATCAATTGTTTTTTCCTAACTTTTATGCATTTGGGAAATGAACAAAAAGTAGAAATTGATGATCCATAGTAAGTTCGCTCAAGGACAAGTGTTTGTTTGAAACAGAAATGTAGATTCCATTATGATTGGTTCTTCACATTATTGATTTCAAAGCACGCGAAATGGTCGAGTAAATAGATAAATGGTGGTAACAAGACAATGCTTAGATTTGGTTTTCCGCCAGTCGGCAAAAAACGAAAATTCCCGTTTGTCCACCTGCCTGAGACAACACAAATTATTACTTTTCTACGGGAAGCTTTCTTTGACCACGCAGCGTGTTTAGCATCTGATTTTGTGCTTTGAACTCTTATGGACAGTAATAATTCAAAGCTTACAGATAATGAGCCTCCAAGTATATACCAATATTTCGAGTGTATCTTACAGCTAGGAATGACATCTCGAATTTATCGCAAGCAGCCAGTACTGATGCAAACAAGGCAACCATCACACTTGAACCAGCAAGACCCGAAGTCTATCCAGGTCCTAATTCCTCTGTATCCTGGGTGGGAAACGGCTACTATCCGATGACACCCTATGTTGCCTTCCAGCCATACTGTGCATCCTACACAGTTTTATATGGCGGTAGTGTTCCTTACACGGCAAATTCGGTAGTCTTAAATGGATCCTACCAGGGACAACTTCCAGCCCCTGGTGTTGGTCCGCCCTTTGTTAGTAGCGCATTTCCTGTATATAATTCTATCCCAACGAATTATCCATACGTTTTTCCGACTGGGCAGTTTTCAGCTCCCCCTTTTTTCGGTTATCCAGGGTACGACCATGTTGAGCAAACCCAGCAAAACGTTCCTTACACTTCCTTATCTTTTCTTCCCCCACCCCTTCACTCAATCACTCCCTCGATGCTGCCATCAGCATCTCCCTCGGCTCCTCTGCCCGTTCCCCTTTCCGTTCCCGTTCCATCGCATCCAGCAGCGAACCCTTCGCGTGCTCCCGTGTTTTGTCCATCGTGCAGGACGCTCTCCTACCAGGATCCGAGCTTGCCGGGCTCGTTTGTCTGTCCGACGTGCGATCGCCGGCTGTTTTCCGAGGGAGCGACCGACAAACCGCGCGCGGCCGAGCTGGAAAGCGAAGCCAAGCGCGTGCAGACGATGGAGCAAGGCTTGAGGCCGTTGAAGACGAACTTGAACCAGATGAACTCGATGAATGGAATGAATTCAACGAACTCAATGAACTCGATGAATGGAATAAACTCAATGAACGCATTGAACTCAATGAATGGAATGAATGGAATGAATTCAACGAACTCAATGAACTCGATGAATGGAATAAACTCAATGAACGCATTGAACTCAATGAATGGAATAAACTCAATGAGTTCAACGAACGCATTGAATGGAATGAACTCAACGAACTCAATGAATGGAATGAACGCATTGAACTCAATGAGCGGCATGAGAGGAGTAAACACAATCAGTAATATGAAAGGAATGAATCCTTTGAGCGGAGAGCGTCTTGATCTCTATGAGCGTCGCGATCTTTTCGCTCCTCCTGGCCGATTGGACCCTCCGCTCAGCACTTCCAGCGCCTTTCCTCGCTCCTCGTTCTCCCACGTCGCCCACGTTCCAATGGTCCCCATCATTCCGAACCACCCGAACGCATTGACCTCGCCCATCTCCTCCGCCTCCATTCTCCACGACGTCAAGCTGGTGCTCAACAGCCTGCTCGCGCGCGTGGAGAAGATCGTCCTCAAAGAGGAGCGGCAAATCCAGGAGGACGTGCAGACCATCATGTCCAATCTGCTCACGCGCGTCGAGCAATACACGGCCGGCCACCTCCACTGCTGCTGCTTCCAGCCGTCCTTCGTGCAGCGGCATTTCATTCAGTGCAACAAATGCGATGTCTGGTACCACACCAGCTGCGTGGGCGTCGATTCGCGCAAGCTCGGGCTCATCGAGGACTTTTTGTGTCCCTGGTGCGACACCGACCACACCATGAAACTCCAGTTCGAAAAGCTCGCCGAGGAGCAGCCGGCGATTTGTCCGCTCTGCAAGCGCCAGTTCCCGCGGCCGTGCAATCTCTCTCGCCACTTGCACTCGCGGCATGGAATGAAATGGTCGCTCCACATGCAGCTGCACGTGGATTTGGACGAATATCTCGACCAGGATTTGCCGCTCTGCGCGAACGCGAGTTCCCCCGCGCGGCCTCTCTGCGAAGGCTGCTTTTTTCGAGAGAACGAAGACGTTCTGAAGCGGTTTCCGATGGACAAAAAGCGACTGCGCTTTCTGCTGCGGAAGCTGCGCGCGAAGCCGATTCAGTGGTGGGTGAATCGCTCGATTTTGGTGCGGAAAGACGGGGAGTTTGTGAAGGGAACGATTTGCGGACTTCGTCCGAGAGGCGAAGTGAATGTGCGAATCGACGAGTCAGTGAGTCTGTTCGGCCCGCTGTTCAATGGGAATCAGAACGCGCGGATCCCCATTCTCGGGTTTACCTACGAGTTGGAGCTGTGGCGAGCGGTTCCCTACGACCAGCCTCGCGATAGCAAGCGCGATATCAAGCTGTTTCTTCGCCGCTCTTGTTTTGTTTGTTAACAAACACGCCATTGCGCATGCAATTTCTTCCGTCGTCGTTGCAACCCCAGCATTCTCCTCCTCCAAGCTCCTTGTGTTCCTTGTGTTCCCTGTGTTCCTTGTGCTCCTTGTGTTCCTTGTGCTCCCTGTGTTGACTGGGATGAGTCGGAGCGAATCGCTGTGGATTGGGGCGGCGAGAAGTAAAAAATGACGCGCAGCGTGAACACTGCGAGACAGAGCGTGAGCGAAATCGACAGGAAGAAGCGAGACACGCGAGGGAGGCGCATGAAAGCGTGGAACAGTCGCTTCAGCGTGTAGCGCAGCGTGGAATACACCACCGGCGTGATTTCATCTAGTTTCCACGTTTCTACGTTTCCTACTCCGCTGAATGCGCGTCAAATAGCGATGAATGGCGCTCTGCGCAATGGAGACGGGCGCGAAATACTTCCCAGTCTATTCGTGATCGGGTTTTTTTCTCTTCTCCAACTCGCTCGTGAATGACCAAAGCGCAGGGAAGTCGTTCTGTCGTCACGCCATAATACCGCAGATATTCGTCCCACTCGTTTCCATCCAGATACGCAAACGCAAACTCGCGTTTCAGCTTCAATTCATTCCGATTCGAACGAATCTACCGAAACGGGCAGCGATCGCACCACCTGCTTCAAGTGCGCGATTTGTTCGTTATCGATCAGCGCGGCGGAGTCCAACGCGAACAGGAGCGTGCGTTTCCCGCTCCGAACGATGTCGTTGTAGGCGCGACCGCGGTATTCGGGGAGCAATGGAAGAGAAAGAGATCGAATCCAGTTGAAGAGCTCGTCGCGCGTGACGTTCTGGCTGCGGTAATAGAGAGGATCTTCGTCGCCTTCGATGCGAACGACGTAGGGAGGCTGGATGGGAGGGAGGATCTGTAAGGGATCGTGCGTAGCACCGAATGTCTGTGGGTTGAAAAAAGGGAAGAGAAAGGAAACGGCGTAGAGGAGGAGATATTGAGAGACGTTTTGGAAGTGGGAGTAAAGCTGCTCTCCGAAAGGAGAACTGTCCTATGGATCGATGGAGAGAGAGAAAAAAAGCGCACGTAAACGCATAAAAAAACGACTTGTGAAGAGTGAATAAAGGAAGTGTAGGTGGCGTCATCCGATATCATTGTAATCGATTCCGCTGCTTGTCAAAACAGAGATCAATGCGTTACGATTCAAAGAATCACACATTTCAATGAGAGAGCGAAGCGATGTCCTTCCAAAATAGTCATGGACATAGTTACTAATTACATATTTGATAGTAGGAAAATAGTGCACTTGATACTTGTCACAAAGTGCCTTTTCCTTTGTACAATCCACATACCCTATTATCAAACTACCGTTATATTTTGCAGCCAGGTAATCGATGTTTGTATTCATCTCATCTCGCTTCTCAAAAGGGGTCTTTCCATGAATCGTGAGAAACCAAGTCATACGTCCTTAAAGAATAACACCCACTTCCCTTCACTTATTTGTTTATCAAATATGTCTTCTCGAAGTTGAATTACGTACGTTTCTATAAGGAAGGGTCAGATCCTAGACGATACCCGTTAGGAAGGCGTAACTAACCAATTGTAAAAGAATCCAATAGAGAATATGTAAACTCCTTGGAAACATAGCGCTTTTTGTGACTTCTAAAAGCTTTGTTGGTTGAGCAACGATTCTGTCATATCAAGGATAGTAAAATAGAATCGATTTTCTATATGCTAAAAATGTTTGTTTGACCTAGGAATGAAATGAGTTGATAGCAATTGTTTCTAAGATGCAGGAAGCGACCTATCGATTCAAACTGTCTACTATCAACGAGAAAGTCTTGTAAACCCACCTGTTCACCTCTTGAAGCTCCCTCCGCCGCATAATCCCTCCTATCCAACCTTCTGTCCTTACCACATAGTAATAAACCACAAAAAGTCAACGATTTCCAACAAACAAGCATGATTGATAACGATGAAAACAGCTCTTGTCATGCGAATTACCAGTCGTCGTCGTCATCACCGAACAGACCGCCTCCGCTCATATCGATGTCTTCCTCTTCCTCCTCTTCCTCTTCCTTGGCCTCTTCCTTCTTCTCCTCAGCAGCGGCACCAGCAGCAGCGGCTCCGGCAGCGGGAGCAGCGGCACCTCCAGTAGGAATCGAAACGAGCTTGTCGAGTCCAGCCTTGATCAACTCCTCCACGTTCTTTCCCTCAAGGTCGGCAAGGAGCTTCTCAATCTTTTCGTCCTCAGCCTCAGCGCCAACAGCCTCCAGAACAGACTTAATGTCTTCAGCCTAGAGAATGAGTGTTCCTTATCAGTAGCTACAGCGGGCTTCTCGTTTCCGCCAATCATCAGCATCAAATAAGCAGCAAGATGTCTCATCTACGAACCGGTAAGAATGTGAACTCGGTACACGACACCCCAATATCTCCATCCCCTCCACGTCGAAAGACACAATTACTCACCTTATTATCAAATCTCTTGGCTCGAACAAGCCATCCAAACTCTCCATGAAACTCCCATTATCGCGTGGGGGTGCAAAACCCAGGGGTTGTTTTTTTTATTATTATTTCAAACAAACAAACAGCAAACAAGCAACTCAACATCATAACAACCGCTGATGCAAAGACTCTTAGCTCCGTAGTGCCAATTCCGACGCAAAATCAATATAAAGATCCTCGACTCGTTTTGAGTCCAATCCCTTCCACTTCTCCAGTACCTTGCTGTCGACTCCCTCCTTCTGCTTCTCGTCGCACGTCTCTTCGAATCCGAACTGGATTCGCAGATACAGCGCATACAGCAATTCCATGTCCCGCATGTTCGCCTTCTTCACCTCCACCACTTCCTTCGCCTTCATTAGCGCAGCCCGCACGTTCTCCGGCAGTTCTCCGGCATTGCCGGCATGCGTCGCCGCATTGTCCATGCGCGGGAAAACTTCTTCGGCCTCGTCGAGCATTACCGAGCTGGACCGGAATTTCTTAACGGCCTCATCGCCGGGCCGGTTCACCATCTGCACGCGCTGCTGCTTCACGCGGGCAATAATCGCATTCTAGAATAAATCGTGGAAACGTGGAACTACGCGGAGACGCCGGACCCAGTGCGCTTTCTCGCGGGAATCATCGAAGAGGAGGTGGATGTCCTTGATGGAGGTGGTGACGAGGAGCTCGTTGGGGTTCTTCTCCTTGTTGATCTCCTGGATGCCGCACTTCTCGAGCGGGACGATGAGGTGCGGGACGTAGAGGTGGCGGAAGTTGAGCTTCGCGTAGATGAGGACGTCGCTGAACAAGAAGAACTAGGCTTCATGGAGAGATGGAGGAGGAACCGTGTATTGTTTGTGGACTCCCTTGTGCGTGATCTTCGTGAGCGTGTGGTCGTAGATGTATTTGCGGTCTTCGCTCGGCGGGACCGAGCCGGGCACGAACAGCTCCATCTTGTCTTCGACCTGCATCGCGCTGATCGCCGTCTCGAAGAGCTCGCGCAGCGTGGAGATAAGCTGGCCCATGTGGATCATGCGCGTGATGCTCTCCGCCTTCTCGTTGCACACGATGTCCAGGTCGCAGTTCACTTCGTTCAGCGATTCGTTGCTGAGGATTTCGCGCAGCGACGCCGTCGTGCGACGCAGGATGTCGATGAACGACTTCTCGGGGAGCTCCATCTGGAGCGTCCAGCACGTCATGAGGCAGAACCGCAGCGTATCGAGGGAGTTGCCGAGGAGGAGAGAGCGCAGATGTCCCTTGACCAGCACGTTGTCGAGGTAGATGTAGAATTCCAGCCAGAGGCAGCGGAACAGCGTGCTCACGATGTCGGACGAGCGGCAGTGATCGAAGCTCTGCGAGGAGAAGCGGTACTCCTTGAGCAGCGCCACGTGCGTCTGCACGGCCTTGAGGAGCATTTGGTTGTGCTTCTCCTGCGGCGAGAGCTCGATCACCACGTTCTTCTTGTCCGTGAGCTGATTGGGCATTTTGATCTCGTTGTTCACGATCGACCAGTACAAGTTCGTCAGCATGGTCTAGACGTTACACATCCTCGCTTCGTCCATCGCGCCTACGCGGTCGAAATCGTGGCCGTCGTCCATTCCGCGATTGTTCTGAATGAAATCGTTGAGCGTCATTTTGGAGCCCACGTGCGGATTATGCGCGTCGCTGTTCAGCATAATCGTCGCGTACGCCAGCACGTAGATGCTGTCCTGGTTCCGGAACATGTGCGGATTGTCTTCGTAGTAGCACTGCGAGAACGCCTCCACCAGCCGGTCGATCTTCTGCGATTCTCCGGGCAATCTGCGCGTCACCCGCTGCGCCCGCGGCCTACCGGAAGCCCAGCTGCGTGATGAACCGCCGAATCGCCACGTCGTAGTCCAGGCCCTTCCAGTTCGTGCCGCCTACCCTCAACTTCCTTGCTCAATCCCACGCGTGAACCGGTAGCGCACCTGCTTCATCAGCGTCTGCTCCTCGTCCGTCGTGCCGCCATCGCTGCCGAGATAATCGCCCAGATCGGTCTCGTCGAACTGGTTCAGGTAGAGGAAGAGATACTTCACGATGTCTTCCGCGGTTCGCTGGATCACCTGCTGCGCCAGCAGCGTGGCGATGAACTTCTTCACGCCCTTCTCCTTCATCACAGCGAGCGCCTCCTTGGTGGCACGCTGTCCGTACGGACTCATGATCGTGTTTTGGATGTCGTCGAGGTTGAGGTGGCTCGGCGCGCGGCCGCGAGCCGACTTGTAGAGCATCGACTCGGTGACCGGCGTGAGATCGGCGCTCTCCACGGGGGTCTGGATGTTCTCGCTCACGTTGAGGATCTGCTTGGAGACCACTTTGAGGAGCTCGGCGCCGCGCAGAACGAGGTGGATCTCCTGGGGCGAGGGGTTGTGCCGGTCGCGGAACTGCATGGTGAAGTCGTCGAACCACTCGATGAGCTCGGTGAGGACGGTGAGGACGGAGGTGGTGTTGTCGTAATTGACGAAGATGTCGACGAGGAACTCGGTGATGGAGAAGATGTTCGAGAAGAAGTCGAGGATTTCTTGCTTCATGGAAAGCAGCGTGGCTTCGCTATCGATTCAAACGGGGAGGAGAAAGGGAATACTCCTTGAGGATGGTGAGAAGCAGCGTGAAGACGATGCCCATTTCGGTAACCAGGCATTCGCGATAGATCCTACGCCTCACCCGCGCACGCCTCGCCTACTCCCAGAGACACCGAACCACTTCCAGCATCTCGTGCATCGCGTCGTGCGACAGATTCACCCAGTTCGTCATCGACAGCACCACCGACGGCACCACCACCAAACGGAACAGCATCGTCGTCGCGTGCGTCAGCGGGAAGTACGGCTTCTCTACGCCTCACTCTCTTTCCTCGCCGCTACGACTCAAAAACTCCTTCAGAATGTGGTAGTCGAATCTCTATCTCTCAGCCCCCCTCCACTCCTCCCACGCGTCCGTATCGCCGGCAGTGGTACACCAGCAGCAGCAGATACATCACCGAGTTCTGCCAGCGCGAGCTGCGATACAGCAGCGAGCTGAGCTGCAGCATGTCCATCGAGAGCGCCTCGATCGACCCCACGCCCAGACTCTCCATCTTCGACGCGTAGCTCAGCAGCGCGTCGTTCATGTTCAGCGTGCCCTCGGTCTCCAGCTTCTCCGATTCGCTGGAAGGCACCTGGATCAGCGACATGATCGAGTTCAGCGCGGTCGTCAGCAGCTCGAACACGTGGTCTTTCACGTTGTACCCCGCGTCTTCGAGGCGATAGACGAGTCCGTGCAGCGAGGACAGCACAGTGATCATGCACATCAAACTGGACTGCGGGATCGTCTCGTACGTCCCCATGATCTTCATCAGAATATCCAGGAGCGGTCGCAGGCAGCTCGCCCAGCACGCCAGCGACCCTTCAAACACGCCCGTGAGGAAGCAGTCCAGCACCGGATCCACCGTCTTGCCCAGCGTCGAGCACGTCCCGATCATCACGAAATGGTGCAGTCCTTCCAAGCACAGATGCACCAATTTCGGATCGTTGCTGTGGCAGCCAATCAGAAGCGGCAAGGCCGGACGCAGTCGCTGCACCGCGTATTTGCACAGCTCGTTCTTGATCGCGCGCACCTTCTCCGCGTTCTCCTTCTCCAGCGCCCCCACCGCGCTCTGCGCCAGCTCGCTCGCCTCGCGGGAATCTGCGTCGACTGCGGCGGACTGCTCGGGCAGCGGAGCGTCGGGAATCTCGTCGAGCTGGACGTCGTCGAGCGGCACTTCGTCGGTTTCCACGTCGGAGAGCGCGATTTGCAGATCGATGAATGCGCTCAGCGAGTCGGGGAGGGCGAGAATGTGCTCGAAATCCTGCGAGTCAGCCAGGATTGGCGATTTCACCTTCTTAAATACGAGCAAATACGCGTCCTGGCTTTTCTTTCCGAGCTTCGCGGAGCTACCTCCGATCGTTTTGCGCACGCGGAAGAATCCTATCTTCGCCACACGCCCCGCTACGCGTACCTGGAGGAAAATCCTTTCTCTTGCGCGGTGAGAGCGCCAGCGAAGTCACGCGAAGCCCGTGTTCCGCGTAGCGGACGCACAGATAGCACTGGTTGCTCTTGCTCAGGAGGCTCAGATTGGCGTCCGAACCGTTCGGAGTGCGGGTGATCGATGTGTAGCCGGGAGGAAGAATGTCTTCGCGGGTGTTGCCCAGAATGGCGATGTGCGATAGATAGCGGGTCGTTTGGGCAGTAGCGGGCTTCACGGCGATGTAGAGAGATTGCTGGGGTGAATAAACAAAATAGAACTTTACGTTTCGCTCCACTTTATCTAAAAATTCGACATAATGGTAGCCTTCAGGAAGAGTCTCGTTCTAGAACTCAATCGCATTGCCTTCTCGTACAGCACCCAGGACGATCACATCTTCGAATCCATATCCATCCTCGAACTTCGTTTTTTGGACATCCACATCCAAACTCGACAATCTATTCGCTATCACATACTACCCATTGCGTACTCATCAATACTATTCAATAATGGAGATGACTCCTTGCCTGTTAAAGCACGACTCAACAAACACAAAAAGGGAATCTGGCGAATTACCAGAGCAATAAAACGATTACTTTTTTCTCATATTTTGCCTGTAACTCTTTAAACGTGTTGTCTAAATCTTGCTGGTTCACATTCGCTTCATCTGTTGTAGATTTGTAGATTTCTTTATTTCAAATGAAGCAAGTAAATGGTACCAACTAGAGACATCTTCAAAACTACAGAAATACAATATTATTCGAATACAATAATGGGATTATTCATATCAGGGAGTTTCATTGGTTATTTTTGTTGTATGTAAATCGCATTGTTGATCATTCTCCTGTGCTTGTCACCTCTCCAATGAGCGTTTTGGATGTTTTGGCCGAAAAGTACGAATTGATCGTTTTGAGACGATCTCTGTATGCTGAATATGTTGCACGCAATGGAGTGTGCTCATTCCCTTTCTGAACACAAATATCTATTGAAAACGTCAAAGCCGCCCACTTTGTGATTTACACGCTTTCCTATCCATTCCTCGTTTTATTGTGTGATTTGAGTGCAGAATAAAGAAAAATAGAAATCACCCCTGGTTTGAATTCCCTGTATTTTGTCCCTATATAAAATGGACTGGCAAGGGGGTCAATATTACGGTAGTTTATGGACGATTTCTCCTAGATATCGTTTGAAGGACTCTCTTTAACAACATGGTATGTATCTGGGTGCTGTTATCTAGAGAAATTGATTTTATGGGCATGGTTTTAATCGTTTGGTAGGGTATTGATCTGGTTGCTGGAGGCCGCAATTGCGGACATAAGAAACGACAAGCTCCTAAGAGTGAGAACGTGTACTTGGCCCTGCTGGTCAATGTAGGTGCTTTCGGGCGAAATGGGTGATCTCGTAGCTGTATCGCTTCCTTGCTCGCCGCACTAACGCTAGATTCCCGGAGGTGGTTCTGAAGCGTCTTTACATGAGCCGCATCAACCGCCCTCCCATGAGTCTGAGCAGACTGATGAAGCACATGCAGGGAAAGGAGGACAAGATCGCCGTGATCGTGGGAACCGTCACTGACGATATTCGCGTGATCGAAGTGCCTGCCCTGAAGGTGTGCGCTCTCCGCTTCACTGAGACCGCTCGTGCCCGCATCCTGAAGGCTGGAGGCGAGTGCATCACTCTGGACCAGCTGGCTCTGCGTGCTCCCACCGGAGCCAACACGGTGCTGCTGCAGGGCCACCGCAGTGCTCGCGAGGCCGTGAGACACTTCGGAACTCCGGGTACTCCTGGAAGCAAGGCGCGCCCCTACGTGCGTTCGACTGGTCGCAAGTTCGAGAGAGCTCGTGGTCGCCGTGCGAGCATGGGATACAAGGTTTAAGTGGACGAGAGTATCTTATGGTTCCTTCAAAGTTGTGTTGTTTGTTGGAGAAACGATAGATTTTGTTCTGGAGGTGTGCTGTGTGGAGGATGGAGTTATTTCTAGACGGGAATGAGTTGTGGCGATATCAGTCAAATTCGTTCACCAGAAGAGGCTAGATTTCTCTTCGAGAATGCGTTGCGGAATTATCGATCTGTGAGATATAGGTGCATTAGTATGAGTGATTACAAGCAACAGAGTCAAGCGGAAAGTGTTATTCAGGCGATTTTGAGCAACCCTTCAAGCGATGAGATTTTGCTCGATTGTTTATGTAACAGCTCTCACTCCTATTGCATATTCTACGTGCCTTTTGTTTTTTGTGGTAATGGCTAGAGTGCAAAATTATTAGGTATTTCCATGATGAAGAGGTGGACCCGACTAACTCCTCAGGAGCGTGTTTCATTTTGCAACATCCTCTTTTCGATTATATCCCCCTTCGACCTATTCTTTCTCTCTCTATATATATATTTATATATAAATATTTTCCTTTACAAATACCTAGGCGATGAGAAACGTTCCATCTCCGAATTCGGCTATTCCGAGATTGAGTTGGTTCTCTCCATTTTCCTCAAGCAGCTCTGGGGCTCTAACCCCTCCAACACGAGTTCTCTTCTCTTCCAGCACCTCACCAGCCCAACATGGCGTAGCATGAAACTCCTCTCCAGTTTGCTGAACACCATCAAGAGCAACGACATTCCCGATTTCTCGCTCCCTGCAGAGCTTCACGCGTTCTGCGTGCAATCATTTTTCGAGTCGAACGTGAAACAAATCGCGGAGTGGATCGTGTCTGCGCTGCTCTGCTTCGGCGCGAGCTACGATTCCGCTTCGGCGACTGCTCGAAAGAGAGACGAACTGCAGCTCTCTCTCGATTTATTCGCCGATCTGCTGTCGCTTCCGTGGCCCAAACCGCCCCATTTCAAGTTTTTTTACCCGCAGAAGGGTTGAGCGTAGATCGGTTTCGAAGACGGGCATCAACACGGAGTTTGTGAGTCCGGACGTGTCGTTCGAGACGGTGTTCACGCAGGAATCAATCCTGTCGTGTCTACAAAAAATGTTTGAATGAATACACTCGTTGCATGATGAACTAGCTATTTCATTGAACGATTTGACAACACTCTCCCACAATCCGTGTTCTCTGTGCTCACGTTGCTGGGCTCCTACGCTCCGCAGTCGTTTGTTTCGACTCGAACACACGCGCAGCACTTGCATCGATTGTGCGATTTCGCGTTTGCGATCGTGGATTCGCCGTATTTGGAAGCGGCAGCAAGGCGGGGTGAGTCGGAATTGGAAGCAGTGGAAGGAGATGTGAGAGAGAAATTGAGAGTGGCGGTGTTGTTGAAGACGATGCTGTGCACGCAGGCGTCGACGGTGATGATGTTTCTGCCGATGTGGAACGCGGTGCTGCAGAGAATGGCGCAGTTTGTGAAGGTGTTGCATGAAGTAAGAAGAAATGAAAGTGAATGAATGAATTGAATGAATTGAATGAATTGAATGAATTGAATGAATTGAATGAATTGAATGAATTGAATGAATTGAATGAATGAATGAATTGAATGAATGAATGAATTAAATGAATTAAATGAATTAAATGAATTAAATGAGTTAAATGAATGAATTGAATGAATTGAATGAATGAATTGAATCCATTGAATCCATTGAATCCATTGAATCCATTGAATCCATTGAATCCATTGAATCATCGATCGATCGATCGATTGATTGACTGAGTTGAATCATCTCATGTCTCTCCCTTTTCTCTTTTCTCTTCTCTCCATTTCTCTTGATCTCTCACCTCGCAGGATCTCCTTCGGATCGTCCAATCCCCCTCTCTTTCCGATTTCTGCGTCGATCTCATGGCCAGCTGCGAGGAAGTCATCGGCGAAGCCCTCGACATCATCGCCTACTGGTGCGGAAACGAATCCATCCAGCCCACCCTCGCCGATCTTCCCTCCCAGATCTACGCAGTCTGCTTCCGTACTCGCCTCGAATCCGCGGTTCTCGTGCTCAAATACTCCGAAGACGAGCGCGGGAACGCGCAGGTCTGGAAAGAACTGGAGCAACGCGACGAGAACGAGGACAACTGGACGTTCGACGAGGAGCAAAGCCTCATCGGGCAGCTGGGTCGCTGGAACGCGAGCGAGTCGTGCAACCTGCTGGCTGGCGTGATGAACGAGCTGCTGACGCAGCTGAAGCAGCAGCCGAACGAATCGGTTCTGAACGTGCTGGAAGAGAAACTGTACTGGCTGATGGTGTTCATCGATCACTTCGTGGCGGATTACGACTCCACCGAGATCCCGCTCCAATTCGAAGCCATTCAGTCCTCCCCCGACTACCCACTCCTTGCCTTCCTCGACCTCTGCGTACCCCGTTTCCCCGTTTCTTCATGCGCAGAACGCCTCGATCCTCTCTCTGCTCTCCATCCCGTCGCTCGACCTCTCCTCGCTCGTCCTGCAATCCCTTCTCTCCTACCTCGCTCACTTCATCCAGCTCTATCTCCCCTTCCGTCCCCGCCTCTCTCTCGACATCTACACCATCATCGCCATCACGCTCTCCTCCGACTCCCAGTCCGCCTCCACCTTCGCCGAGGCCCTCAAAACCGCGCAGCTTCTCCTCGAGCGCAACATCGAGCACCACATCGGAGACGTCAACCAGCAGGTCTGGCAGGAGCTCGTTTCTTCGCTCGTCGATTTCGCGCGGGAAGGCAAGGTGCGCGGGAAACTGCAGGGATTGAACGACATGCCCGCCAGCCAATGGGAGCTGTTCACCACCACCCTCGTCTCCAACATGCAGAAAATGGTTTTTTCGACGCCTTTCGTTGAGCATAGGGAGAGCCTTACGTGTCCCTAATTCCATCCTTTTTAGAGGCCATCTTGTCACAATTGTCCCAAATCACCTCCATGTCCAATTTCACCGAATTCATCAAGTCCTACCAGAATTCCAATCGAACCCAGTCCCTTCTCTACCTTTCCCGCGGGACTCTGCTGGTTTCGCCGCTTCCCTCGGCCTGCGTTTCCTTCTTCTCGCAGCTTCTTTCGCTGCTTCCTTCGCTTTTTTCGCAGCTTTCGCTGCACGAAGACTTCCAAATCCTCGCTCTCAAGCTCCTCCGCGATCTCAGCCAGGCGGTTTCCACGTTTCTACGTTTCTACGTTTTAGATTTATTCGCTTCCCGCGTCGGAATCGCTTCGCTATGTGGAAACGCTCCATTCCATCGCCAGGCGTTTCGTTCAGACGCTCCCCAGCGATCCGAAACTCCTCCACAAGTTGTTTCCCCGTTTCCACTTTTGAATAGAGCGTCTTCGTTCATCAGCAAAGCCCTGGGATTGTGTTTCGACGCGGAAACACAATTCTTAGCGAGCGGCGTTTTGGTTTCTTCGTCGATTGCCGCGTCGATTTCGCAGCTGCATCTCGCGCTTTTGCAGTGCGTTTCCCGCGATCTCTCCTTCTTCCCGTTGTTCATGAAGCGCGTCATGCAATCGAGCATCGCTGTGCTCTCGCACTGCGTAGCAGGCCTGGACCTGCAGGCCGACTCATTGCTTGAGTCGCTTTTCTCGTTTTTAATCGCCGCTTACGACATTTTCGAGTCCAAAATTCGGGACTATTTTTAGATTTAGTTGCGAATTCAAAGCGATGGAGTGTCTTTATCTCATCTTCTACCACTGTCTCGAGGTCCGGGACGGATCCACGCAGTATTTGGGAGAGAAATCCGCGGGAATTTGTGCGTTTTTGGAGAGAAATCCGAGTAGTGGAAACTGGGGAAATGAAGGGTAGATGTGGTGGAGAACGTGTTCACGACCACGTTTAAGGCGCTGCTCTCGCCGAAATCGGGAATGGTGACGAAGGAGGGAGTGGATCAGAGAGCAAGCAATTTGTTTTTGGTGATCATGGCGTATGCCAGAAATGATGTCGAGAGTTTCTTTAGACAGTATTATAAAGAGATGTTGGAGCAGAACCCTACCGTTTTGGCGGGGATTTTGAATGAAAAGAGCTTGCTCGGCTACAAGGAGAGACATGTACGGTATTCGTATACTCGTACGTTTACGCATTTCGTGCAGGCAGTACAGCACTTTGAAGACTTGAAATCTGTTTCGAATTAAATTTGATGTTGTTGTTGTTGTTGTTGTTGTTGTTTGGTGGCAAACATTTTGATTCACGATTTGGAGAACCTTTGTACAAAAATCGTTTTCTCAGAAGTGGGCCAAGTTAATGCAATCATTCACAAGCACAATCGTATCTACACTTCAATTTCGTTTAAGAGAAACAACTGCAAATTCCACTCTTCTATTATCGAATATCCCAAAAGTGTTTAACAAACATAAATATCCACGTCTAGGCTCTACTACAACAATGTTATCCTGATTCACGATAACACGGACACGGTCGATGCGAAGGTCCATCGTCATGGGAGAAAGCTTCAATGAACAATCTAAAAATCCTGCCTACCTCAGGACGAATTAAAACCTTGCAGCCTTCGCATTCGCTCTTGATAATAGCAGTAGCCTCATCTCCATTCTTTCCAACGAGCTCTGGCCAACTGCAATCAAACAAATAAAACAATTCCAAACCTGGTTTTCATATCATCGGGAAATGGGTTCCACGCAGACACGGCAGCAAAGAAAATCACAAATAGCAAAAAAAGGGTATAGAATTTCATAATATTTTGAAGGAGCATGTACAGTCATCGTTGATAACCAATCATATCGAATGGCGTGTTCTAAGCGCGACTTGGGTTTTGTAAGTTCCTCTTGAGGGTAATCAAGGATGAAAGAGTGTAATTATTTCACTGGATATTTGTTTCATCCACAGTACGGCATTAAAACAAACAATCATATAGGAAAGTTCCCTTTTTAATTACGTTAGCAGCCTGATCCCCGCGGAAAATGTGCCTCTCAGGAAATTTCAGTTTTCTATTCTTTGTATTATAAGAATTTGTCATGTATGGCCCTTATGGAGGATATATCCGACCTCCCAGTGGGGCGATGCATACCCCTACTTCGAATCAGAAAAGCAACAGAATTGTTCTGGTGAAGAATCTTGACGATATATATCCTGTGTAGGTACTTTTCTATGGAATCAAAAATAGAGTTCACTCAGGAATGACACTACGCGAATTAAAGGCGGCTACCGCCTTGCGCTTAACTAGATCCATTGTATATCTCTACACTACCAAGCCTATTAAACTCTTCCCCCAGAGGGTTTCTTTTAATGAAGTTTCATTATCTCCACAATACAGCGATGATTATTATAAAGCTGAACCATATTATCGACAGTACTCTCCATACTATAGCAATTATCCAAATTACTTACCCCAACATCACGGTCTAACCAGAGGCCCTCCTTTCTATCCTTATTGAATCAGTCGAACTGCTGCTGTAGAATAGTTTAAAGGGAGCATTCCTAAGTATAACTTTAAATCCTGTTTTTTCTCAAACACCACACAAACTCTGCTCAATCGCCATATACCTAACCAGAAGCTGGTCCATCTGCGCTCTCAGTAAGTTCAGCTGATTTTCATGACTCTTCTTCAGCTCCTCGATCTCGATCTTCAGCGTCTCCACTCTTCGATCTCTCTCTTCTGAAGGGCTCTGCAATGTGTTTCGGCTGGAATCCGACTCATCGGAAGAGAGGCTGTCCAGCTTCGTCTCACTGAGTTCTTCTTCGTTTTCCTCCCTGAGATCGACTTCATTCAGCGATTCACTCAACGCCTCGCGTCCATCCATGCCGTTCTGCGGGATGGCCCCCACTCTTTGCAGGATGTCCGAGCGTCCGCTCACATCCAGCGAACTCATCGAGTCCTTCAACTCGGAAGTGTCGGTGGCTCGTGTTTGCTTGTCGGGGTCGACAGACAGCGACATAGGGGATGGAACGGATCCAATGGATCGAGTGGAGTCAATCAGAGGCTTCATCGATGCGTTCGACTCATCCTCAGAGTTCAATGAATGCGATGGATTTGAGTCAATTAGAGGAGTCGATTCATTCAATGAGTTCAAAGGAGTCGATTCATTCAAAGGAGTCGTCGATGGGTTCGATTCATTCAAAGGAGTCGTCGATGGGTTCGATTCATTCAAAGGATTCAATGAGTTCACAGATGAGTTCACAGATGAGTTCACAGATGAGTTTGATTCATTCAGTGAGTTCAAAGGATTCGATTCATTCAAAGGACTCAATGAGCTCGATTCATTCAAAGGATTCGTCGACGGGTTCGATTCATTCGCCTGATTCATTTCGTTCGATTCGCTTAGCGGGTTCAAAGGATTCAGTGAGTTCACGTCGTTCATTCGACTTTCGAACGACTCATCCAGCGTATCGGCATCGGACGTTTCAGCGAAGCTATCGCGGTATCCAGGCCCCAAGCGCACCTCCAAGTCCGATTCGCGTTTCTGTGCGGCGCGCAGCTGCTCCTACGCGTCACTCACCCAATGAAGGAGCACGTAAAGCTCTTCGTTGCGTCGCTGCATGGCCTCGTAGTTCTCTTTGTAGTACGCAAGGTCCTTCTTGAGTGAGTCAAGATCGTCCTGGTGGTAAATGTCCGTGTTGTACTGCAAATCAACAAACAAACAAACCACAAACAGAGCTTTCGGAGCCGTTCAGACGGGTCTCCAACTCCTTGTTCTTCTCTGAAAGCTCCTTGTTCCTGAGCGTAAAACAACCACACGAAAAGCAATTACTCGTTACGGAGAGAATAGATCTCATCTTCAAGCTGGTTAATGTTGGATATCACCTGCTCGTACCTGGTAGTGGCAGCCTCCTTATCAGCAGTAGCGTTCTGCAGCTTTGTCTCCATCTCTTCTTTGTTCTCCTTTAGACTATCGAGCTCATCTTTCAAATTGGTCACCTCCTCGTTAAGTAAATTATTGGTTGCTTCTAACTGCTGCTTCTCTTCCGAAAGCAACTCGAATTGGTTCTTTAAGTCCTCATATGAGCTATTCCGTTGTTCACAGTATTTCTGGAGTTCCTCATACCCTTTCAATACTAAGCTTATACACGATCATCAAATCATACCATCCTTATACTCCTTCTTTAAAACTTTATGACTACTGTTATCTTCCTCTGAACTCATTCTTTATTTTTATCTCTAGGCAGTGAGCCGTGTATACAATCCCATACGATTAGTGATAATCTTTGAAATAAGATAATGTGATGCCTAGATGAGTGTTTTAGCTGCATTGCACATTACTGATCTCGCCTAACAATACTCTTTCCACTCATACTAATGATAGTACGTTCTAAATCAGTTAGCATATCATTTTAAACTCAACAGTACAAAACTATAATCTATATGGAAACCTACCAGGTTAATGTAACTCGGGACGAGCAGATTGCTGACCGTATTGAATTTTGTCTTAAGCAAGACATTACGATTGGTACTCTGAAAGAGCTCATGAGTCTGCGAATTCCGTATCATCCACCTGCTAGTGATATTGAAATCCTGTGCAACAATATTGCTTGCCCTGACGACTATCCGGTATCGTTTTTCGTAGCTATTGCGTATCTGAACTTGACAATAGTTGTTGGATATAAACAAACCAATCGAATTCGTTTTCCGAGATGCAAAAGATTGGCAGTATCGTCAAGCCTTCGAAGATGATAAAGATGTTTCTAAACATTACGAAATTGTTGGGGAGGATGCTGTAAAGAAGGTGGATAATGAGCACTCCTTTGAAATTCGTTGGCACAAATGTGTAGGTGGTTTGGGTGTATTGTATTGTAGAGAATTCTTTTTCAGCGAGAGGAGAATGTAGAGCAAATTCCACCCGAAGAGAGACGTAGGATCCTCCAGCAATTTGTAAGAATCGAAACCTTGCCATAATGTTCTTTAGGCATGGAGAAGCATCATCTTCGCTGTTTTTTCCTATTACGCGCTTTATTACGCAGATATTTTCACTCCCCTCTTAAAGGTCATCAACTCTCATCTCGTACGAATTGTTCCGTTTTCTTGAATTCCAGATTTTCCCCATTCCGAATTTTGTAATTTGGCTCACAGCCAACTTGTACGAACGTGCATGCTGATTGACTTGTAGCATTTATACAATTTATCCGATCGCATCGAAAATGATAATGTTTTCGTTGGAATGGAGGAATAAAAAGAATCGAAAGCTGGATTGTAGGAGAAGAGCTGATGATTGATGTGTAGTCGTGGATTTTGTTCCGGAAAATATTGTGGGGGATTTAATTTTGTGCGTTTATTATTTCTTTGTAACTGTTCTTCCTTGGAATCGGGGCCCTCGTGTGTTTAGAGACTGATTGGTATTGTTGTTTGTTATGAGTCATCATCATCATCGAAGCGTATCGTACAGAAGCAGCCATGTCAGAATTAGAGGAGTCGGTCTCGTTCTCGCAGTCGACACCGACATCGTCCTAGTCAACAAGATGAGACTCCAAAGAGTGTTAGACAAATTATCTTCGAGTCAAAACTCAATCCACTAAATCAGCGAGCGCTTTCAAGACATTATTTTGACTTGTTGCGTTCCCGGCGTTCTCTACCCGTTTTTGCGTCCTTGGATGTTTTTGAAGAGGCTTTCAAAAAGAATTCTGTGCTTATCGTTGAAGGAGAGACAGGAAGTGGCAAAACGACTCAGATTCCTCAGGTATGCAGTGATTTGGGTTTAACAAAGTAGGCTATCTTGTTACATTTATTGTATTCCCATTTGGATCATGTTCCCCACATTGCTTGCACGCAGCCTCGTCGCGTGGCTGCAATCAGCGTAGCAAAGCGTGTTGCCGACGAAATGGACGTGACTTGCGGCGACGAAGTGGGTTACTCGGTCCGCTTCGAAGAGCAAACGAGTTCCAAAACGATGCTCAAGTTTTTTGCTTTGTTTGCACATAAAACCCTCAGATACGTGACAGACGGCATGCTTCTACGCGAAGCCCTCACCGACCCTCTTCTCAAACACTACGACGTCGTGATCCTCGACGAAGTCCACGAGCGCACGCTCCAAACCGACGTGATTCTCGGCATGATCAAAGAAGTCTTCCACTACCGCTCCGATCTCAAGCTGATCATCATGTCCGCCACCCTCGACGCCTCCTCCTTCCAGCACTACTTCCCCAACGCGCCTCTTTTTAAAGTCCCGGGCAGTCTTTTCCCCGTCGAGCTGTTCTACACGCAGGAGCCCGAGCCCGATTATCTCCAAGCCGCGCTCCGCACCGTCACGCAGATCCACTTATACGAGCCTCCGGGCGACGTTCTGCTCTTCCTCACCGGCGAGCAGGAAATTCTCGACCTCTGCGCAAAGCTCAGCCGCGCCATGGCCACGTGGCCCGTCGACAAGCGAACCCTGCTCATCGTCCCGCTGTTCTCTTCTCTGCCGCCCGCGCAGCAGCAGGCGGCGTTCCAGGAGACGCCGGAGGGGATGAGGAAAGTGGTGGCGAGCACGAACATCGCGGAGACGTCGGTGACGATCAACGGGATCGTTTATGTGGTGGACACGGGGTTTTGCAAGCAGAAGTTCTTCGATCCGAAGACGCGAGTGGAGTCGCTGCTGGTGACGCCGATCTCGCAGGCGGCGGCGAAGCAGAGGGCGGGAAGAGCCGGGAGAACGCAGCCGGGGAAATGCTTTCGGCTGTATACGGAGCAGAGCTACTGGGATCAATTGTCTGTATGTGGAATGATCGGGTTTTGAATGAATGAATGAATTGAATGAATGAATTGAATGAATTGAATGAATGAATTGAATGAATTGAATGAATTGAATTGAATGAATGAATGAATGAATTGAATGAATTGAATGAATTGAATTGAATGAATGAATGAATGAATTGAATGAATTGAATGAATTGAATGAATGAATGAATTGAATGAATTGAATGAATGAATTGAATGAATTGAATGAATTAAATGAATGAATTGAATGAATGAATTGAATGAATTGAATGAATTGAATGAATGAATGAATTGAATGAATTGAATGAATTGAATGAATTGAATGAATTGAATGAATTGAATGAATTGAATGAATTGAATGAATTGAATGAATGAATTGAATGAATTGAATGAATTGAATGAATGAATCATCCATTAATTGAATGAATACTTCAATTCCATGTCATTCTCTTTCCATTTCTCCTACAAATTTTCACTCCTGAATTCATCCATCACTCCCATTCACAATTTTCGATCCCTTTCTCACCCCATTTAGAAGCAAACCACACCCGAAATCCTCAGAAGCGACATCGCTTCCACCGTTCTCATGCTCAAACGCCTCGGCGTTCAGAACCTCGCCAAGTTCGATTTCATGTCTCCTCCGCCCTCCCAAACCCTCATCCGCGCCTTAGAAACTTTGTATTCCCTCACTGCCCTCGACGCCGAGGGACGAATCACGGAAATCGGATCGATTCTCGCCGAATTTCCATTAGAACCCCAACTAGCCAAATGTTTGATCACTTCGCCGCTTTACGGCTGCGTTCTGGAGATGCTTTCCATCGTCGCCATGCTCTCCGTGCCCTCCGTCTTCTCACGCCCCTCCCATAATCGTGGAAACCGTAGAAACCGAAGTGGAATCGGCGGTCGCGATTGGAAAGATTTGGAAACAGAAGTCGAAGAAGACGAAATGAACAGCAATTTTACCTCATCGAATTCGATGGAATTCGAAAGTCGTCGCGAATTCGCAGATCCCGAATCCGATCATATAACATTACTAAACATGTACAGCCATTTCGCCGTTTTGAATTAGATTCGATGCGTATCAACGCATTTCACTTGCTGAAAGATCGAATTGGTGCGCAGAACATTGTCTCAATTCACGCTCTTTATTGCAGGCGGCCAATGTACGCGAGCAGCTGTGCTCGCTCTTCGAAAGGCTGCGTTTGCCGGTTCCTTCTTCGCAGTTTGTTCCATTTAATGAGCGAAAAATCAACGTGAAACGATGCCTCTGCCGCGGGTTTTTCATGCAGTCCGCGGTGTTCGATCGCGATGGGAACTACAGGACTGCAAAGGACAATCAAGTAGGAGTCGATTGAGGGAGAGAGAGACGTATAGGCGGCACGCATTCATCCATCATCGACTGTGTCGGGAAGCTCGCAGTGGGTTGTATATAATGAGCTGGTCAAAACGACCGGGAATTATTTGCGGACGGTGACGCAGGTGGATGGAAAATGGCTGGCGGAAATGGCGCCGGATTACTTTGATGTGAGCACATTTCCGGAGGGAAGGATGAAAGAAGAGCTGGTTGCGCTGTATCGAGGAATGCTTCGAGTGTAATATGGAAGGTTGGATTGTTTGTTGGAGAAGGAAGTGGGGGATGGAAGGGATTGGAGGTAGAAATGACAATTCGCTTGAATTCGAACTGATATCACATTTTTCGGATTTTGTTTGGTTCATTTTCATATCATTTTCAGTGTTTCCTTCAAACAATCTGTCTCATGCCACCAAAGAAGTCAGGATCTCGCAAGAAGTATGAAAAGATGAAGGCAGCACAAATAGTAAGTGCTGTACAACGAAATAAGTCTCTAGGAGAAGCACAACCAATCTCGGTTGATGAGCTCTTCTCAACTGCTTGCATTTGGAGACATGTCAAAAGTCCCAGGCAATTTTGATATGGAATGCACAGAATGTGGAATGAAACAGAAAAACCGCGCCTTTTGCTATTTCTGTCACGCGGTACGAATGTGTACCCTCGTCTCATACGAATAGATGCAAAAGCTGCCTGTTTGTGCGCAGTGCGGACGAATGAAGTGTAGCGGCGTTGGAACGGATTGTCTCGTAAAACATTCGGGTACCACTGTAACAGGATTAAAGTTTGTCGGCTCCATCTGCGATTTTTGCGAAGCCTTTGTTTGTCATTCGAAAAAGTGTACCGAAGAGCACGCTTGCGCATGCCCATTCCGCGAGTCTCCCGATCGCGGCGCCCTCACAATCAAATGCTGCGAATGCCAGCGTGACGTCTGGCATCATGGAGGGAAGATGTTCCAGTGCAACATCTGCGGCAAGTGGTGCTGTCAAGATGATCACTTTGAGCATCAAGCCATGTGTCAAACCCTGGAAGGCGACAGTTTCAAATGTATATCGTGCAACAAACGCGGTCAATGGTCGTGTATGCGATGCAAAATCAGCTACTGCGATCTTCACGTTCTCTCTGCGCTCAACGTTCGCTCTTTCGTTCCCTGCGTCAGTCGTAGAAAGATCGGAGTGGCGTGTATCGCTGCAAGAAATGCCAGTTCGAGCTGAAAGACGTCTCCAATCTTTCGTTGAGCGTCAAACGGCACGAATTTGGCCGCCAAGGCGCGTATCAATCGGACAATGAGGACAGCGAGGACTACCCATCGTACGGGTACAACGATTCCAATTGGTGTGTTTGTGCCAAACAGAACAGAAATCAATGCTGGCGTTGATGTCCACCTCGCGACTCCGCTTGCCGCACGTTCGGATCACGCTCTGCTTCTTCCTCTTCACCAACTCATTGAAAAACTGCGAGAACACGTCCTTGTTGATCATCCGATGCTCCCGCATGATCGTCGACACGAATTTCTGCTGGTACTTCGACCGCGGATGCGGCACGTCGATCCCAAACGCCGTTCCCAGCACATAAAACCTCCATCCCGAGTACCGCAGCTCCGTCAAAAACTCCACTTTGTTGTACCCATAGTTCACAAACCGCTCGTCAAACCGCGGCATCCCCTCCGTCTTCTTCAGAATCACGTACGGCTCCTGCTTGTCCTTCACGAAACACTTCACCAGCGTCAACGGCTGCGTGTAGTTCGAATCCAGCCACTCATCGAAGTAGTAATTGTGCAAATCCTGCCCCTGTCGGAATTGCCGACACGTCGACGTCTCCAAACACCGTCGCAGCGCCTTCTTTGTCGCGGGGATCTCGTTTTCACGCCTAATTCGAAGGGGTTTCGCTCGGTTACATCGTCGGACACGTCGCGAATTTGTTGCACGCGCGCATGTACTCGTAGACCGGAACAATAATCGCCGTTGTGTTCCGATTGGCCACCGACCCCACCATGGCCGGATTAAAATTAATAGGGCCCGAATAATTAGGGTCAGGCTGCATGTTTAGAATGGAAATGGCCTGATTGTAAACGTCACCTACAAAGTCAGAGAAAAGGGGAAACGGGGAAATACCGACCGGCCAGACATCCATATCGGCAACGAAGAAGTGGCTCGTAGCGACTGCGTCGATCGCTAGTTGTAAAAAAAGTGGGTATTTTTGGAATACCTAAATTGCGAAGATAGTTGATTGGATAGTCATTTCCGTAGGCGAGAACGAGGTGAAGCACGAGCCGAGAGGGGAATTTGGCTTGTTTGATTTGTTTGATGAGGCCGGGCAACAAATCTTCGGTGATCCAAATGACTGCGGAAATGGGGCTAGACATCAGGTTCGAAACTGGGAGTCACCCGTTCCATTTGCGTAGGAACATGGCATAGTATGAAAAACGGACGTGTCTAGATGAGAATGGACGTCTGAGCGTACGTTCCCTGTAATGTGATGGTGATGTCGCTGGGATGTTGACCGAGCGATTTCATATGCTTGACCGGGAGAGAAGAGAGCGGAGTCATTTTGTCTGTTGCTAGATTGTAGCTGTAGAGTGTTTTATTTTCAAAATAAGTGAAAAAGATGTAGGTTTGGGGAGCATCTCGATTCAAATAAACAGTCGAGAAATCCACTAAGGAGAACTCAGAATTACCGTTGGTCATTTTCGAAATGGGGATTCCACGCTGTTGGTTCGCTTCCTTGTTTGGAACGGTAATGGTCAACGACATCGCGTTGTACACCTTGCCGCCATCAGGGACGCCCATCACCAGTTTCTGAACGCTATACTCGGATGTGCGCTTTTGAAGTTCGTTTGATTCCGGAACATCTCCAGGAATGAAAAGTTTTGTATTGTCACGATAACGAATGCCCGTGTACCAGTCCTAGTTGTTCAATTTGAGAACCATTCCGTACCTTGTTACTGGGCTCACTGAAATAACTCTTCTTCACATATGCTGTACACAACGACGGACTACACATCAACAACCCTACAAAAAACAACACAACCGCAAGACAGACAATCAGCAACTGCAAAAGCCGTTGACTACGTGGTGAATCTCCCCGCAACAGTACCTACATAGAGTACATTTCTCTTGTCAAAGACTGTCTTGTTTTAACAAATGATTGAAAGAGTCGGATATGAGGAATTCCATTTTTCGGAGATTAATCTAACGAGTTCGGAGTTGATAGTTCAAGTCTGAGAGGAGTAGTATTTTCAGACATTTATATTACTGTATCTTTTGTCGTTCGTGATAATGAACCCCTTCTCTATTCAGCCTTCTGATCATATCGTGTTTAAAGGTACAGTTGTAAGAGTAATGGGTGAGTTTCAGTTTACAAAGACGGACAATCGAAATCCCAAGTGAAAGTGACAAATACCAGTGATAAGAACGTATGATTTTCTTTCACTTATGATTTTAAGTTGATCTTTACTGTTAGGACAAATGCAAAGACTCTTTTTATTGTGCAGCCTGCAAAGTTTACTTTAGAGCCCCAAGCATCACTGGATGTGGATAGTCGATTTTGTTCCGAGTGTCAAGTCTAGTTACAATATCGAAATCTAAAATGGGAAGATTGGATTTTAGCAATATCCCAACGCGGTAATCGTTGGTCGCTGAACTCAGGTGTAGAGATAAACTAGAGTTTGCTGCTCTTACCGTTTCTTCGATCTTTTATAACGAGATTCAGAGACATCGAGAGAATGAAGCCGAGCTTATTCGAAATCGAGTATGGTTTGGTTGGGTGTCTCAAAAACAGTTCAAAGCATGCGAGATTACTCCTTCTTTCACGTCATGCGATTATACGGGAGGAAATAGTTTGGAAGACCTGTCATCAGAACCTCAGCCAGTATTCAGACAGCGAATTCCTGTTGTTTACAAAGATATCCACTTCTACTCTTAATCTTATTACACAATTATTGTGCGATTAGTTTCGTTCACGGCACTTGTAAAGCCACCAGAAATGAAAGCCGAAATGTTTTCGTATGAGCTTCAGAGAGAGGAGAAGATGCTCGTAGAGTCCTTTGAACGTCATAACAGCATTAGACAAAAGGGGGGCCAACGAATTCTATTAAATATGTATGGATGATCCTTGTAATTATCTGTTGGTCCGTGATGATGTTCTATCTGGGTACACGGTTTGAAAACCATTGACTTTCTATATGTTGATTAATGTTTTGCTCTTAGACACGCAATCACACACAGTTCTGTGGATTTTGTGAGAAAAGCAGATACGCCATCATCCGTTCATCCGAACGTCATACAAACTAATGATAATCACATTTTACTCATATCTGCCACCATTTCCTCTCCTCTCTGCTCCATCGGAAACCAACCACTTCTCGATCGGTTTCCATCACCGCAAAGAGTTTTTTTCCAATTTTTTCTCCTTACCTCCATCCTTTTTCCAACAAACAACGAAAACTGTACATCATTCTCTTCTTCCTTCCAATCTCGCTCTCTCCTGCATCATCCCCAGCACCTCCGCGAAATCCCTCGTTCCCACCGCCCTCACATCGCCCTCTCCGATCCCTCCCACATCCTCCCCGCGGTTCTGGCACGCTTCCAGCAGCGGAATCATCGCCGCTTCTCTGCACAAATTCTATTCCTCATTCCCTTATCACTCAACCAACACGCAGCAGCGACCCGGACCATCCTTCCGTCGCCTCGGCGATGGACCCGAGATCATCTTCCTCCATGTCGCACGCCACGCCTCGCAGCATCGCCACAATCATCTGCTCGCGCTCCTCCGCCGTCGGCAGCGGCACCTCGATGGTTTTCTCGAACCTCCTCAGAACCGCGGGATCGATATCCGCAATGCGATTGGTCGCCGCGATGACGATCACGTGATCGTCCCTCTGCAGAGCGCTGAGCTGGATGAGCAGCTCGCTGAGCAGTCTGCGCGCTCCGGGGTCGTCGGTCTGGCCGCGGTCGAGCGAGAAAGCGTCGAGCTCGTCGAAGAAGAGAAGGCTGGGCGCATGGCGGCGAGCCTCCGTGAAGGCGCCGCGGAGACGACGCTCGGCCTCGCCGGACCATTTGGAGAGGCAGGCGGAGGGGCTGAGCTCAAGGAGGTAGCGGTCTGCGGGTGAGGAGGGCGGAGAGAAGGGACGGCTTTCGTTGGCCGCTGCGCGGACGAGCGACGTTTTGCCGGTGCCCGGAGGGCCGTAGAGGAGCACGGAGGTGCAGAGCTGGCGGCAACCCACGAAGAGGGAGGAGGGGAGGAGGGAGGGGAGGAGACAGCACTCGTAGAGAGAGCGCTTCGCGTCTTCTTGGCCGATGATGTCTTGCCAGGTGAGGGAGTCGGAGGGACAGGGGCAGGGGCAGCGTTTGGAAGAGATCGCTGGGTGTTAGTGGGTTGTGGTAAGGAGAGTACAATTGGATAGAGATTCGCAAGAAGTGGAACGTTTTAGACGCTTGCGTTTTGATATGGAGGTAGTTACCTTGCATTCCGTGTCTTCGTAATCGCTTGATCCGGGTATTTCTTCTTTGGGCTGCATCAGCTGAGAGGAAACGTCGATGAGTTCTTCAATGATCTCTTTTCTTTCTTTACTAGTTATGAGCCCACTCGAAATCGATAGTTTGTGCTTAATATCCCGAATTGCCTGTTGAGCCGCGGGTCCATTCCGAACTTCGGTATCCCAGGCTTTTCCAATGTCACTGAATACCTCCTGAAATTGCAGATAGGTCATAGAGCAATACAGAGGTAATTCATGGCAGACTTACGCAATGGAGGGAAAACATGCATACAACAAACAAATCAAACAGAAAGCTTCTTTTTCATTTCCAATATCGATTCATATGCCAATTTTGAATTATTAAGCATATCGACAACATGCATAGCATTCTCCTCCACCAGTTGCTTAGAAATCTCCGTATAGTTCTCTCCGTCTACAATTGCTACAATTGGAACTAGCTGCTCCATGAGATAGTTCTTCACGTTCTCCTCATCCATGTCCTCGAAAGTCTCTGTATCGCAACCTCCCAGGCATTCAATCTACAGTCGACCTTTTCATAATATCAATTACCGCTTCGTCCAGTTCCTGGAACACGCTATCGGATCCTTCTCCCTGCGGATTTGATGCATCTTCCGGTTGTTCCACCGTCTCTGCAGGCGGATTTGATGCATCCTCCGTGGCCGTTTTCGCGTCGGAAGGCGTCGTCTGCTCTCCTTGGTTCTTCGGAGCAGCATCGATTTCCGCGGTTTTGGTTTGGATTTTGGGAGTGTTCTTCTGAGCAGGCACGTTTGTGATTGGATTGATCACGCCGCGCGCCACCTCGAAGGTAGCGGCGCGCGCGTTGGGCGCGTTGGTGACGACCATGGTAGCGGCGGGGCGGACGTCTACGATGGAAGCAATGCGGAAAGCGAACATCCGCCAGGCGCAACGGAGGGAGCAGAAGAAGAAGAAACAGAAGCAGAAGAAGGGAAGAAAGGCGTGGAGGAAGCGGAGGGAATGCCGAGGAGCGAGTTGATGAAGGCGTCGTGGATCTGCCGCTTCTGCCGCTCGACGAATTGCGCGCTATGGATGAAGGGGAGGAAGGGGAGCGACAAGGACTCGTTGGGTGGAGGCGTGGAGTCGAGCGTCTGTGGATGAAAGGAGGAGAGAAGGAAGGACTTTGGGGAGAAGGAGGTCGAGCTGGATGGGATGGCCTTCGATGGATTTGTGGTTGATCGCGCGGATGGCGGTGTGGGCCGAGCCGGGCTCCGCGAAATAGACGGCGCTGGGAGGAAGGGAGGAGAAGGGAAGCGTACACGCATTTCTCGCTGACGAAGACGACTTGAGCGATGGGGCCGAAGGAGCGGAACACGCCGAGAACCATGTTGACGTCGAAGTGCGCGTAGAAGTCGTCCGCCAGCACGCAGCTCTCGCTGGGAACCAATCCTGGCTGGGGCTGGCTCATCATCATTCCCTGCTGATACATTCCCTGCTGACTCATTTGCTGCCCCATCATTCCTTGGGGAGTCAGCATCATCGAGCCCTGGCCCATCATGGAGGGCTGGGGCTGGGGCTGTTGTCTCAGTTGTGCACTCATCGATTGACCCATCGATTGACCCATCGATTGACCCATCGATTGACCCATCGATTGACCCATCGATTGACCCATCGATTGACCCATCGATTGACCCATCGATTGACCCATTGATTGCTGTTGGTTCGCTATCATCATCGATCCTTGTTGCTTCATTCCCTGCTGTTGTTGTTGTTGTTGTTGTTGTTGCTGGCCAATCATCATGGGCTGAATCGCACCCCCTTGTTTAGGGCCCATCATTCCCTGCTGCTGTCCCAATTGTTGACCCAATTGTTGGCCCATTTGACCCAATTGTTGCCCCAATTGTGGCCCCATTCGCATCGCCGGATTGCTTCTCTGCTGCTGGTTTTTGGCTCCGCTCTGCGCGCCTCCTCGTCCCTTTCCCCCCTCATTCATCGTTCCACGTTTCCCCGATCCACGTGACCGGCTCCCTCCCATCGCCACCTCTCCGTCTTCCCACGGGGATCGGCGATTTCGACCCCCATCCTGATTCGAATTCGCTCCACTCCTCGTCTTCCCCTTCGAATTCGAATGCGAATTCGAATTCGATAGAACTTCTCCGTTCGATTTGGGGAGAAACTTGTACACCACGCCATCCACCTCTAAGCCAGGCTGCTGCAGCATGGCACGCGCTGATTGCGCCGACTGGAAGAGAACCTCGGCGAATGTGCGACGGCCATTAGGCGAATCGAATCCTCCCGAACGAAACTCGAGGATAGGTCCGAAAGATGCACAGAAATGAAGGAAATAGGCATAGTCGAAAGAGAGAGGCAGACCAAATATAGAAACAATTGAATTCGAATAGAAAGGGTCGATAGGACGTGTTACACGCAGAGTGGTGGTTGGAGTATTCCGACCGTTCATCGAAGCTGCCGCCATTTTAGCTAGAATAAATGGAGTAATTTTAAAAAATCGTACCTGAATTCACAGAAGAGTACTCGATTTTGAAGAGAGGTCGTCTCTAGGAAAATAGCGCTAAAAAGTGTTTACATTCTCATCAGATAACTCTTTCATTGATTCAATATGACCAAATGCTTGAAAAAGAGGGAGAAAATCGGGAGGCAGACAATCGTTCATCGGAGGATTGTTTCCGCCTCTTTTGATCTCGAACTCTTGAATGAAAATAACAGGAGACGACTCCATATTCTGTATAAAATGTATACAAAAATAGGGAGTTTTTTGCACCTGCCTTTTGTTTTTGGTCACTCACCAAAAAGAAAGCTACAACCAAATGGATATTGAGAACGAGATCCTTGTATGTTCTTGAGGATATCTAGATTATTGCTATAGGTGAATGTCAAGTTGACTACAAAGTATGAACGATATCAGATTGGAACGTCTGCAATTGCAGTTCCAACTCGTTTCTCGAGGTTTGAATTATCAAAATTGGTCAACGAAGCCTTGGAGCTCGAAAAGCCGATTCCTTTCGATTTTATTATCGATGGCATTCTTCTTCGTGTTCCTCTAAGCGAGTATATCAGTTTGCACGGTTTGTCTCTGGAATCTACCTTGGTGTTGGAATATGTCCCCATTATTGGCAAACCAGAGGAGAAATCGAGCGAAGATCTTCCAGACTGGCTCGGAGGTCTCAGCTGTATCGAAAACTACTACGTTGCGGGTTGCTACGATGGAAGCCTTCACGTTTACGACTCCAATGATTCTTTCCTCGCTTCCACTGTCGCTCACAAGAAGCCCATAAAATCCGTCGATCTTCAGAAATCCCAAGACGATGTGATCATCGCCTCCACCTCCCTCGACAACACAATTCGTCTCACTAAACTCTCTCAAAACGCTCTTCAGCCCATCGCCACCTGCTCCGGCCACGACAGCCACGTTCTCTGCTGCAAGTTCCACCCCGAATCGCCTCTTCTCGTCACCGGCGCTTGGAACGGAAGCATTCTCGTGTGGAACGTTTCCACGGTTTCCACGGTTTCCACGAACGAAGTCGAGCCGGTACACACGCTGAGCGAAGGCGTTGCGGGCGTGACGGCGCTGGGCTGGTCGGAGAACCGCGTAATCAGCGGTGGTTGGGATCACGTGCTTCGGATTTGGGATTTGGAGATGGAGGGCGTGGTGAACGATCTGGTTTGATTGGCTGTGCGGCGTGACGCGTAGAAAGGGAACAAAGTGATCAACGCGCTGGACGTGCAGCCCGGGTCGCAGCTCATCGCGACGGCGCATCCGGACGGCGCGGTGCGGCTGTGGGACGCGCGGCGTGCGGATTGGAGGGCGAATTGACGCGTAGAGGAGAAGCCGAACGTGCTGACGTTCGCGTCGCAGAAGCAGTTCGGGTCGGTGGTGCGGTGGCATCCGACGCAGAGCACGATCGTGAGCGCGATGGACTACGCGGGGAGCGTGACGGTGTTCGATACGCGGTCGACGTTCCCGATTCACATCGCGGAGCATGTGCAGGAAGGGAAGATTCTGTGCGGAGCGTGGAAGAATGGGGAGGTGCTGCTGAGCGGAGGGGAAGATAAGAAGCTGAGGAGATTGTCTGTGGCGAGAGGGGAAGAATGAGTGTTGTTTAGCGAGTAGAGATGAATGAATGGGTCTGTTTGTTTTGAAATCGGTTTGATTGATTGTTTTTTTATTGGAGTTGGATTGTGGATTGTTTTCTGGAGGAAAAGGAGGAAAAGGGGATCGATTCGAAAGCAAAGAAGAGTGGTTTGCTTGTAGAATAGAATATTTATATGTTTATTTATATGTGTGTGTAATGATAGAATGAATCGTTTTTCTTCTTTTATTACTGTTTTCTTCCTTCCACTGATCCATTCTACCGCTCCAGATTGTTCGCCATCCATTCATCTGTCATTCAACAAACACTTCAAACTTTATCCGCATATTCCAGTCCCACCACTTCGTATCGTCCGTCCTGGTCCACTTCGATCCACGGGAACTCGTACTTCTCCGGCAATCTCCAATGCGGCAAGTCCTTAAACGCGCTCGTCTCCCACGCGAACACGCCCACATCACGGTATGGCGGTCCTGCGATGATCTGCGAGCTCACTCCCTTCTTCATCAGCTATTCATCACGCTCCTTTCCCTCCTCTCACGCGCAGACTCGTGATCTTTCCGTCCGTCGCCGCGTGATTTCGCTGGCCCAAGCCGGGACGAGGATACGTTCCGTTCGCCAGATTGAGATCATTGCGGCAGCCGATCGCGTAGGAGCCGGTGTATCCAGGGTATCCCGCGCAACGACTCAAGGGATCGTGCTTGAAATCGTTGTAGCGGAGCAGGGCACGGAAGGAGGACTCGTCCTGAACACGGGGAACATCGCGAGCGAAGATGCGAGCGCGAGGACACTTCGTGTAGGAATAGTCATCACCGTGATGTGAAGGAAACAACGAAATGAAACGAAGTGGAAAGAGAGAAAAAGCAATCGATCGATCGATGATTCAATGGATTCAATGGATTCAATTCATTCATTCAATTCATTCAATTCAATTCATTCATTCAATTCAATTCAATTCATTCATCCAATTCATTCATTCAATTCATTCAATTCATTCATTCAAAACCCGATCACTCCATCCCATTTCTCCCTCTTTCCATCCATCCATCCATCCATTCTCGGATATATATTGCTCATACAACTTCTCCGCTCCGCTCATTTCATAAATGAACGGATCGAACGCGATATTATACGACGCATAGTACCCCTTTCGGTTCAGCACGCTACCGTTCACTCCTCTCTTCTCCCCCACTCCGTCGCATCCCAATACTTCGCATACCCAGGGATCTGCTCCAGCAAGAAGAACCCTCCCTTCTCCAGTCCCTTTCCTGGCTCAAAGTACCGATAGTCCAGCACCATCCATTGATTGTTGTAGCACCCATTGTTATACATCGCGTACAGCTTGCACCACTCCTCCGGCGACCTGCTCTTCACCCCGTTTCCACGCTTCTACCGCGCCAGCCGGTTCGCGATCAGGTTCCGCGCCCACTGCATTACGTTCTTCCCGTTCATATACCGATACAGCTCCTCGTTGTAGTTCCCGATCGTCGTCTCCTGCACCACCATCCACTCTCCCACCGTGTAGTAGTCGTCGCCGCTGCTGATCCGCGCCGGGTACGTGCTGAACGCCGTCAGCCGGCCCGGAATGATCGCGCTCTCCGCCGACGCCGTGCGCCGCAGAGGCAGGTCGTAGATCTTGTGCAGCTTGAACATCGTGTGCAGGGCGCTCCATGTCGACTGGCCAATCAGCAGGTCGCTCTTGTCCGCTATGCGGAATACTGTTCCTATAGGAAGTACATGTCATGCGGACCAACGCAGAACAATGGTCCAAATTATCGATCGTGAGGGGGTCTGGCTTCTCCTGTTTCTCCAGTTTCCCCTTTGAGGAGGCGTGGGGAAGCGAGTTCCAATCGCCCACGTCGCCGTCGTAGTTCGCGTATTGGATCTGCCATTTCGAGAGAGCCTGGGCGGTTAATTGGGGAAATGGAGGAAACTCGTTCGGGTTTTCCTTCGTTTGCAGCCATGTAGCCGTCGTAGACACCATCCACTTGGAGATCGAGGTAGTGGCGATGGTTCCAGTATTCGCGGTCTCCCACTGCGGATTCCTCCTTCTCCCATTCCGCATTTTCATCTAAAATCGATTGGATCTACAGTTAATCGCTTGATCTCTTGACTACAAATTCGGAGGGCTCCTTCTCTGTGTAAATGTTTTTAGAATGTGTGTAGATCATATCTTCCGAGAGATAACCCTCAATCAAACCAGCAGCATACGACTGATCCTCGTTGCTGAAATCCTCGTTGGAACTCACCTTCAAAATGTTCCAACCTACTTTTCATATAAATAATCCTAGTTTACCCGTCTCATTAATAGCCACCGAAATAGTACCGTATGCTACAGCAGATTTGTCAATGCCGGCTGAAAAGACCCATTTTCCACCCACTTTTCTGACAGAAGCCGAAACTAGATACTGTAAAACGTCTCCCCTTTTTCCTACAGGTGTTTGCTAGAGCACACATGGAAAGAATTCCAAATAGAGCGATAAACGATTTCATGAGTTTACCAATTCAAGAGTGACAAAACACAAACGTAGAAACCGCGGTAACTCTTTTTCCAACAAACAACACAAATCCATTACAACTTTCGAGATAATACAGAAAATGATTTTACAACGGCGTCTGCAATGCCTTCATCGATCTCCTTGGATGTTTGCAAACTCTGCTCTAACCTACCTCTCACCTTACTCAGCCTCCTCATACCTTATCACTGCGCTCTTTCGTTTATCTTTTTCGAGCTTCAATTTGGTTATACTATCCTGGGCGGCTCGTTTGATTCCTTTCAATAGCTCTATCTTCTCTTCGATTGCATCATCTGTAATTGTCTACATCCAATCGCTTTCCTTTTCAAAACCGATACCTCACTTCGATCTTCCATGCTTCGCAATCGGTTTATCAGTTGATGGCAAATCTCTTTTCTACGATCCAGCTCCTTTTTCACATGTTGATACAGAAATGCCGCTTCCTTGCGCACTCTAACACTTAGGATCACCAACATCTCGTAAACTTTTTATTTGCAGGCATTAGCCGCTGAAAAGTCGATTCAGATAGAGTCAAACAAGAATCCACTCGTGAAGCGAGTTCTTGATACGGATCTACGCAAATCAGACCATACAAATCGAAACAACCAACCTTGACTCATCTTTCTCAACTTAAAACTGAGGTTTCAATCCTATTTCATTTTCTTTCATATTTTTTCTACAAACAACTCAGAAATAAAAAGTAGGGATATTCCGCGTTGACAGGTGATGAGCTACAGAGCTGAACTGACTCTGCTTCGTTAAAAGCAGCATATCACAGCGTGATAACAAAAATAATTCCAGTGCACTCAGAATAAGTCCACTTCGTGATGGATTTCTCCCTCCATGTTCTAACGTATAACCACTCGTTGAAATAACGTTTTTAAACGATGATCTGAACAGAGATATGACACTTAACGTATCACTAGCAATGAACACAGTATAATTAGGATGAGTCTTGGCTACCTCCTTGATTTTCTGTATCATCATTCTCAAACCTTTTTTGGATAAATAGGAAATGAACTCTCCCCATTCGGACACATTTCCCGCTAATCTGGCATGTACACCAATTACAAACTTATTTCTCATTTTCTTTTCATAGGGTCTTATCAGAGACTCCAAGTAGCAACTCGGTTGGAATAAGTTGGGAATGCAGAGATCATACCAATACTCGGATTTCATCCTGATAGGCAATCCTAACTTTCGCAATATCAACTTGTTTGACTTCTTGGATAACAGCTGATGACCAAAAACTCGATGGGCTCTGACTAGAATGGAGCCTTCATACACAGAATCCTCAACCGGAGGCAATTCATTTTGGGATTGTACAGAGATTCGCTGAAAATCATCAAAGCTGCTGAAATAATCTCGACTCACATCTAGACATTAACTACTACCTGACTATCCTTTACCAAATGTTTCAGTTTGATTATCAGACTTTTCAATTTCAAAGCGTGTACGGTTAAATGGATGGATAAACAAGAACTCAGGAGCTGAGGGTGTATACACTGAGTTTTAGAAATTGTCAAAAAATCCTACTTTGAAATGTCCGATTCGTGAGTAATGCATACAACAGGGTATCACAGGCACATTTCATCTGGTTAGCAATTCCGGGACTTCCGTATTTTGCATACACAACCCGCGTCGTAATATAATCAAATTGTTCTTCCCGAAATGGAATGTACACATTGTTCATATAATCCACAAACGAGGGAATTCCATAGTCCCATGCTGAAAGATTGTTTTTACCCTTACAGGAAAGCACAGTATCAGTGTGAGAGAAAGAAAGAGGTCGATGTCCCGACGGTTTGAAAATACTGGTAGACATAGGAGAATTATACTTCCATTCCCTTCTCATCTTAGGAGAGAGGGTATGAGAAACACCAAGGCGCAGAGGCAGCAATGAACGAAAAAGAAACAACCATAGCAAAAGAAGAACCAAAAATAACCATTTCCGCCAGTCCCACAACATTTCCAAACAAAATTATAAACTCATTGATGTCTTCGAATATTATATATAGTACAGGAAAGTATTAAGAATCTGCGTTAGATTAGGACGTAGAGTGCTTGCATGTTCCATATCTTCTTTTCTGGCATACAAGTCATTTCGTGAAAGCGAAGACCCAAAAACAGAGCAGAAGAAAACATCGATACTCTATTTTTGGTAGGCGTTGCAGAAATGGGTTGAATGACAGTATTTTTCTAGGTATCGTGTTTATTATCGATAATACTGTGCATCCCCTGATCTCTTGGTACGGATTTGCTAGTCGTCTTCATCATCAGGATTCCGTTATACTACGAAATTAAAATTGTAGCCTTGGTTTCCATGTTTTTATTTACTTTGTACTTCGTATTTCAAACGTACTTCCCTTCACCTGTAGAACAACAACTCCCTTTTGGACTCTCTTTTCTCTTCTCTGTTCCGCCTTTTCGACACCTATATCATCCCAATGATTGTGGCGTAATTCCCTTCTCTCCTTCCTCTCACCCCAGATGTTCCAATCAAGTTCTCTACTACGCCGTCGCGCTTTTGGGTCCATTCGTGAGCCACGACCACCTTCTCGAAATGCGGAAGTACCTCACCAAAGTCCGAGAGGAGCTCAACAACAAAGAAGCGGCCAACCCAGTGAATTTTAATGTTTGTCTCAAACACTTGCTATTTTACAAATCTCCTTCATGCGATCCAAACAGATCTTGGATCTGCTGCTCGTTCCAATCCGCCACGTCGCTCGCTCGGCTTCTCTGCAGGCTCTCCACCGCTTCTCTCTCTTCCGGCGACAGACTCGACAGCGACGTGTTGACCCTCACTGACAGATCGCGCAGCGAATTCCCCGTTCGCACGGCGCTGCCCAGCGCGTCGCTCTCGAGCAGCGGGCGATTGGCCGTGTCGCTGTTCTCCGAGATGGAGAGAGAAAAGGGGTCGGGAAACAGCGGAGCGAGCTCCGCGGGGTTCAGCTGCGGTTGGTTGGCGAACACGCCGCCGCGAGGCTTGGAGCCAGGCGCGGAAGCGGGCTCCGAGGGAGGAACGGAAGTGGTGTCTGCGTTGCTGGCTCTCCCAGGTCCCTGGGGCTCGGAACGTTCGAAGGGTTCTAAATGCTCTACGTGCTCTACGTGGTCGAGATGTTCTAAGTGTTCTAAGTGTTCCAAGTGTTCTGAGCCTTGACGAGTTTCCAGCTTTTCCAGCTTTTCAAGATCTTCAATGTCTTCAATGTTTTGAATGTTTTGAATGTTTTGAATGCTTTCGATTGCTTGCGAAGAATCCAGCGTCTCTATCGTTTCTGCATCCCTTTCATTCGCTGGATAAGTTGGACTTGGTTGATTCTCGATATCGCGTGGCTCGGGGAGAACTTCGAGGATCGATTTGATGGAATTCGCTGCAACGCAACGAGTAAAAACGCCTGTGCAGATTCCAGCAAATAACCGACAATAAAACGAATTCTCCTTGCGTAGCAGACAAATCAAAAGAGCGAGTTGATAAGAACGGGGATGGAAAACAAGGCGAGGATGCTTCACGACTCTAGAAAGAATGTAGCCAACGATAAAGTAAGCGATAACAGGCAATAGTGGAATGAAGAATAGATCCTTTCTTTTGCAATAGAGAAAGGAGATGATCGACAAAAAGACAAACAGAAACACAATGAAAGAGTAGACCAGCCAGGTGTTCATTTTCCAAGTAGCAATATCAACAAGACGAACTCTGAAGTAGGAAGCTTCACATAAAAATCCGGAGATGAACAAGGCACTCAAATAGGGGATTCCATACTCAAGCACAGAATGATCCAATGAGCAGCTGAGCATGTCGCTGTAATTAGATGCCAAAAAGTAGAGCAGAGTTAGAACCACATACTTGACCAGTTCGTGAAAAATTTGAAAGATTGTTTTTTCTTCTCTTTTCCATTTCAGATAATACGCACAGATACGGTACAAAAAATAAGAAAAAATGTGCAAGAGCAGAAACACTGTGATCAACGTTACCTGGACAAGAGCCGACGGCCAAGTCCATTTTCCAACACTCTCCCCTGCAGCAACGACGCTGCTTTCAACACTCATAATAAATAAGTGACAAAAATGAACTCGCTTTTCCCATTTTATGTTTTAAATAGTATTATTACTATCATTATTATTTCTCACAAACAACACACACACACACACTACTTTTTTCGCCTTCTACAAATATCACAGAGCTCGCTCCCTTCTTTGTCGCACATTCGCTCCAGAGAGGGGATTTCCCCAAAATGCTCCAGAAGCACATTCCGCCTGCATTTTTCACTGTTTTTACAATAGGCAGCCATCAACTCCAAATTCTTTTCATGACGCTTTACCTGATCTTTGGAGCCAGATCCGAATCTGCGACCCATTTTTATCAGTCCCCGAATCTTTCCCTCATCCGCAGATCGGTAATAGAGTTTGCAGAGACTGGGCTTCCCATCTCGTCCAGCCTACATCAAATCGATCCAAACGGCGCCTACTCGCCCAGCTTCCTGGTAATAACCCTCGAGGGACTTCGGAAGAACCGTGTGGATAACATAGCGCACATCTTCCTTGTCTATGCCCATTCCATAAGCGATCGTGGCACAAACAACACGGATCTGATTCGATGTCCACGCCTGTTGCACGCGGATGCGCTGAGCGGAAGTCATGCCCGCATGATAATAAGCGCACGAAATTCCGTGCCTTTCAAGCTCCTCATACGTATCCTCTGCACGTCACTCGACCGCTGCGAGCCCACCTGCCTCCTTTCTCGACAGCACATACACGATCCCGCTGTCCTGCAAGTGTTTCTTAATAAACGCAATGATTTCGTCCATATAACAAACAGGGGCTTTTCCCGGCTTGTCGGGCTCTGCCGACTTGGCCGATTGGGGAGTGTCTTTACTACTCTTCCTGGCGGACCCTTCGTGCTTCTCTTTCCACTTCCTGACCTCCGATTTCGTGTGTTTCTTCACGACTTCATAGCGGAGATTGGGCCGATCGAACGTCTTCGCATCACTCCCTCCTTCATCCCTCTACTCTCTGGAATCTCGCCACGTTCCGCATCCCCAGCACCTTCACGCAGTCCTCCACCACCACCGGCGTCGCTGTGGCCGTCAGCGCCATGATCGGAACCCGCGGGAACCGCGTTCGAATCATCGAAAGCCTGCGATAGGCGGGTCGGAAATCGTGGCCCCACGTGGAAATGCAGTGCGCTTCGTCCACGACGAACCGCGCGAGCAGCCCCTCCTGGCTCAAAGCCTCGAGCGCGGACTGCAGCGTCGCGCTCTTCTCGAAGAATTCGGGCGTGATGTAGAGGAGCTTGATGGTGGCGGAGGGATGGCTTCGCAGCTCCGCGAAGATTGATTGACGCATTGTTTTCGGCTGCGCGTGACACAATCCCGGAACACAAAACGCAATCTCCGGACAGATAGGCGCACGGAACGCCGTGCGGACGGTGGATCAGCGACGCGATTTGGTCTTGTAGTAGAGAGAGAAGCGGGCAAAAAACCACGGTGACGCCGTTGTCGATAACCGCGGGGATTTGGAAACAGAGGGATTTCCCTCCACCTGTGCATTTGAGAACGAAAACGTCGCGCTTGGCGAGAGCGGATTGAATGATCGCGCGCTGATCGTCCCGGAAGGAGGAATAGCCGAAAACGTAATGCAGGGCGAAGTCTGGATTGAGGGGAGCGGAGAGACCTACCGATCGGATGGATGGAGTGGAGATCGGAGGAATGGAGGGGAGGGTCCACGTGACTAGGGACAAGATGGGGATGAAAGGTACGCTCGTTTGGATGGGAAAGAAGTGTCGGAAAAGGGAGTTGGCGTCGGACTGATCATAGAAGAGCGGAACTCGCTCTGAAAAGAGGAGGGTTGAGGAGAAAAGGAGGTGATAGAAGAAAGGTCGGGGTAATTCACGAACGATCCGTTTACAGAGGAGATATACTGTTCAAAGGATTGCGGAGTAAGGTCGTTGGGAAGAGTATGGATCGAAAGGGGCGTGTGCAGGATAAACGAAAAATTGCGGACCACCGAGTACATTGACAGGATAGCGAACTTTTTGGACTGGCCACCGATGATAAACGAGGTGATGTTGAGGACATCTCCCGCTTGCACACTGGTGGTTTGACCATTGAATCTGTCTGCCAATATAAAAAACATGGGCGAGAAAAGAGCACCGTCCCAGACAAAAAGCCTACAAACAAGATAAAAACGGGTTACAACCTTATTTGGTGACTCGAATTACCTTGAGAGAAGAATGTAGCGCGAATCACCTACACATGATTTCGAAACCTCCTGCGGAACCTGGACAAAATAATTGCAACTACACTGGCGCATAGAAAGGTCCCCCAGAATGCTTTCTATGCATCCCTTGCTCAAGTTCATATTGAATCCTAAACAGTATTTGTTTGTAAAAACAAAAGAAAAAGGCAAAAAGGGTCGAGCGATTATGCGACTGCATAATATTGACACTAGGATGTTTGGGCATTACGTTTTTTCGGTTAGTTAACGTACAGGATCTTTCAGTCAAGTAAAAAACTGAGTATGTTCTGGACGACCCAAAAACGGAACATAATCAATTATACTTGAGTAAAAAGCACTACTGGGACATTACTTGAAATAACTTCATTTTGGTTCGTTTTTATTTAGCGTTTATTTTGAAACCAATTTTAAATACCGTTAATCATGGAGGGAGTAAAATGTGTTTCTGTTGGGTATGTTTGCGTTTAAATAGATAATGGGTAGTGATGGAGCCGTCGGAAAGACTTGCATGCTTATTTCTTATGCGACTGATACATTCCCCGTCGATTATGTTCCTACAAGTCAAATTGCCTGGTTTGGATAAGGTTTAGTCTTCGATAATTACCAGGCTTCTGTGATGGTAGATAAGAAGCCGATTAGTTTGGGTCTGTGGGATACTGCTGGTAATTGGTGCTCAAAGTGCATAAAGTGAAGGTCAGGAAGATTACGACCGTCTGCGTCCTTTAAGTTATCCCCGCACCGATATCTTCTTGCTTTGCTTCTCGATTGATAAGTACGTGCTGTCTCTTCCTTTTAATCCACAGTCCGGTGTCGTTCGAAAATATAGAGAAGAAGGTAGGCTTTTAGTCTGTTTTTCGATCCAAGTGGTACCCTGAGATCAGCCACCATTGGCAAAACACTAAAATCCCAGTGCCTTGCATCTTAGTTGGACTTAAAGGTGATCTCCGTACTGACCCTGAAACAATTAAAGAGCTCGCAAAGAAGAACATAGAATTAGTTTCTCAAACTGCCGCGACGAACTTAGCGAACCGCATTAACGCTGATTGCTATTTAGAGTGTTCTGCGAAGACGCAGAACGGCCTGAAGGAAGTGTTCGACCAGGCGATTAAAGTGGCGTTGAGTAACCGATCGTCGACGCCTACTTCAGAGAAGAAGGGCTGCGGTTGTTGTATTATGTAGTTGCGATGTGTGTTGTTTGGGATCATAACAAACAAGAAAATGAATGAATGAATGAATGAATGAATGAATGAATGAAAAGTCCACATTTCGGAGAACGAAGAGAACCATTCAATGAATGAATGAAGAAACCAAAACCAATTCAAAACCAATTCAAAACCACTCTAGGGAGTGGAGAGCCTACCGCTTCGCCTGGCCTTCTATCCGGCTCCAGCTCCGCCTCCCTTCTTTCTCGTCTCCATCCCAGGGTCTCGCGTGGTTTCTTCTAGCATCTCCGTCACGGGCTGCTTCACCGTCAGACTCAGCGTCGCTGGCGCCTCCCTCTCTCCTTCTTCTCCCCATTTCTCCTCCTTCTCCTTCTCCTCCTCCTCTTCCTCCTCTTTCTCCTCTTCCTCTTCCTTCTCCTTCTCTTCCTCTCCCTCTTCATTCCTCTTCTCGCCCTGCGCAGCCAGCTCCAGCTTCTCGATCGGCCGCAGCACCTGCTCCACGAACGCGTCCCACACGCCGTCCACGCCGATCCACTCCCGAGTCTCTCCCTCCCTCGCCAGCCGGTCAATCCCGCGCGCAATATGCGTCAGCGCCCCCGTGTACCCCACATACTCCCGCTCGAACAGGAATCTACCGTTCACAAGGTTCCCCGTTTCCACCTCGTCTCGTGCGCCGTGCGCAGCGCGGAGGCCACGAGCAGCTGAACGGCCTGAGTGTGGAAGAGCGCGCGCCGCCAGGCCGCTTCGGAGAGAAGAAAGGCCTTGTCGAAGAAGGCGGTGCAGGCCACGTGCAGCACCGAATTCCATGGAAACGACAGCATGAGCGTCTGGCCGTCAGAGGAACACAATGATTGTGTACCAAGATCTTCAGCGGGACTTCGCAGTCCGCCATGGCCGCGGGGATCCGCGCGGAGGGCATGCAGAGAAGCGTCATGCAGAGCAAAACCAGCTCGATGCGCGCCACGCCGCACCGCTCGATTCTCCCCACAGTACTCGCGATAAACCGCGGGATGCACACCGACCCCTCCTGAAACTCCTACAAGGAAACGCTCTCCATCAAGCCAACGGGCGTTACGTCGAGAAACGCCGCGATTTGGGGGAGATTATCCGCGAAAATCGGCTCGAACGCGTCTTCTTCCCCTTTTCCACGTTGCACCAGAAGCAGCACGAAGTTCTCCACTTCCCGCAATTTCCGCGCCAGAACCGCGGGATATCGCTTCATCTCGTCGAAGTCGGCTTGTTCGGCGGGCTCAAGGTCGATGGCGGGGAGTCGGAGTTTCCCCGCGGCATCCTGCATGGAGGAATCGTCGGCGTTCATTTGGTAGGCGAGGAGGACAAAACCGAGTTGTCTGAGCATTGCGGAGCGCTTGGCAGCGGTCTGGTCGAGTCTGGATGGGAGGGAGCGAAGGGCTCTCTACGAGGGATCGACGGTGACGGCGATGTCGCAGTCGGAGGAGGCAGCGAGCTGGGCGAAGAGATCGGCTTGCTGCGGAGACATGCCGACGCCGGTGATGTCGATGGACCTCACGGTGAGCACGTCGTCTAGATAGATGGAGGATAGAAGGAGGAGGGTACCGAGGAAGTCGGCGAGGAGAGGCAGGGCGGAGGCGTCGATGCAGTTGTTGCCAAGGTCTAATGATGTGATGGCGGGGCAGCGGCGGAGAATGATGAGCAGCTGGCGCAGTCCTTCGGTGTCGAGGAGACAGTCGTGGAAAGAGAGAGAGGACAGGGTGCGGCAGTTGCCGAGAGAGACGAAGGAAGGAATGAGGGAGGTGTCGATACTGGAAGAAATGAGAGAGAGTACGAAAATCAGTACTTTGTTTCGTCGAGAATGAGCTTTTGGATTTTTGATTTGGACAGGGCACGACAGAGAGTGAGTGCGGAATCCTTGTCCATTTCGTAACAGCTGCAAAATCATCGGCATAAATTGCGTTTACGATAGGTTTAGGGACACGATTGACTTATTCACACGGATTAGTTTACAGATATAAGAAAGCCCCTTTTTTGATATCTACCGTTAACGATCCTCGTGGAACAGTTACAGGAGTCAACACAAATGATAAACTGGGATATGCATCACACTTTTCAAGAGAATCACACAATGACTTCAAGTATTGGTCCGTTAGGGTTAGCTCTATCGAATATTTAAACAGAACAGTGAGTACTTGAAGCATTTACCACTCCATTTTCAAACCTGATCTCTGGAAACTTTTCTGGTAGAGAACCTTTCCCACTCTATATCTTACTCAAAATAGAAGAAGTAAACATGCATAAGAAAAGTATTGGCTCTTAAAAGAGGTTTTACTGTAAATGGGGTACGTTTATTAACGTTCTGTTGATGTACTGTTTCTTCTATTTATTTTATTTATAATACACGTTGGTGATTATACCAAACAAAGACCTACTTTTTATTCCACTTTCGTCTTGTTAGGCTCGATTTGTTACGAATTCGTATCGGATTGTTTATAAGCCTATTTTGAATTTGTAATATGACGTCCATAGCTACTGTGTGTGTCAATTGCATTATGACACTTGTAATTGTTGCTATGGCATGGGTATATTACAAGCAGGTAATTTTCACAACAAGTTGTGTCAGAATTAGGAGTTTGAGGGGTTTAACAACACGGAGACGGAAGGTTCAAGTTTCTTATTATTCACTTGCTTAAACAATAGTATGCAATAAGCCGCTTCAAGTATATGAAGATTCTGGTGTTTTATATGGAATTGTGGAAGAGGGAACTATTAATTTATATGTTCTTTATTTGAATGATCACTCGAAAGTGGATATCGATCGCATTAAGCTTGAAGGGTTTCATAAAGGGCGTTTTTCAGCAGGACAGATTTGGAAATGCAACCTAGACCAGCTTGGTATTGGATTTGGAGATGCCTATATCGCCATTGAGCATCTGGACAGTAGCTGTGAGCCTCAGATCTATCAATACCATTCTTCTAGTGGGCTATTGTCTCTTTGTTTTTCTTATTATCAGCTGCACCTCAAGTCCCATGTTCTGGCGAGTTAAACTCTATTTTGCTACCGGGTATTCGAATCTCTCGAAGAACAGTAACAATTCAGATCGATTGATTCTGCATTTCCCCTGCGTCACCTCGGCTCTGTACCAGATCCTTCCCTCTTCCTCCTGTTCGGACTCTCTCTTCCCCGATTTATCCATCTCTTCTTTTAAGTTTCTTTCTCTCGTCCATCTACTCAACGCAGAGTCGCCGACAGCTCCGTTCTCTCTCTCCCCGTCTCGCCTTCGAATTTCTCCAGCGGAGGGCTTTGTGCGCGCGCTTTCTGCGACGCCTGCGCCAGCCAGACCGTCTTCATCCAACCCAGCGATCGGGTTGATCGTACTCCGCATGCTATGCATTCAAAATAGGCCCGATTTCTGGAATCGAATCGATCAAGAGCTCCATGGTGAACCGTCAGCGGGAGGGAGAAGTCATGAAGGTGACCGGCTCTCTGTATCATTCTCCGCATTATGGAAGGATTACGAACAGACCGTCGTCGAGTTTGGCTGATGGGGGCGTGTGATGTAGTTTCTTCTTGTATTTCGTCAGATATTTTGGATTTCCGCATTCTGTCGGTTCGCACCATCGCGAACGTGGTGTTTGCGAAGATTAAGGTCAATTTGCCGTCGTCGCACATTTTCTACTGGAACACGCCAATTCAGTTTGAAAAAACGGTTACACCGGTGGAAGTAACGAAATTTGGGACATATGCGGGGGAAGCGGAGTATGAGATTATGACGTTGGTGATTACGGATTATTATCCCTCTGTCATGAATAATTTGTATGTCGTCCTGGTGTATGATAAGTGCACAAAGAAGCTAGTCAAGCGTCGTTTTCTACCTTGATGTGTTTGTTGCAGACATTTTTATGGAGGCGAAGTTTAATTCGTTCGTCGAATCCTTCTACCTCTCTCTTTCGGATTCTCAATTTGATAAAGCGAAAGAGCAGCTGGATTTGATGCAGAAGTGGCACGAAGCTTATGTGAACAGCTTAAAGTCGGTCGATCCAGATCAAATTGACAAGCAGCTGCTGGAGAATGCTCCTCTCTACAAGCAAGTAAGGGCGAAGTCGTTTTCTAACGAACAGATCATAGATCATTGTGAGAAGAAGTATATAGATATCGTTTTCAAAGATTACTATCTGTATATTCCTCAGCTAAAGCCATTTCCATCCAGCTTTTGGAGTATCCACATTTTGTATATTGTTTTATTTAGATCTCTGTACAATCAGTTCATTTAAAAACAAAGCATGTCTATTCTTCAATGGAGAGGGCGCCTTGCAAGTAAAAACGCTTCTAGAAAGCGCATCCTTCCAGGAACGTTCAGTAGCAACTCCCAAGGAAGGTACACCCCAAGAACAAATCGACATTTCCTCCTTCTTTATGAATGACCTCTCCCAGTTTAGTACATGCGCAGCCTATGTTTTTTCAGTCTATGGAATTCACTGTAGGTTTCTTCTCTAATCGATTTCTGTTCTCAGTCTCCATTTAGCAGCGATTTAGATTCTTTTGTTTCTGTATTCGCTCTCTTCCCCCAAATGATAGGATAGCAATCAAAGTCGATTCTCACTGAATCGTTCAACCTCTTCAACACCTGCCTTGTCCAATCATCTCTCGCTTCCAGCTGTCTCTCCACTCTGAGTCTATGGAACTCCGTCTACAGCTCTGCGTACCCACTCCCTTCATTCCCTCACGTTAGTTGTAGAGAATGCCACAACTGTCATTTCCCTCCAAGTTTCCCCATTTCCTCCCAATCTTCTCAAAATCTCAACCTCTATCTTTCTCTTCTTTCCTCCTTTCTACACGCTGCCCCCATTTCCTACCCCCAAACCCTCCACTCGTTCTCCACGCTCAACCGCTGCTACACAGCCCTCTGCGTTTACTTCTCCATCTTCCAAGATCCGTTCTCCGGTAGCTCGCTTCGCTTCGGCCCCTCCTTCGTGGAAGACGCGTTCTTCTTCATTCGCGAGTCGATCGAGCGAAGCCACTTCGCTGGGTGCAAAGCGGATGTTCGCGACCCAATGGAGTCGTTTCTGATTCCATATATGGAGTGCTGTGCAGCGCTGGCCGAGTTCGAAGAAGAGGAGGAGGAGGAGAAGGAGAAGTGGCTGGGATGTCCACGCTGCTTGCTGTTCTGCTTGGATGGGTGAGGAATCGAGGGCTGGTCGAGTGTAGAGTTTGCTTGTTCGAGCAGTTCTGGATCGAAACGGAACACAAAATGAATAAGGAAACCGAAAAGGAAACGATCGTCCATATCGGAAAGGAATCGAAAAAGCAAATCGAAAATGGAACCACAATCGAAACTCGAAGCACAGCCGAAACCACAATCGAAACAGAGAAGGGACAAAACACATCCTATCAGAACGAGATTAACGTATGAGCCTACCACCCATGCTAATTCCATATAGAAAACAAAAACCCAATTAGAAAGCTTGGCTCGAGCGCAGATTCGAAAGTCCATTCTGCCGCTCTTGCAGACCGATTGGGTCAGTCGAAACTTCGCTCTCTCCATGAGCGAGTACGACCGCTCGCTTCTCCAGCTCCCTCTCACGTTCTCCTCTCTTCATCTTCTCGTGTGTCCCATCATCACTACAGATGAAGGGAAAAAGCGAATCAATCAAATCGTTGCTGAAGAGTATTGCCGCTCTGTCGAGGAAGTGCTCAAGCAAAAACGATTCACAGAGTGTGGAGGACTGCTTCTAAAGCGCCTGGTGCGGCATCTGCAGGAAGAGTTAGTGGAGATTTTGGGAGATGAAGTGATGGGATGTGAGCCGCTTAACCGACTGTTGTTGTTTTCTGTGTTGGTCAGCGTGCCGATCGATACAGAGAACGTGGACGAATTGGTGAAGATGGCTCACGTATCCATGACTCGAGATGAATACAAGGAGTTGCTGGGGCTACGAATCGCGCAGAATTTGGGTGTTTGTATCAAACAATCGACTAAACTTTACCATCTGCACGCTTCTTCACGACATTGATCCCCATCGACTTTGTAGAGTTAATGATCTGCGAGACAATGCTCTGCAAGGGAATTGACTTCAAGTTGGGATCTTGCTGTTTCACTTTTGCAATCTCGTATATTTGCTTCAGTGTGATCTCTCCAACGATCGTATGTCCGGGCTCTGAACTAAAATATCAAGCCAAGAAACCAGAAACTACCTGCACTTGTCTACACCAGCACAACGCTTAATAAACCACGAGGTTTGCGGCGAACGCGTTTCGAGGTGGTATGAATGATCCGAAAAAGCATTTAGAGTGAGCTGAACGGGAATTCCGGGAACATATTGTGAAGTAGCTGCATTTACGTCTTTACAAAAATCTTTCATGTTGATACCGAGTGGGCCCAAAGCCTAGACATTACAGAAAGAGCAAATCGACCGACTTGACCAATAGCCGCAGAGGGTTTTGCCTGCTGTGCAGCAATGCGCAGTCGGATGCAAGCCGTTAATACAGGCTTCGACATTTTGTGGAATTTGAAATAGAAAGCGAAATAGAAAACTGTGCGAAAATGATTAAATAACCATAATTGTCTGAAACAAACGCAAATTGTGAGAATGGACGATTATAAAAAGGTAAAAGGGACCAAACTCAAGTTCAAAGGCCGAGTGCTGCCAGTAAAAGAGACATCAACAAAGTGAGACAGTCAAGAGTGTAGCTTGATGCTCTAGAAGCAAGAAGAAGAAGAAGGCAACTCAGGAAAAGCTAGAGAAATTAGTTGCTAAACCAGAGGAAGAAAGTACATATCTTCCTGTAGAGGAAAAAGAGGACTATCGAACTGAAGCCGAAAAGCAATTTGATGAACGTTTAAAGCAGCAGGTTTGTTTGAGATCTTGGATCTATCATAGGAAAAGAAATTTATAGAAAAGAGATCAAAAATGAGTTATCACGACGTTATTGAAGTGATTTGTTTGTGTGTTGACTTAGGTGTAGGAGATGAACTCCAAACTAGATAAACTTACTGACCACAACGATCTTCCTCGTATTGCAGCAGCAGGCCTTGGATGCTCTGTTCGTTAAAACAAACACGACAAATCAAAATAAGAGAAATCAGAATAAAAGCTATTCCACATAGCATTGCAGTTGTTGTGTAGTTCTTTTCACAGCTGAGCTTAATTCCGGTAGGAATCAGCTCATACACACAAATATGGGTCATAATGCCTCCCGTTACTCCAAAAAGGAAACCAAAAATGTAGTTATTCACCCATTTCTGCAAGAATAACATACACAAAAAGGCTCCGAGCGGTTCGGCCAGACCTGAAACTAGAGACCATAAGAAAGCTTTGCCTCTATTCTTAGTAGCATAATAGACGGGAAGAGCAACAGACAAACCTTCAGGAATGTTATGAGCTGCAATTCCGAGTGCTAACGTAAGACCAATAACGGGGTTATCAACATAACCAATGTAAGTGATAATTCCCTCAGGAATGTTGTGAAGAGCAATGGCTATCGCTGACATAATTCCCACAGTCTTCATATTGCTACTGAAGTTGGAATCAACGAAATAGTCGGGTTTGGATAAATCTCGAGTGGTTCCCGTAATTGTTTTCACTTCATATCCAGAAGAAGGAATCGTTACCGTCAAAGGCTCATCACCCGGTGATTGAGCAAGATTCCCGCTTATAATGGGATTTGGAATCACTTCTCCTTCAGACAAACGACGATTCTTCTCTTTACCCGATACCACTTTGGCAGATACTATACTTTACACTTCTATCCTATCATTTCGTACCTTTACGATTTGAACCATGAACATCTTTACTCAGAGTATCTTCTGAAGTAATAGGAAGTTCAAACTCCACATTACTTCCCTTGTGGAGAACGATTTCTAATAGAAAGGCTATACCCACTCCACTAAATAGACTCAACGAAGCATATAATGTTCTATATATCAAAATATATCATGATATTGATTACGCCAAGTGTTCGTTATTTGTACCTTCCATAAAGTGTTCTTTCGATTCAATAAAGATTTCAGCAAATGAAAGAAACAACATCACACCTTATACATAATATATAATATAGGAATGTGTACCTGCTGAGAATCCTAAGGCAGCAGACAAGAATGTCTTATTTGCCAATTTGACTAATCTTTTGAAATATACGATGCTTCCTCCGAATGCTGTGGCGAGTCCAGCGAAAAGTGATAACGAAATGGCAATCCAAGACTACACTGAAATGATGTCCTAAATGAGTACTCTAGTGTTGACAGCTTCGGAAGACAAAAGCGCATGCGAGATTAGCATTGTTTAAATAAAAATGAGAATGATAGCCACAGAAATATGAAATTGGGCAACCAATCATCTGTCGAATTCATTCATTGGTGTCGTTGTTGTATATATTCGATTTCTATATATAGGAATAGCATGCACAATATGTGATTTGTCTATGGAACAAGTATCGTATAGGAATATTCAATATTCGATTGACATGTAAGTTCCGTCGTGAACATATTCTCATTTTCACTTTCTATCATTATGACTAATTTTGCTAGATCGTATTGATAATTACACGGGGCATAACCCAAATGATAAGAAAATGACTATTTCGAGTTCATCTTTTGAAACTCAATATAAGCTCTTGTCATTATCCGTAGAGCCTATCTAAGAACAAACACAATACATTAAAATAAAAGAAATAAGAATAAACCCAATCCCAAATAAGAAAGCATACGAAGTATAGCTCCTATCATTTTCAAAAGAAATTCCAGTGGGGAAAAGCTCGCATATACTAATTTGCGTCATGATACCTCCCGTTACTCCAAAAAGGAAACCAAAGATGTAATCGTTCATAAACTTTCGTAAGAATAGCATGCACAAAAAGGCTCCGAATGGTTCGGCCAAACCCGAAGCGAAACACCACAAGAAAGCTTTGCTTCGGTTATGAGTAGCATAAAAGACGGGAAGAGCAACGGACAAACCTTCGGGAATATTATGAGCTGCAATTCCAATGGCTAATGTAAGACCAATGACGGGATCATCAACATAACCAATATAGGTGATAATTCCTTCGGGAATCTTGTGGAGAGTAATCACAATAGCAGTCAAAGCACCAACAACTTTCAAATTTTGATCAGCTTCAGCTTCTTTTCGTTTAGCTTCACTCATTTCATGAGTATGGGTATTGGTAGTAGCAGCAGCAGTAGCAGTAGCAGAATTTGATGTAATAAGAGGCTCATTAATGGAGTTCTCTGTAACATCAGTCACAATAGCGCTAGGAGTCATATCCTTTATTGATTTATTGTTTTCTCCATTATTAGCAACACCTTCAGATTGTTCTATTCAATTATACAAAATGGTTGATTTGTTACTTTGTTCGTTTTCTTTAAACATTGTAGTAAGAACTTCTTCAGCATCATCAGGAATCTCGAATTCAATGGAATTGCTTTTACGAAGTAAATAATCCATAAGGAAAGCAAGTCCAATTCCACCAAACAGACTCAGAGTCGCATACAATGTGCTAATTATAAGTCATAGTGAAGATATTCAATACCCCAAATGTGGATTACTTGTAGCTTCTGTGAAGTGATCTTTGGACTCGTTAAAAATTTCAGCAAACGAAAGGAACAACATCACACCTTACAAATCATATACAATAGAGTGATATATACCTGCAGCAAAACCAAGTGCAGCAGATAAGAACGACTTATTTGCCAATTTGACAAGTCGTTTAAAGTATACTACTGATCCTCCAAGAGCTGTAGTAAGTCCAGCTAATAGAGTAATAGAGATGGCAGTCCAAGACTATAAGTAATGTTAAAATGGAAATTCTTGCATCTGAATTGACGGCTTCTGCGATAAGCTTAGCGTGAGAACGCATTGATAAAGAAATCAAAAAAAGACTGATGGATGGAAATAAGAATCTCATGAGCCAATCATCTATCGTATTCATTCATTGGTGTCGTTGTTGTATATATTCGATTTCTATATATAGGAATAGCATGCACAATATGTGATTTATATATTGACCGAGTATCATATAGGAATATTCAATATTCGATTGACATGTAAGTTCCGTCGTGAACATATTCTCATTTTCACTTTCTATCATTATGACTAATTTTGCTAGATCGTATTGATAAATGCACGGGAAATAACCCAAATGATAAGAAAATGACTATTTCGAGTTCATCTTTTGAAACTCAATATAAGCTCTTTTCGGCACATACAAGGTCCATTTTGGAACAAACACGACACAACAAAATAAAAGAGATTAGAATGAAACCAATCCCAAATAAGAAAGCATACGAAGTATAGCTCCTATCATTTTCAAAAGAAATTCCAGTGGGGAAAAGCTCGCATATACTAATTTGCGTCATGATACCTCCCGTTACTCCAAAAAGGAAACCAAAGATGTAATCGTTCATAAACTTTCGTAAGAATAGCATGCACAAAAAGGCTCCGAATGGTTCGGCCAAACCCGAAGCGAAACACCACAAGAAAGCTTTGCTTCGGTTATGAGTAGCATAAAAGACGGGAAGAGCAACGGACAAACCTTCGGGAATGTTATGAGCTGCAATTCCAATGGCTAATGTAAGACCAATGACGGGATCATCAACATAACCAATATAGGTGATAATTCCTTCGGGAATCTTGTGGAGAGTAATCACAATAGCAGTCAAAGCACCAACAACTTTCAAATTTTGATCAGCTTCAGCTTCTTTTCGTTTAGCTTCACTCATTTCATGAGTATGGGTATTGGTAGTAGCAGCAGCAGTAGCAGTAGCAGAATTTGATGTAATAAGAGGCTCATTAATGGAGTTCTCTGTAACATCAGTCACAATAGCGCTAGGAGTCATATCCTTTATTGATTTATTGTTTTCTCCATTATTAGCAACACCTTCAGATTGTTCTATTCAATTATACAAAATGGTTGATTTGTTACTTTGTTCGTTTTCTTTAAACATTGTAGTAAGAACTTCTTCAGCATCATCAGGAATCTCGAATTCAATGGAATTGCTTTTACGAAGTAAATAATCCATAAGGAAAGCAAGTCCAATTCCACCAAACAGACTCAGAGTCGCATACAATGTACTAATTATAAGTCATAGTGAGATATTCAATACCCCAAATGTGGATTACTTGTAGCTTCTGTGAAGTGATCTTTGGACTCGTTAAAAATTTCAGCAAACGAAAGGAACAACATCACACCTTACAAATCATATACAATAGAGTGATATATACCTGCAGCAAAACCAAGTGCAGCAGATAAGAACGACTTATTTGCCAATTTGACAAGTCGTTTAAAGTATACTACTGATCCTCCAAGAGCTGTAGTAAGTCCAGCTAATAGAGTAATAGAGATGGCAGTCCAAGACTATAAGTAATGTTAAAATGGAAATTCTTGCATCTGAATTGACGGCTTCTGCGATAAGCTTAGCATGAGAATGCAACATTTAGCAAATAAAATATATGACAATGACAGAAAATATTGTTATTAACCAATCAGATTGCTTTCCACGATTTATAGCTGCAACACATCGCAATAGAACAATTAGTAGCAGACTCTAGTACACATTATTTTCTGTTCATACCTCAAATTAGCAACTGTAAAGAACCAAAAATGATTCGACATGCAAGTTCTGTAGTGAAAAGAATCTTGACTGTTTGGGGAGTTTCATCGCCCAACCTTACCACAATCGCTATTACATCCATGTAATACCATGTTTACGATGCGAAGAATGTGTATTTAATAAACGGAAATCATATTATTCGTAGTGAATAACAATCGATCATATCATTAGTTGCACTAATATGATAGCATGAATGTGTATGTGAATAAGTGTATTTCTTCAGATCTTGCGGGTTAACCACTAATTGGTTTTATGAATTGTCACACTGTGACATTACTAGTGTTAATCGATTATGAGTGACTAAAGCAGATGATTCTACGTGCATTAGAAACATTGTTTGACAACTCTTGATGATGGAGTTTGCTATTTCACCCCAAATGGAACAATTTTGAACAAGTGGTATCTCCTTTCTCTATATATGATTCGAACAAACACGACAAATCAAAATAAGAGAAATCAGAATAAAAGCTATTCCACATAGCATTGCAGTTATTGTGTAGTTCTTTTCACAATCAAAGCTAATTCCGGTAGGAATCAGCTCATAAATACTAATATGGGTCATAATGCCTCCTGTCAATCCAAAAAGGAAACCAAAAATGTAGTTATTCACCCATTTCTGTAAGAATAACATACACAAAAAGGCTCCGAGCGGTTCGGCCAGACCTGAAACTAGAGACCATAAGAAAGCTTTGCCTCTATTCTTAGTAGCATAAAAGACAGGAAGAGCAACAGACAAACCTTCAGGAATGTTATGAGCTGCAATTCCGAGTGCCAACGTAAGACCAATAACGGGGTTATCAACATAACCAATGTAAGTGATAATTCCCTCAGGAATGTTGTGAAAGGTAATAGCTACTGCTGAAAGAATACCAACCGAGTTTATTTTCGTTAGGTCTGATTCAATGAAATAGTCGGGTTTGGATAAATCTCGAGTGGTTCCCGTAATTGTTTTCACTTCATATCCAGAAGAAGGAATCGTTACCGTCAAAGGCTCATCACCCGGTGATTGAGCAAGATTCCCGCTTATAATGGGATTCGGAATCACTTCTCCTTCAGACAAACGACGATTCTTCTCTTTACCCGATACCACTTTGGCAGATACTATACTTTACACTTCTATCCTATCATTTCGTACCTTTACGATTTGAACCATGAACATCTTTACTCAGAGTATCTTCTGAAGTAATAGGAAGTTCAAACTCCACATTACTTCCCTTGTGGAGAACGATTTCTAATAGAAAGGCTATACCCACTCCACTAAATAGACTCAACGAAGCATATAATGTTCTATATATCAAAATATATCATGATATTGATTACGCCAAGTGTTCGTTATTTGTACCTTCCATAAAATGATGTTTTGATTCAATAAAGATTTCAGCAAATGAAAGAAACAACATCACACCTTATACATAATATATAATATAGGAATGTGTACCTGCTGAGAAACCCAAGGCAGCAGACAAGAATGTCTTATTTGCCAATTTGACTAATCTTTTGAAATATACGATGCTTCCTCCGAATGCTGTGGCGAGTCCAGCGAAAAGTGATAACGAAATGGCAATCCAAGACTACACTGAAATGATGTCCTAAATGAGTACTCTAGTGTTGACAGCTTCGGAAGACAAAAGCGCATGCGAGATTAGCATTGTTTAAATAAAAATGAGAATGGTAATTGGAAATAGGAGAAGGAATAACCAATCATCTGTCGTATAGATTCATTTGCTGTCATAGACCCAGCAACTTCCACTTCATTGTTAGGAATGTAATATACAACTCTATATCACATGGCTGATATAATTTTTATCACCGACCATATATATTCTTCAGTAAACCCAAATTCTGTAGTGCCTTCTTGTCAACTTTCACGGTTATTTTATCGTTTTATCAGTAGTTGAATTGTAATTTATTCATATAGAAATGTCAAGCGAACAACAATCAGGTGAGCAGGAACAAAGTCAGTTCATTTTATATTGTTGATATTTAGTAAACCAATTGTATTTGACATAACATTGAAGTCATTTCTTAGAGGGAATGCAATAAACTCACTGCAAGATAGTATAGGATCTGTTTCTAGCAATCTTTTGCTTGCGTATCAAAAGATGGAACAGAATTTGCAGAATACGATGCAAATGATGTCTAATATGAATAAAATGATGGAGTCGTTTGTTTTACTCAACATCGAAGCAAGTATTGGTGCCTATGTCAATTACCTTGTAGTCCCTTCATTTCGCCGAATTGAAGACTCTAGCTATGTCATGGATATTTGCATAAAGAACAATATTAATGTTTCATTGAAAGGAGTTGTAATTGAAGTCCACAGTAGTGTAAAGCTGCAAGATTGGTGTGATATAGACCGAAAATGATTGCTTGCTTTTTACTGAGGAGAAAGCAAGATCGTACCAATCAGAGAGTATGGATTTGACTGTTGAAGAACCGATTACCCTTCATATTCCTGTGTATTGTACACATCCGGTAATCGCTACTTCAGTTATTACAATAACTTGTAGAGCTCTATTGATATAACTATTCGCCTTCCTTCTCCAGGAACTGGAGAAATGATTTCAAAGAGTTGTCATCACTGCGTTTGTATTATTTAGCTTGTTTGTTGCGATACAGTATTGATGCGCAATAAAATGAATTCGTGTCGAGAATGATTGTCGTGTTGATGGTTCGGTCATTGGGATTAAAATGTCTGTAGAATTCGACAATCTGTATGCCCAGACATATTTATTGCTGGAGGTATAGAATCTGTTATCTATATAGTGGTGTAGTCCTTAAGTAAAACCAAATATGTATATACGATTCAGGAAATCGGAAACGCTAGCTATGCTCTGGCCGTCGCTGATAGTAATATCAAGCAGATGTGGTCAATTCTGGTTACAATGGCAATGAATCGTGATGAGTCTTATACGCAACGTGTCCCTTTAGTTTACAAATTGATATGCATGTGGCATGAAAGAAGAGCACTTCTAGTTCCTTTTGAATCTACTATCCAAACGTAATCGATATGAATCCTATTGATTTCAGAAACAATAACAACAATAATATTGCTAATAATAATAATAATAATAGCAATATCAGGGACGTTCCAAACTCCCCAATGGATACAGATAACACACGTCCTCGTCTTTCGGATGTTATAAAAATAGGTCTATCGTGCTTGTTTTTCATTTCGATCACTATTTTTCTCATATTCATTATTCCATTATGTGTTTGTTTGTCACACCATCGTATTAATGCTCATGTACCAATAGAACACGAATCATTCCGTTCCATAGAATATGATTTTCAAGCAACAACTCACCACACCACACCACACCATAAAGTATCAAACAAACACGCCACTTCATCCATCGTTTCTTAAAATACGCATTGCGTCTTCTCACCAGCTCCGCGAACGCTTTCTTCGGATCACTTTCTCCCAACGTCGCCTGCACCGTCGGCTCAAACACACGGAAAAACGGGTTCACCAGCTTCTCATCGTGCAGACAGGTCGGCGTTCCCGGCTTATTCTTCGCCTTCAGCAGCGTTCGCTTCACCGCCCAATGCAGATTCTTGATATCACGATTCGATGGCTCGATCGTTCTGCCGAATTTCAGCATCTGCTCCGCGTTCTCATGGCCGTGGAAGAGACACGTCTCGTCTGGATAGTTCATTAGCACATCGTAGATCAGATGGTAGAGACTATCGATCTGGTCCTCCAGGACATAGCCAACGCCTCCCATATTCACAGAGTCGCCTGTGAAGAGGAATGGATAGCCGTTTTCTTCGGTGAATTCGTAGATGAGGCTGTCGGGAGAGTGGGACGGAGCTCCGATGACTTTAAAAGAAAATTCGTCGCATTGGACTTCATCCCCGTCTTTGAGAATTCGCTCGACTGCTGGGTTCGTCTACATAAAAAACAGAAAAACGAAAGCCACATCGGGGTGGTAACCACCGTAAATTGGGATCGAAGGGTGCTTGGAAAGCACTTCACCCATTCCTAAAACATGCTTTCTACAAATTAGGGAAAAAACAATTTCTAACATGTGATGATGTGTAGAAAATAGAGCTTTCAGTTCAAAGCCACCCATAGAGATAGCATCTTCGATAAATGTGGGAACAGTGGGGTCGATCACCACACACTTCTTTGTGTCCATTGTCGACAAAACATAGCCTAGTTGTTAGGAAAATCACACCAGAGTCTACAAAAATTGTCCTTTAGACACGGAATGGTAAGTACATTGTATTTGGTAGGAATATCGGGTTTTCGAGCAAAGGCTCGTACCAGCGGTCTGCAGCGCACAATATTTTTTGAGAGAGAGACAAACATTAATACTTTTGTGTATCGAATAGGTTGCTATTTGGTTATATCCATATTTTGCTACTCTAGAAGTTTTTGCCCTATATATTTAGCTTGCTAAAAGTCACGAGAGGATAGATGCTCGAAATTTTACTAAAACTGTTTCTTGTGGCTGCATCGATATGTTTCCATTCGTTACAAGGCGTGTTTACAATGGTAGGCGATATTTGGCAAAGTGTTTACGAATCTAGTTATCTATGAAGAATGGGTCAAAATACGAATTTTCTGTATTTATGTCTTCGCTCCTAACGGAAGTAAAGCTTGGCGGAAGCAATGATGAGTAGAGTGGAAAACTCTTCATATCTTATACCCTACTAAAGTGGCAACTTGCACATAAAAAGGCAATTCGCTATAATTACTCTTTAAAAGATATTCTTCTCTGGATTGTTCCCTCGAGTCTTTATGTCATCGCTAATAATCTCTACTTTGTCGTTATCAGCATTTCAGACTCGCCGATAACGCAGCAAGTGTTTGGTTCCTTAGAGATTGTCATAGTGGGCTTGGCCAACGTTTTTATTCTCAACAAAAAGTACCCATTTCTCCATTTCCCCATAATAGACTTTCGGGCGTGCAATGGGCCGCTCTGTTCCTCCTGACATCGAGCGTCGCTTCCATCCAAATCGCCAAATCGCAAACGCGCGAGCTCGAACTCCCGTTTCTCCCCATCGTTCTGACCATTTGCTCTTCGGGCCTCGCCGGTTTGGCGGGCGTTGTGATCGAGAAACTGATGAAGGGCAAGTCGAAGATCTCGATCTTCCAGCAGAACTTGTGGCTAAACTTGTATCCTTTCTGTGTTTGTTTGTCTCACGCTCAGCTGGAGCGTTTGTCTGAACTTTGTGTGCTTGCTGGTGGAGAACGGCGCCTCCTTCCCGCAGCAGATGACGCTGAGCCGGTTCAACTCGTTTGCGTTGCTCACTGTAGCGAAGTAGGCATTTGAATCGGCGTGGAACGCAGCACCATTGTGATGGGGTTGGTCACCGTGGGGATTCTGAAGGTGCTTTCGAGCGTGGTGAAGTCGTTCACTTCTTCCGCCTCCCTGGTGCTGACGTCCATTCTCTCGTCGGTTCTCTTCGACGTTCAGTTGAAATATCCTGAAACGAGTGATGAGAATGGGGCTTAACGACAGTGCTGCGTTTTACCTCGCTGTGTTCAATCTGGCCATCGCGGTGTATCTGTACCGATCGTTTCCTATGCGGAAAGAGGGAGCGAGCCAGATCGTATCGCTGCAGGTCACGCCAATGAGCGACTTACAGTAGGAAACGGAGAATGAAAGAGAGGTAGAATGATTCCGGACGCGATCGAGATCACAGGAGACTGGGAAAAAGAGAAGAAGAGCGAGAAGGAAATGGCTTAGATTGTGTTGTTTATGATTGCTTGTGCCGGTGTTTGTTTTATGAATGTTGATAAAGGCGAGGAATATCGTTATCTCTTCGTAATGATGTAGTGTTAGAAAACTGTCCTTATATTATACTAATACTAAAAGAAATGGAATGAGTGAGTTGAGTGAGTTGAGTGATGGTGGATTATGGTAGAGATTAATGTTCACAATGTCGCTCATTCTAATTTCGAATGTATGAGGATAAAAAGGCTGTATCCAAATGCAGTTACTCATATATATTGTCATTACTGTATGATATAGCTGTAATATATAGTGTTCATGTTCCTATTATGATTGAAGTGATTGCATATCTTGATCCCTAGATAATTCAAAATGATAAAGTATTTTGAATCATTACTCTTTATTGACCAAAAATACACTGGAAATGATTATGTTATGAAGTGTGAAGTGTAATATTTTCTATAACGCTCATAGAAAACGAATTACAATTAGTGTTTGTTGCTTTTACTGACATATATATAGTGAAAATGTTTGTAATCAGATAATAATGCTTTGTTGACAAAATACAAATTTCCTATTCGAGAATGAGTAAAGTGATATGAATAAAAAAAGGCTGCACAAAGCTGATTGATAAGCTCTACACAGCTTCACAATGAATTCAAGTTTTCATTTAACAATACTCTTAAATGGATCATTTCCAATATCCTTATTTTTGACTTCGCATGTTAAATTAGCAAACAGAAGATGTTACTATTTTACTCGAATCCTTTTTCTATTTATGTATGCCGGTATGGAAATATCGAATAAAAATACAATGATTTATTACTATTGATAGTAAGAACAGGGTACAACACCATCCTTGTTTTCCATACAATAAATAATCATACTCATTAAAATAAAAGAAATAGAGTGTGTAAATCGAGCAGGAATCATAACAGGAATCTGTGTTATAAAGTGATTAAGCAATTTTAATTATATATTGATACAAATATTCTGTTGTTGGTTTTGTAAATGATACTACTGACAAATGTTTTGTTGACGGTTTTGATATTCACTATGTACAGGGACGGGTTTAGGCAAAGAAATGAAAGTGAATAATTGGATTTCACTTATAATGAGTAACAGAAAATATATTGTTTTGCAACTCAATAATGGAGTCTTAGTGGCTCTAGATTATCTAGTAAATGATGAATAATTAGTAAAAATGTTAGGAAAACATCAAATTGGTACTATTTCATATAATGAAGAACAATCCATTGTAGCAGTAGAAGAAGGAATAGTGGATTTGGATCATGGAAGTCGATTTGAAGGATTGGTATTAACAGAAATAAACAAACATAAAGGGAATGCCATTTGTAGCACATCTATTGCAACAAACGAACTGATTCATTCAATGCATAATTAACTGAAATTGTACAAATTCAGATCGAAGATCGAAAGTTCAAATTCTTTTCCAAAAAAGTGATGAATGATCCAATCAATTACAAATAATAGTTTGTTGTTAGAATTCATGACTATGTCTATTTTGTTAATCTATCCCGGAACAGCAATAATCTCCATTCAAATTTTCCTATGGAAACGAAGATATCCTATTCCTATCGTCTGTATACGTCAATACAACAGTTCTGTTCACATACCAATCATATTGCATGAGAATAGGTTAGTAAGTGATATGGTGTAATGTCAACGTGTATAGAAACCTTCCAAAGAAAAAGCGTGGGTTTTTGGTTATTATTGCTTCATATTATGTACATTCATTGTACAACTTCGATCCTTGTTTTTCATACCTTTTAATAGAAGAATCACCATCCACACCCATTTGCGTACATTCCTATGCCATATGTGCTCACAGAATCATTATCAAGTCCGCCAACACACCAATTTCCAACATTCACCAAAAGGTTGCTAATCACTGAGACTGCTATTTTCGAACAAAGAAAATGAAACAGAAAGAGCGCAATTATAAAAAGAAATGTTCACCTTGAGAAATATACTCACGATCAAAAGAAAGAGATTTCTCACTGTTTACGATAGGACCATGATTCTATACACCATTAGACAAGCAATAAGAACAATACCATTGTGCTGTTGTAATAGTAGCACGCGCGACCAAGAATAGATTCGATTGGAAGGTATCCAAAGGCTTTACTATCGATACCACCATTCATTGTTTCTGAAGAGACCCAAACTACTGACTTTTGAACATCTGATACATCGGAAGTGATTTGTTTAACCCTTCGTACCAATAACTTGCCCTTTTCCCAAGGGTTCTCACACACGACAAGATCTCCAGGAAAAACGGTAAGAGGAGACGGGTTGACTATGTTGCGCGCAAGAAGCTGCAAGATAAGCAGAAACGAACATTGTTTACTCGTGTGTCGGCATGTCCACGGTAAATGGAAGGGAAAGCGCGAATATTATTTAATTTTACAATGGCAGGACGAAGCCACCTCATGAAATAAGTGTACAGTAAAGAAATGGTGGAGAACCAAAAGTAGAAACGTGGAAGAATCAGTTTTGTGTTTTACCGCGTAGATCAAGGAGTTGACAAGCGCAAAAGTGTTTAACAAAGAGAAGAAAATCGCGCAAATCAATTACAGTAAAACACCAAGCAAAAGAAAGCAATGAACCAACAGAACTCGCAAATACTCACATAATCGCATACTGATGGAATACCCAATAATCTGGGAATAATTAATGATAGCAAGCACGTCGCAAACGACGAATAGATCCACTTTCGATGGAGGCAGCGGGAGTCCCACTGTAGGGCCCTAATTCCTGACTGGGCTTCATTATCTTGAACTGAACCTCGATACTGTCTTCTTCGGGATATCGAGAATCTCTATATCGCGCAGGCCCTTCAAGCTGCATCTACGCCTAACCAGAACCACAAGTGAGATACGCTTGTGTAGGCAACCTCGTACATGCGCTGTTTTAGGAGCTCTCGGTTACAAGAGAGGGAGAAATCTGGCACCCCATCCTCCCAATAGAAATTTCTCGCCAGTCTTCTCAACACAATATCGTCTGAACTTGAGGAACTCGCAGAGCAAGTGGAGCTGCTCAGACTATCATAGAAGTCGTCAAACTCATTGTAGAAGATGAACTTGTCCATCCCGGAACTAGACTGAAAAGATACCAAAGATTTTGTTCAAATATAACAGGATGGCCGTCAGAATAATCTCGGAAATTTCTGTGTGTAATACTATTCTTTTCTGTTTGAGACTTTTTAATCTGATAATGCAAAATTGCTAAGAGAAGTGAGAGATATTCATTGGTGAGCAGGCGAATATAAATCCATCTTAGCTGAAATAGAAACATGCTTCGAGAAGTCGTGACTATTTTTGGAATTCCAATCAATTGAATCTCTTTCACACTATTCTATGCAGGAACAGGTATGCAATAGCTTGTACGATTCACAAATAAGATTGAGTGTTATTGCGACATTTCGCGAAGTCTTGCTGAACGAACTGCGGCTTATGCAACGATTCGCGACTCTGTATATCGCTTTCACATTTTACCAACTAGTTCTCTCAAGGAGCGTTGTCCATGTTGACTTTTGTCGATATGTGCCCTGAACTCAATTCAGAGAACGATTCTATACGTAGACGCTCAATAAATCTTCTTGGTAAGTTGTTATCTGACACGACGTTGTTTTTTGACGACCAAACGGCGCAAGTGTTTTTTGATTTTTTCTACAAACGGCTTGGGGACGTAGCAGTTGCAGAAGAATTGTTAAAGGCGATGAACTCTCTGTATGAGAGATTTCCTGCAGCAATGAGCGTTTGACTTGTCTATTGATCTCATTGGATAGAACTCTGTTCTTCCTTGCATCCAATATCTTGCCAAAGACATTCGTGTGGGAACCTTCAAATACTCCTCCCGCAAGCTCGTATACAATCTGCTTACCTCCTTTTTCACGGACCCTCCATCCTCACTTCAGTCACACGACGAAGAGATCGGAAGTTCCGTAGTGAATGTACTCATCCCCTTCCCTTCTCTCTCATCTCCAGATCATCGAAAACGAGAAGGATCCCCGCGGTGTAGTTCAGGTCTGCCGCCTCCTCCACCTGACCCTTCTCCACTTCCCGCATCTGTCCCCCAACACCCTCAACGACCTGGAGATGCTTGGCATCGGCTACTTCCCGGTCACCTACGTCACGCCTCCGCTCGTTTCCGGAAACATCGATCTCGTCACCTCCGTATTTCCCTTTCTTTCTCTCCCTCTCTCCCTCAGGACGCCGTCAAAACCGCGGTAATCGAAGCCATCACCTCGATTCAGCGCTGCACGCCGCTGCTTCTCCCCTATCTGGAGACCTCTCTGCGCGACACCTCGCCGAATTCGAAAGAACAAGCCGCTCTGGCGCTGCTGCGTCTCATCGAGAAGCACGGCTGGAGCCGCGCCATGACTCCCGACGCCGCCATGACCGACGCCGAAGCCGACCGCTGGAGCGACCTCATCCTCGTAGGGTTTCCACGTTTCCACCATTCTAGAGCGAGTTCGTGGAGGCGCCCGCCAAGTCCACGCAGGAAACCGCGCTGCTGCAGGTGATCGAGCGCGTGACCCGCGGGAGCGAGCGGGAATGGCGGGAGCGCTGGGCGGCGCGTGCGCGTGCGTTCGTGGAGAAAAACCCGGTCAATGGAGAAGTGGAGCACTGGACGTGGGTGCTGCGGTGCGCCGCGCTCGCCGATCCCGCCTTCTTCGACCAGTATTCCCGCGATTTGTGGAACTCCATTGCCGCCACCGAGAACCGGGACATCGCGTAAACGTGGAAACGGGGAATCAGGGGTAGGAACAGCCTGCTGGCGGTGCTGCTGCAGGTGTTGCTGCCGCATTCCGTGGAGGAACTTCGACATGTCCCCTTTTTGGAGCAGATTGGGGACAGGATTGAGCGGAGCGTGTCCCAATTAACGATTCTGTCGTACCGGTCGCTCCCGAACGACGCGGTTCCGTACATATTGGTACATATTGTGCACAATGTCCCGATTATGAATTAGGGGTCCATTCTGGTCCATGCTGCATTACCCGTCAATTCGTCATCGAATTCGTCATCGAATTCGTCATCGAATTCGTCATCGAATTCGTCTGCTCTGCCTGCCAAGTACATCGAAGCGTTTCTCTGCTTGTCGAAAGAATCGCATGCGGATTGGATGCATGTCGTCGAGGTCTCCAAAAATTCCCCCGTTTTCGGGCAGATCGCTCACACCTTGCTGCGGTTATTGACCGAAAAGGAAACGCGGGTTTCCCGCGAAATCCGGGACCTCTACCTCGCGGAGCTCGTTTCGGCGGGCGTTTCATTGGAGAAAGAGGAGAAATCGCGGGAAGTGTGCGAAGCGCTGCTGGGCCAGGCGGTCCGGTCTTCCGGAAATGCAAAAATCGGGGCTATTTTGGATTGGCTGGAGGGCGTTTCGTCGGATGAAGCGACGTTTTTCGAGCTGCTTTTTGGAATCGTGGAAACCAGGGATCCGTCCACAAGGGGGGAGTTTCTGGACGCGCTGGTTCTCCGTTTCCATGATTTAATGAAACCGTTGGAGGAGTTACTCCGTTCCGATCCCGTGGAAGTTGTGCATCGGAGTTTCCACGATTTCCCCGATTCCCCGGTTTCCCTGTTTTTGGAGCGATGCGCGTTACTGCTGTTCCCTTCGAATCGAATTCCTTTCATTCAGAGCTTCATTCCATCGATGTTCGAGATTCCCGCGGAAGTGGAATCCCTCCCGAACTGGTGCAAAACGCACCGGTTCTTCAAGGAAATCGAATCGGCCGGCAGCCAGAACCTCTTCCGCGAGTAGCTTGAAAAGAAGGAATGAATGAATGAATAGATTGATGAAATCGGACCTTTTTTTGCCACTCCAAAAAAAGTCACTTCTTTTGGAATGGGGTGTTTTGTCCATCGAAGCAGAAGGAGAAGAAGAATCAATACCCGATCACCTGCTCCAGTTCGTGGCCTCCATTGTCTCTGAGGCCTCCTTCACGATGAAACTCCCCAAGGAATTTGTAACGCCCATCATAGAGAAACTCCTCCGCGCGGGGACTGCGCCCTGCATGGAGCTGGCCTTGAAAATCTTGGGATCCCTCAAGGACGTTTCCTTGTCCGCCCTGCAGCTGCGGTGCATTTTGCTCGTAGAATTCCATCGAATTCCATCGAATCTAGGCGCTCCAGCGGCAAATCGCGCTGATAACCGCGCTTCAGCAGCTCGACCGTTTCATCCAGTGGAATTCGAAGAACATGGTGGACGCGCTGGATTCCGTCGTGACGTCGCTGCTTCGTCTGGTCAAGGAAACGCCCTCGGATTGGCAGAAATCGGGGCTTTTTTTGCACGATCTGCCGGCTGTTCGGCTTCTGAGTCTGCGCGTGCTGCGGCGCATCGCGGATTTCACGCTGGCGACGGTGCTGCCGGTGGCGAATCGCGTGTGTGGGGAGCTGCGCGATGTGCTGGATGACGAGCAGCGAGCGATTCGGGAGTATGCGGCGAGGGTGAGGAATCTGTGGCTGATGATTCATTGAGGAAGTGGGTGGTTTATGGAGTGCGTGTTTGTTTGAATAAAGGGTTGGATGGGATGGGAGTGTTGGGTGAGTATTTTGCGATTCAATTCTCTTGCTTTCAAGATTATTCTATCGAGATACACACGTCGATTCCCACAACTATTCGATTCGATTCGATTCGATTCGATTCGATTCGATTCGATTCGATTCTTTTATTTTTCATTATTCCCTGTATCATCCCTTCCATCGCTCCACATTCATTTCGCTCCAAACAAACAAACAAACAAAAACAAAAACACCCTAATACACACGCATTTACAGTCATCCATCCATCCATTTCCCCTCGCAAATCAACTTCGAATCAACTCATGTACATCAAATAAATCCGTCAGACTGGTTATATTACTCCGCAATTCTCCGTCTCCACTCTCCTTCGAAGGCGTCGTTTCGCTATTTCCGCTCTCCGAGCCCTTCACACTCTCCTGCAGATTCACTCGAACCCGCTTGGACCGCGACTTCCTCTTCGTTTTCGAGTCCAAATCCAATTGTTTCATTTCCTTTTTCGTTCGCTTTGGCGCGTAAGTTCCGAACGGCCGTCCAGGACCTCGCTTCGTTTTCAATTCGTCCGTAAGCTTGACTCTCTCATTTAAATCTTTCGCAGTAGGGATACATCGAGGAAGATACGGAGTGTCGTCTAATTTGAAGCGATGATCTTGACGACTCAAATTTCCGTTTTCCTTCAAGATTGATAAAATACGAGACCCATATTGACTCGAGGCCTGCTCCGGATTGACAATTCGCATGTGAGGACAAAGCACAATTAACCCTGCCCTACTCCGTTTGTTTATCAAGTTTAGATTGATATGCTGCTGGTATGTCGCCTCCAGGAATGAACGACAAACCGTGTATTGGCGATATATCTTCTCCATATCCGTTGCAGCTTGCTTCTTCTTTTGAACACTTGGAGGCTTATAAATCTGCACTACGTCATCCGAATCACTGTCGTGAATGTCTTTAGACTCGTACGAATCGTGAAGTTCGTGTAGATCGCTTAATCCCGTATTTCCGGACTCATTATCTGCAGTCTCTGCTACGATCACCTTCCCTGCATTCTCAGCAGCCATCAGTTGTTGGTAACTAGACATGAACCTAGAGAAAAGGAAAAACAGTTTGTCAATCGCATCATCCACTTCCTTCCCATTATCTCCGCAAGAAAGGACTTGCATCGAACACACAATTTTGGAAATCCTCGCCTTCTCGCTTTCATTTCCCTCAATAATCTCACTTCGTATCAAATCTATCCCATTGCTTAGAGAACTCGGGAGACGATTCAATCTCTAAATACCATTTCGGATAGAAAACGAAACTCCCATGAACGCATTTCAAGTAGCATTATCTCTGAGATCGTAGTGTTTGGTATGGATCGTTCGCATGCTCTGAAGGATTAGAATCGAAATGAGCAAATCGCCGCTTATAGAAACTCGTGGTAGTGCAGATCCTTATTATGCTTTTCGGGAGTTCGTGCTGAATATCATTTCTGATCGATAGTGAAATAGATAGCTCGCTCTCTAAATTAAGTAATAAATTTGAAGCATGGAGAAGAGTTGTGGAGAATGGAGATACTGCCCGTGATCAGAAGTTCAGTTCGCTCAACCGAAGTATTGGCCTCTTCCCCTCTCTCAGAATAGGCTTGCCCAAGGAAATTGAAAAGCTGACCAAGGAAGTCCGCAATGTCGAGAAGACGGTTCTCTTGGTAGAGGAAAACCCCGCGAAATATCCGCATATTGACGCTGTATTCTGCCATTCTCTCAACTCATGCCTTAGCGCGAGCTGAAATCTCGCCGTAGCTTTATCAACAACAGCCTTGCTGTACGCGCCGATTTCCACCGCATGATCCATAGGAGCTGAAGCGCATGTCCGACTTCATGCGTTCTCCGCGTGTGCTTCAGAAGATCGAAGCAGATCAGCGCAAAGTAAGCAATTCGGACTCTAAACAACGAATAGATGCTCGCGGCGCGCAAAGCCACCAGTTCCACGATGAGTGCTCGTGATTACGCGAACAACGCGATGATAAAGAACAATCAAGCGCTGCAATCGGTAGGACGCTCCATGAACATTGATATACAGGAATATATGAAGAAACAAGATCAATCATTGGAGATCTTGGCGGACGGCGTGGACCGTCTGGATAACATGGCGAAGGGAATCGGAGACGAAATCCGACAGCAGGACGCGTAGGATGAGAGGGCGATGGCGATGCTGATGTGTAGACTGCTGGATACGCTGGATACGGATGTGTCGGACGCGCAGACGCGATTGGGACAGGCGAGAGAGAAGATGCAGAAGCTGATGAAGACGAATAATAAGTGCGAGTTTTACTCGATAATTATCTTGTTCATTGTGATGGTGATTATGATTTTCTCGCTGTTCTAAGGAAAGAAGATGGAGAAGAAGAAAAGGAAGAAACACATTTGCTGGTGGATTGTTTGTTAAAAAAGAAGTGTCGAGGCACATTTTTATCATGGTGCAGCGGATGAAAGCCCCTGCCGCTCTATTTTTGCTTGTTTTGCTATGTATTGCGTTTTGTAGCCAATTCACTGAGGAAAAGTTCGTTTTTGATCATTCAGGTTAGGAGTGTTTGTTTGTTCCTGATCTAGATAATAATAACTGTTTTGTTACCATTATCCTTGATACCAATCGGACAAATCTGCCCATAATGGAGGCCCAGTCGATTTCGACATCTTTCTGTCAAATTAACTATTTTTATATCATTTCTCACAATCTGGTGTATAGCGAAAGTTTTACCGAGACGGAGTCTCAGATACACTACCCCTATATCATCCGAACCAATTATCCGGATAATGGTTATTTTCCGTATATTCTTTCGCTCCTCCGCAGCAGTAACTACACACTAATAATAAAAGACGAAGGATTCGAAGAAGGATTACCCGATGGGAGTTGGATTGATGAATCGATTGCATATATGTCTTCCAGACCTTCTTCCACCATCGTGTCATGCGCCTCCCCTTCTATGTTTGCTCGCTGGAGGCAGGTCGATGGTTGTTTGCTCATGCGTTCGATCGAACTTCGAAAACTGATCATTAACACCGAATTTGAAAAGAACGAACACAACCCTTTCCTCTACATGGCCGCGGCGTTCCGCTGCCTGTTCCACTCGGAAGTTCATTTCACGCTTTGCCCCACCTTTAAAAAACAACAATCGTCTTCTTTACGCTTTCGAACGGAGCGTCTCGCCATCGACCCCCACGAGCTCTCACAGAACTGCAAGCGCGCGCTGGGCCTGCAGCACGTAGTGTGCGAGGGGCGACGCAAGCGAGGGCGGCAAGTGAGTCTGGTGCTGTCGCAGTACAAACGCCGCTATTACGACGAGCAGATCGAAGGAATTCTGGAGAGCTCGCTGCCGTTAGGCGAGGTGGTGGTGTACCAGAACGGCGTGTTCGTGAACTACGAAGAGTTGTTTGAGCGGTTCCCGTTCATTACGCACATCTGGTCGGTGAATTGGAACTCGCCGTTCTTTTTGCGCCATCTGATTCCGTTGATGTTTTCTTCGTATTACCACATCGTGATGGACGATGACATCATCCCGTCTCGCTTCACATTCAAACGTTTAATCGACGTGATCGACGCGTACGACGCGCCCACCGGCGTGGGAGCGCGAATCATCTCGAAATCGTACTATCCGGTCGCTTCGTACGACATGTTTTGCGTCGATTTGTTTGTCAACAACGATACCATCCCCGTGGATTTCGTGATTCAGGTCTATGCGCGAACCTACATCCAGGCCAAAGTGTATTGGCGCTATCGGCCGTATACGCATCGAAACGGCGACGATATTCATGGGTCGTTGTCGTGGTTTATGGAGTGTCATCGAAGGCCTTATCGAACGTATTTCACCGAAATCGGGTCCTATAAGAACTATGGATCGGACGCTGTCGCGTCTTACTCTACGCGGACGCATCAAATCGTGCGGCCACAGACGTATCGGAGCTGGCTGATGGCGGGGTTTAAGGGAATGAAGGCGGACACGGTGAGGGTCGGGTTTCCGTACACGAACGAGGAATCGGAACGATTGTATTTGGAGCAGAATCATAAGTTATGTTGGTGTGTTTGTTTTTAGGAAAGGATGAGAGGGGAGAAGGATATTTGGGTGTGAATCAATGATAATAATAGTGATGATGATGATGATAGGGAGAGGGTTCATACATGAGTTTTAGTGTTGGAGAAACTGCAATAAGGATCGAAGGGATCCTTGTATTCGCCATTCTATTATTTATTTTCATACGCCTACTACTACTACTACTACTACTACTACTACTACTACTAATGATAAGAGTATTAACATAATATTGCTTCAAACAAATCAACCAACCCAAATATGTCTATAACAAACATACAATAATATCAATAAAAAAAACAACAACTCCCATTATATTTATATATCACTACTTCGCATGAAATCCACTCGGCTTCATCGAAATAAATCGGTCATAAGCGTTTCGCCGGCTTCGCGTTCCTGGCCGACACGCCAAGATCCAGCTTAAAAAAAACGCGATCAGCACGCTCGCCAGCGCCATCAACACCCATTCCATCGGATTCCGACGAAACTACCTCAAAACGTGGAACCGTGGAACCTACATCCGGAAAAACGCGAATAGACTCGATCTCGGAGAGCTTCATCGGAATTCCAGAAATACCCTCTAAATTGACGATGGCCGAATCCACGGTGTCCAGCGCCTTCTCCCAGTCTCCCATCGAAATATACAGCGAAACATCCACCAGCTGGCGAAACTCCCGACGCCAACCTACGCCTCATCCCCGCGGGGAGGGTCTACGCTTGCAGAGCTCCACGTAGAACCGCGGCAAATAGAGCGAAGCGAGGTCCAACCGGTAATACGACGTGGCTTTCTGGTATCTGTACAGTTGTTCGCGGAGCCCCTTCATAATCAAGGACAACTGGGAATGCGTCATCACGCGCTGAATCAACTCTGGGCGTTACTTTTTCTCCGACGGGCGTTACGTCGATGGTAGTTCGTGAATATCATGGAATTACTGAACGCGCTGAGCAAATCCTCGCTGTTGGAAATCCGGAAATCCGGGGAAATCTGGCGTTTCATCGGATCGTAGTGTCTACATGCCATCCCCGCGGTTATTGTACAGATGAAGCGGAAGCAGCCCGAAGACGATTCCCGCCAATTCCTGCAGAATTTGGCGGCGACTGTCCATCGGCGAAAACTCCAATTTCCCGCGGTTACACTCGATCTGCCGCTTCGCCTATCGATGAAACTCCCTCTCCAGAACCACGGTTTTGACGCCCCGAGTTTCCACGCTTACCACGATTTCGTCGAAACTCCCGGTGGTTTCGCCGTTGTCCAAGAAAACCGCGGAAGGCGATGGAATACTGATCCTACGAAAAACCCGCGATTTTTGGAATTACACGAAAACGGGGATAACGTTGATCCTGCCGACCGTGGAGTGTTTTAGTGTTTCGGGGACAGCATTAAGGCCCATTTCGGCCCAAATGGCCGCTTTGTGGAGGGTTATCAATTCCCGCAATTTTTTGAAATTAACCACGGTGAACATGTCGTCGTGGCGATCCGTGTGATTGGTCGAGCGCAGCTCCAGACTCTCCGTCAACAACATCGCGAAATTCGGCGTTTTGGAGATCGGAAAATAGCTCGTATTTATGGAAATCCGTTTCTGCGAGGGAAAAATTCGCTGCATCTGCTTCGCCTGCGCCCGCCAAAACTGGCTTCGCTCGGTCTCCTGCGTCGCCATGAACCCGTCGAAGGAGTTTCCCTGCACCTCCAGAACCACGGTGAGCACGTGGACCGCCACCACGCCGAAGTCCCAGCGGATGCCGTCCAGTCCCGCGGTGAAGAAGACGTTCTGGCGGAGGTCGGGGAGCAGCGCGTAGGACACGGCGTCGTGCAGAATGCGCGCGATTTCGGGGAGAAAGGAGGGGTTGAGCACGTGCTTGTCCCCCAGGGACATTAATAATTGGGGGTATTGGACCATTTTGAAACCCTCGTTCGGGACGAAACGCCCGTAGGGCGAGGAAACCGCGGTAAGGTCGAGGAAGAGGAAGGACATGGAGTTGACCTCGCTGAAGAGGAGGGAGGCGAAGCAGGAATTGGCGGTGGAGTTGGAGGGAGAATAAGTGTAACGCCTTTTGGCGGGAAGCGAAGGATTGAGGACGTAGACGGTGAAGGAGACACTGCTGTCGTAGAGGTCGTTGGCGAAGATGGGGTTGAAGAGCGTGGAGGGGAGAACGGTGAGGGAGGAGTTCGAGGATTCGATCGCTTTGCTAGAGAGATCATGATTACAGGAGATCGGAAAACTTGATTTCTCGCTGGATGCATTGGTTGATCAGCTCGCTGGAGTGCGAAACGCGGTAACTGATGCTGTCGTATATTGGCAGAGAGTAGACTTTGTCCCCGTTCGCCACTTTGACTGTTTGGTCCGTTCTATCGGTATTACCTTTTAATGCACATCCATTTACCTGCCCAACAATTCCATATACTCTTGCAGCAAGGAATCGGACAGAAAGACGTTCCCGTTCCCATTTCGTCGGAATCCAACCAACTTGATATCCACGAAATGGCTAATGCGGATGGACGACAAACTGTCCTGGAGAGATTTGATGGTAAAGTCCTCGGTTCCCTCCGCGTCCTTCTCAATCGCTTCCTTATCTTCCTTCTATCCATTATTTTGGAGAAACAATCAAAATACAACAAGGTTGTCCAATCGTGTCTGATACAACCGTGCTTCCGACTCCACACTCATAGCAATCGCGTATTGCACAAACAACAACAAAAGGAACACACAGAACCCCTTCATCCAATTACTTTGGCAAATACAACCCTCTCCTCTCACACTGACTTCCATACTTGCTCACCGACATATACACCGGATCTCCCATCATTCCCATCATCGTACTGAACGTGCTGCCCTCGGTCCCAATCAATCGGCTCCCCATCGACCCCACGATCATATCCACCAGCAGCCACACGACGCTCGCTTCCTGCACTCCCACCGGCTCCTTCTGCCCGGGCAGCCGCATGCTTTCATCCGAGTGGCCCGCCAAAATCGGCAGCGAAAAAACCCGATCGCCCAACGCCTCACGAATCGCCAATTTAACCGCGATTGCGTCGCTCGCCACGAACACCATCGCGTTCGATGGAACCGACTCCACGCACGCCACGAACTCCTGCAGTTTCCGCGGGGGAAGGAACTCCCGGCTGTCCACAAAATCGGCCAATCCGCTGCCGAACCGCGCGTGAACCGCGATTAAATTCGAAAAACGCGCGAACGGCGGCGTGTGGATGCGAGGTTCCGCGGGAATGAGCCGTGATCGAAAGGGCTCGAGCACGCAGTTGACGAGGTCGACGATGTGCGGACGGAATCGGATCCCCGTTTCCACGATTCGTTGGGTCAATTCTTTGACAAGTTGATCGGTGTGGCGGAAGTGGTTTTTGAGGCTTGAGAGATAACCGCGGGAGACGAGGGTTTTCACGTTCGCAGGGTTGTCGAGCCAGTAATAATAATAGAGACAGTTTCCGTCGAGAAGGACCCATGTGTCGTGATTAAGGTAGTCGCTGAATTCACGCTTGGAAATGGCCGCGGCGGCGTGGCGGAATGCCATAATGTGGCGCATGTCGCCGTAAATGTCACGCATCCAGCATGACTCGGAGATCATTTGTTTGGAGTGGAGGAGTTTGAAAACTGGATGTAAAGGAGGGAGGAAGTGTGTGGATACGGGATTCGTCGACAGAGAAGACGGGAGCGTCGTCGCTGCGATGAACGTAGAGGTTTTTATCAATGGAGTTGTCGAAATCTACATTCGACTCCGTGAAAATCAGATTGAACAAATGAGAGGAAGATGGAGCATTTCTGCAAGAAGGACCGAAGAGAGGAAGCTGTACAGCTGGTTGGCGACTCCTCCAGAAATGTGACGGTACACGATGGCTTTTTTATACTTTGATAATCGTTTAAAATCACTCTGGTTACAAATATGAATAGTAGTATCACGAATTGTTTCCTCACTGCTAATTTTGCATGCACTAAGATCAACTTCCGGTTGTAACGCCTTCTACATATTAACTGCAGAAATTGATAAAATACCAGTTGATTTAACATATCGGTGTGATTTGAAGTTGGAAAAGACAAAAGAGACATATCGATCGGTCTTGCATGTACCACATTGTTCTTAACTGGCAAAGCATTCGATCGGTACATTGAAAAGGGAACCACAGCCCTATAAACTAAAAAAACGTTTTTCTTGTTCCATTCCACTTCACATATAAAAAGTATGACGAGTAATGGTACAAAAAAACAAAAAGAAAGACTTTTCATGTTGCACAATGAAAAGAATAAAACAATAGAACTGTTATCGTCAAGAGTAAAACAATGGTAATATGTGTTATGTTATTATTATTATCCTTAATAGTATTATTATTAGTACAATTATATGAATTATTGTTATTCTTATTACAACTACCTTCCGTAGTATACGATGCTAGAAACGAAGAAAGAACCAAAAATACGAATCAAGAAATTCTTATCCAGAGAAACTTCAATACGTCGGAATCATTCAATTTTTACCACAGAACATAGTTTACGTCATTCTTTCGAGAGTGAATCCACATTCAAAGAATCATGCCGTTTTTTGGATTGCACAAAATTCAAGTCTTATTTTTGCCTTCATTAAGTCATGATCGAAACAAAACCTGTACATAAGGAGAATAGCCTTTTACAAAGAGGCATCTTCTCCTCTACAGATTTTGCAGCATTCCAAAAAAGTCAGGTATTCGTTTATTACAGCAATCATGATCACCAGGAAATCGAGCAGCTAAAGAAATTTATGAAGATATGCGTGGAAGCAGTCAAAGGAAAACCGATTTCCTCACAGAAAGAAGTTCCGGATGTTTCCCCCTTTTCAATCACGTCATGACTAGATTGTAAACAGAATGGTGGAAGTAATGCAAGAACTGAACACATGGATAGATGAGATTCCTCCCCTCGTTCAACCATCTCGCTTTGGAAATAAAGCGTTCCGTATTTGGTTCGACCGTTTATGCAATGTATCCTATGTCTGCCACGCATGTCTGTTCAGAACTCCGCTTCTCTCGTCGAGAAGATCGTCGGCGCCGAAAACTTCGAAAAATGCAAAGAGCTCAGCGGATATCTCGAGGATTCCTTCGGCAATTCCCAGCGTGTCGACTACGGAACAGGCCACGAAACCACCTTCTTCGTCTTCCTCTGCTGCCTCTACAAGGCGCTCGTTCTCCAGCGCTCCGAACTCCCCGCCACCATCCTCCTCGTTTTCCCCGCGTATCTGAAAGTGTGTCGTCACCTCCAAACCGTCTATTGGCTGGAACCCGCGGGATCGCACGGCGTGTGGTGTCTGGACGACTACCAGTTGCTTCCGTTCGTGTTCGGCTCGGCGCAGCTGATCGGTAGGCGGCTCGGGGCGGTTCGGAGGTAGGGAACGAATCGATTGGGCCGAAAAGCATTTTGAATAAAGAAGTGGTGGACGCGAACTCGACGGAGTACATGTATCTGGAGGCCATCAAGTTTATTTGCATTGTTCGCGTCGGGAAAGAGCTTTATCGTAGACGAAAACGGGGCCGTTGCAGGGACACAGTCCCATTTTGTATCAGATCGCGCAGATGACGTCGTGGAGTCGCATTAACATCCACCTGCAAAACTACTGGGCGCGCGAAGTGCTGGGGAAGTTCCCTGTGATGCAGCACTTGCGTTTTGGGAAGCTGTTCCCCATGAGCTGGGAACCCTCGGTAGACATGTCCAGACGCCAGCTGGAATACGTCCAAGCTCCGAAAGCGGACGCGGAGCAGAAAGTTGGAAGTCATCAGAATGCGGGAAGATCGCACATGGCCGATGGTTTCCAGGCAGAGTTCACAACAATTCGCAAAATGTGGCGTGTTTGTGGAACAAACAAAGCAACCGAGGTGCTGCAGGTACTTCAAGAGTCTCTCTTTGATATACTCTCGTCCATAAGGATTGTAAGAATTGGTTTCCGGATTGTACCTAAAAATTGACATATCACTCCTAAGTCGGTACACAAGCATATTGCATTCTTCAAACGAGTCAAGCTGGTTATAGATATCGCTAACAGTGTACGACAACTTGGGCTTTGCGGGATTTAAGTTGATCAGCTCCCTCTCAAAATAATCGATCAAGACTAGAATCATCATGTTACTGGATAAACTACACTGCATGCACTGGTTTACGGTAGGGAAATCCCAGTAGGAACGACTCGCAGCGCGACCTCTTTGAATCAGCAAGATAGTGTGTCTCCCGTTAGTAGCCTAGCGTTCACTTGTGAAAGGAACCTCTACCATGATCGAAATAAACTCTTCTGTCGCAAAATGCCAAAAATCGCGGGAAATTTGAATTTTCATGTGATGCCACAAACAAACAAAACGAAAAGAAGGAAAGAGAATAAACAAACAGAAACACTTTACAATCTCAAAGAGTAATCGTCTTTAGATCCATATACGACAGTTCACGATTCGCTTTTAATTCCGGAGACTTTCTCCGATTCCTTCCTCGTTTCGAGTTCAAATTATACATCACGGCTCCTACGATCACAATTCAACCCGATTCCAACCCATCGACGCAATGATGATGCCCATCAAGTTCGACACGGAGAGCGTCTTCCCGAAGTACGCTACCGACGCCAGAATGATGGAGACTCGCTTGAACGTGCTGCAGATCGAGTACGAGAGCGAAGTCACCAATGACATGGTCTAATGATCATGCGCACGTTTTTTGTTTCCTACATAATACGACGCGATGGACGACGCGTACTGAATAATCGAACTCAATACGAGATTGCGGACATTAATGTTCCGATATGTCCCCATTTTGTACTCATAAATAAGGACCATCGGGAGCAAAAGGACCCAACTGACGGATCCGTTGCACCAGTGAAGCTACAGCCAATCAAATGAGCCAAACGCGCGATACGAAGTTTTTCTCCATGCCCATGCGCATCAACATCTTCAGGTAGACGCTCTGCCAGACGCCCACGATCGTGGAGACGAGCGCGCAGACGAAGCCGATCGAGTTGAACCTGGATGGCAATCCCACGGCATGTCTACTCCAATTCGTTGACAGAGGCGTATACAACGCCGAAAACGATGGGAAAGAGAGAAAGAATGGTTCGCTGGTCCACGCCCTCGCCTGTCCAGAGGTACACGATCAACACGTTGAAAAAGGGCTGGAGGGCTTTCACTGTGTGCGTCAGAGAGGCAGGAATGTAGCCGTAGCTAAAATAGGTGAGGAGCTTCGTGGTCATCATGGCAATCGCCAGCGGAAGAATATAGCGGATAATACTCCAAAAATTCATATTCTTAACGTAAAACCGCATTTCACTCTTGTGGAAAAACGCCATGTTTATGACTACACTCGCAAAACACGAATAACGGGATACTATCGCAAAAGGAACTAATAAACACATGGGCAAAGGTAAGCGTTAATGGAAAAACGTGCTCATCTCCACTTATTAATGACTTGTTCACCACCGTTGACAATATGGAGGATGAGTACCACAAACTAATCGCGACACAAGTCTACAGTCTATCCCTTTTTTAAAAACAACGTACCTTAAGAATTAGCACAGACTGGTTTTTACGTTTATGTGCATCTAGAGAGTACTTGCTGTTGGCGTCCTCATATTTATCGATTTCTATATCCTGCAGACTCTGCTGATCCATTTCTAGATAACGAGAAAGCAGTTACAAAGGAACCGCGGGAATGGGAATTTGATTGCCAACAAACAGAAAAGTCTCTCTCCACACTATAAACGCGATAATTCTGGTACATTTTGGTTGAAGGTGTCTTGATGGAAGCGACCTGCGAAATACTCTACAAGCTGGTTGGGTTGTGGAATCGCCATACTTGTCTACACAAGGGGCATTTTCTCTTTGAAATCTGTTTATACAACAGTTTGGCACAGCTATTGCAGTATCCACCCTACCATTTTGATTTAGAACGCTCTAGTACTTACATGGCCACAAGGAAGCAGCACAGTGTTCTACAACATGAAAGGCAACCTTTATTTCCTACTGCCAAGTTTGTCATACAAATGATGCACAACTCTTCGTCTTCATTGTCAGTTCTATCGGCCTTTTCTTCTTGTCCCACCTCTCTGACCTCATCTATGATACAAACACTGGATGGAAGCGGGGCGAAAATCTCAATCTCGTTCCTTATCAAATACTGAGGTAAGTCCAACACCATTTCTTTCCACTGCCTTCCTCCAATCTCTCGATCCTATAGAATAGAGTCAGGAAATGCCGCCAAATCCTACTGCGATTTGGTGAAGAACATCTTCGGATGTTTCGGATCCAATCTCGATCCGTACAATGAGCAACGCAAACATGAGACCACCGAGAGTGAAGCACGCTATGGCTGCCATGTAGAGAACCTGCGAACAGGAATTCTGGGGGTGAGAAACGGGGAAATCGGAGAGAGACGTACCAAATTCTGAGTGGTCAAAGCGTCCCACCAAGCGATTTCGAGGCAAAGCGAAATGAAAACGAAGCAGAGAAGGATGAGGAAGAGGAAGAGGCGAGCGAACACCTCGATGACGCGCGCTGTCATGGACAGATTGACCTCGCCGAAGTGGCTTTTCCACAACCGATTGAACTAGAGAGTGAGCGAAGGGTGGAGTGGAAGTGGAATACTGGAGGGACGAAAGAGAAGAGAATCGGGAAGGTGCCGATCAGAACGATCGTCGTGAGGATGGTGAATAGAATGAGGGGAGAAAGGATGAAGAGCGCCTCGATCGTGGAGAGAGCTGCGTTTTCAAAGACACAAACGAACTCGAATACGAATCACGAGTTGACAGCAAAGAGTCGAAATCGATAGAACCAGCAATGTGCACAATCCGTAGCATACGATCTCCGTAATCACTTGGGCTTTGAACATGGTTGCTTTCCACATTAGTAAGCGATTCGGAGTTTCCTCGCCGCGCGTTTGATGCCAGCGATGCATGAACTGCGTTAGCTAGAATGTGTGACACAGAGAAGCAATGCGAATACGCCTTGAACACGCGAAAACATGAGCGGAATCGAGCAAACCCATCCAGCGAGAACGGGAATAAAGATTAGTTCTCCGTCACGAGTGAGGGTTCCAACAGAGAATAAATGAAATAGAATGAAGCTGAGACCGAAGCCCAGAAAGAAAACCACGCGACCAAATTGAAGGAAAAGCAGATGTTTCGGGATGGACCGAATCCGAATCAAATTGATTAGCAGCTTTGTAATCACGATGCCCACAGGAATGAGGAGCGTTATGGCAACGGGAGCATTGATTGATTTCCAGCTTGAAGCAGGGAAATAATGATTAACAGAGTAGGAGGAATCCAATTCATAGCGGAGTGTTAGAAGGCTCACGGAGATTCTAGAGTCAAATAGAAAGAATAGAGTAACAAAACGGGAACCACAATAAATGCGAAATAGTGGATCACGGTTTTGAGAAAGCTGTCGTCGATGGCTAGCCAATATGATAATCTCCCTGGTCTCATTAAACTAATGTACAAGCGCTGCTTCGATGAAAGATGGGCTATCGCTCAGAGAGAGGACTAGAGGTTACAATCCGTTTCTTCGGAAAGAAGAGCACGAGGAGAAGTGACGTCTTCTGTCAGTGGAGAGTTTAGGCTCATTACGACAAAAATAGACTATTCAAAACGATTGATCTTGTCAAAAAGGCGAAGATGAGAGGAATAATTGTGTTTTTTGTGAATGTGGGTTATCAGGTGGTATGTAATAATACGTAATATAAATTATGATAGTCAATAGACGGAAACCATTCCAGGTGTTGAATTCAGTATTTACCAACTCTTTCTAGGAATGTGGTGCTTTTGAATATCTACAACACTTCATTCTATTTTATTCTATCACTCAGAAATGAGAATAATCATGAAATGATTGATTGCCTCAGATCCTAAAAGAAAACCACTTCCATAATATTTTAATTATCGTCTTCCTGCAAGATCCACTTCATTTTTCAATAAACACAAACAATCAAATAAACAACACAAGTGTCATGTACACCTTATGCGCCTTTCTCCCTTCTCACTTCACCATCTCCAGGATTCCCTTTTCATACTACACACCTCACTCTCTCTCCTCATCCCCACATTCTCATAACTGCTCGTCTTCATGTACTCCGCAGCCAACCCCAGCAGCTTCATCCGCTTGTCTCCCTGCAGCATCGCCACCAATCGATCGTACTCCTCCGCCGTAATCTACTCTCCACACTCTCTCCCTCTCCCACCTTGCCGACGATCATCAGTTGCTCGAAGCTGGACATCAGCAGCGACGTGTACACCTTCATCAGCGGCGAGTTCTCCGCCACCTTCACTCCCTGCTTCGACTCCTCACTCAGACTCTCGTACACTCCCGGTAGAATCTCCTTCAGCTCCTCCGGGGTCGGTCGCTGCAGCAGTCTGCGTCAAATCCCGCGGGAATCCCTACTTCTGCTCCACCGAGGACTTCTTGAACTGCATGTCCAGCTTCTTCTCGGTGGGCTGCAAACTCGCAGCCATCTGGTCTATCGCTGAGTCCGTTTCCACGTTTCTACGTCCCATCATCTTGCCCTGCTCCATCAGAACGCTCTCATCGGGACGGTCGGACAGCGATCGATTCAGCTGCAGTGAAGGAAGAGCGGAACTAAAAACCTGGTCTTTCTTCATGTTGCGCTCTAACGAAGCGACGTTCGCGCGAATCGACGGGGCGATCGAGGGATTCACTGCGCGTCACACTCCGAGCCAGGAGATACTCTGAATACCCGCCTCGACGAGCGTGTTCATGTCCGAGCGCTCTTTCAGACCGCGGTTCACGGCGTCTTTTTTCATGTTATGCTCCAGTTCCACCATTCGGCTGGCCAGAACGCTCGAGTCGGAGTTGCGGAGGATTCCACGCTCCTCAAGGGCGGATGGATCGCTGCGGTGATCCAGCTCGCGATGAAGCTGAGCGATAAAAAACAGGAATAAGGGAAAGATACGGAATCCTTCTTCATCTCCTTTTCAACAGACTTCACACGAGACGCCAAGGAAGGAGCAACCGAGGTACCTATGGATTGTGGGTCGAAAGGCACGGATTACTGATAAAGCCCTTTGACTCCATCTCTTCCACAGAGTGGCGCTTCTCCAATTCTGCGTGTACCTACAAAATTAAATCAGATTTCGCAAGATCCATACAGAATCCTTCTTCATCTCTCTTTCAAGGTCATGTGCCTTGGCTTGCAACGCGGGAGCAATCACGGGTGCTGAAACATGAAACAAGACTATCGCACTCACCAGGACGCTCCTCAGGTTTCAGAGAAGATTCAAGTTTAGCAACACGCTGTTCCACTGTCTACAATAGATTCCAACAGAAAAACAGCACTTCTGACATACAAAAGATAGAAAATAAACAATAATGAGGAGGATATCAATCGTAAACTCGTGCGCACCAATATTTGAATAGAAAAAACAGTGAAAAGATGAATATCGTGTAATGAATCAAAAATTTGAATAGTATTGCAGTGCATAAACAAAGATAATACACTTCTATATCTTTTTTAGGAGTAATCCACATGAATAAACATAAACCGGTCTTGTATTTTTAGGAATAGAAACACTTTCTACAATTTCCTTGTTTCTGTGATTTCAACTTTCTCTATTAGTTGGTTTTGCTATGTTTAGCTGGTTCAAACCAAAGGTTGATCTTTCATTGAAGAGAATGAAGTGGTTGTGTGGTGATCGCATAATATTGTAGAGAGTTGCACAAGGAGATTATTCGTCTGCATGACGTTCCTGGAATCTCTGCTGATAGTGAACTCACAGAGGTGTTACGAGAACTCGCTGAAATTATGATTCATGGAGAAAAGAAGAGCGATTCTTATTTTGAGTAGGTTTGTGTTGTGTTTTATTTGGTGAAAACACTCATTCTGTGTGTAGGTTTTTCTTAGAGGAGAATATGCTTCACGATATTATTAGTATTATCAAGCAAAACCGCAGTAACAAAATTAAGATCCAGATCATACAAACAATTTCCATCCTCATTCAGAACATCAAAAACCGCACATCTTTATGTATGCTATTCTATGGTTCCATTTATTTTAGTTTTCATCTTGTCAAACAACCACATCAACGATTTGATCACTACACCCTTGGATTTCATGGATGAAGATGTCGTGTCTCAGTATATTTCGTTTTTGAAGCTTCTGTCCATGAATCTCACTCCAGATACTGTACAATTCTTCTATAATTATGTTTGTTCTGTGTGCGTGTTTTCACTCTTTCAGACGCAATCTGCCGATCCATTCCCCTTATTCTCTATCTGCAGCAAGTTCTATGACAATCCCGAGCCCATGGTTCGCATTGCCATTCGAACCATCACATTGAATTGTTTGAAAGGTACCCCCTTTAAAATGTTCCCAGCTCATCCTCCTAGTGAACGACAAGAACATCGTGAAGTACATGGGCCAGCCGAGCACACTGAAGTACTTCAAGAAGCTGGTCTACTACGTGATTTCGTTAGTTGTAACCATGAACAGCATGGTGGAATCGAAGTAACTCATTGGCAATGAAATCGATTTGCAGCAGCTTTGCTCGTGTTGGAGAGATGACCAACAACATCATCGACCAGCTTTTATTCCTGCAGGACGTGCTCAATATTCAGGTGCCTTGCGTGAACGAGTATTTGAAGGACGTGCTGGTGAAGGAGTTCTTTATTCGCTACTGCTACGAAGTGATTCAGCACGAAACGAGCACGGTGGAAAGAGGGGGAGAGGGATGAGGCGTAGCCGTTGATTCAGCTTCGAACGTCGATGTTTCTGCTGAGCAGCGTGCTGAACGCCATGAAAGAAATATCCTTGAATTGAATGGATTGAATGAATTGAATTGAATTGAATGTTGGGTGATGAATCATTGGGTCATTGAGTCATTGATTGAATCATTGAATTGTTCATTCATGGAGTCATTGAATCATTGATTGAATTGTTCATTGAATCATTGATTGAATTGTTCATTGAATTGTTTTTTGTTGCATTGAATTGATGGCTTGATCGATTCTTCAACTCTCCATCAACTCTCTCATCATTGACCCATTCTCCCCTCCATTCATTATTGTTCCACAGTGTTCCTTCACCCCACCCCGACCTCCAGAAAGACCTTCTCTCCCTCTTCTTCCCCGAATCCGACCACCCCGACGATCTCTACCGCCCCCACCCCTCCTCTCTCGCCGCCTCGCAGCCCGTCTCTCGCCGCCTCTCCGTGTAGGGATCGTCCTCCGCTCCGACGCAGCATCAATCTCTCTCCGTCCTCGCAGGGCGCTCCCTCGGAGAGCATCGCGCTCATCACCGTCATGGTACGCCTCCACCAAGTCGCTCATCTCCAGGCCTCGCCTTCGCCCAGCACGCCGCCCTCGCCGATCAAGGCGGACCCGAAGAACGGGGAAACGGGGAACAACTCGCAGAGAGCCGACGAAGAGGACAAGCAGCGCGAAGATTCTAAAGAAGTCGGACACCAACCAAACCCCGATCACTCCGTTCCGCGCCCTTCCCACGATGAAACGCTCAACAATGAAACGCCCCAGGAGGAGGAGAAACCCGCGGGAAAGACGTTTGCCGCGGTTCTCTCTCCGTTTTCGAGCGAAGTTCTGCTGCAGCCTTCCGATTCGTCGGATTCCGATGACGACGTCGTTCTATTGGTCGAATCCGATCCCGAAGGCGACGATTCCCGCGGGAATCCCGAACAACCCGACTCCCGCGGAGATGATGATGATGATGATCTGATGGCGGCTGCGGCTGCACGGAACGAATCGATTCTCCGTTCGATCCAGCATCACCATAACCGCAGTTACGACGTTTCCACGGTTTCTCCTCCTCACCACCAATCCTCTCTATCGGCCAATCTCCCGCTTCGTTTGCCGCCAGAATCGCCGCGCTTGCCGCCTCCGCCGCCCCCGTTCGATTCTCCGTTTCTCCATTGTCTGGACCCCGCGGACGTGAGTTCGTTTCCCGGTTTCCACGGTAGGATACGCAGCGATTGCAGGGCGTGCTGGTTCTGATGTCGGCGTTCCATCAGAGCGTTTATAACGGACTCACCGAGCCCGCGCAGCGCGAGGCCTGGAAGATCCAGACCGCACACAGCGAACAGACCGCCGCGGAGGACAGCCAGGAGCCTGCCGATTCTTCGAATTCGATCGAAGCTTCCAATGGAAATAAATCTGAACAATCGAATTCGATCGAAGCTTCCAATGGAACCAAACCCGATCAATCGAATTCGATCGAAGTTTCCAATGGAACCAAACCCGATCAATCGAATTCGATCGAAGTTTCCAATGGAAACAACCCCGATCAATCGAATTCGATCGAAGCTTCCAATGGAAACAACCCCGATCCATCTTCCAATCCTGTCGATTCCTTCACTTCCGATTCGGAGGAGCTTCGCGAGATCGACTCGCCCTCCTTCCACGGCTACTACCTCTGCAACGCCTGCTACGCTCCGCTGGTGTTCAGCAGCCTCGGCCGCGTGCTGCACGGCGAGACGCTCCGCCTGGTGACCGCGCAGTGCTGCGTGTACGTGCTGCGCTTCCTCCTCTCTAATCACATCTACGGAGACCTCCTTCCCTCCTCCCTCGTCCAAGACCTCGCTTCTCTGTTTCCACTTTTCCACGTTTCTCCACTCTAGCCTGCAGGAGCGCGCGGCTCGCTGCCTCCGCTGCCTCCACGCCGCCAAAGCGTCGCTCTCCAACCCCGACGATCTCATCTACACGTTCCTCATCGCCTGCGCGCAGACCGACGAAACCACCGGCACCGGAAACGCCTTCATGCCCGCCTTCGACTACCGCGGCATTCTCGAGAACGTTTTTTCTCTCTCCTCCCGCGGTGACCGATAGACCGCGGTTCTTTTGCCCATGGAAACCATCACCAACACCACCTCCGCCTCCGTTCCCTTCCTCTACCGCTACGAAGAACCGCGGGAAGGCGGCAGCGCGCAGTCTCTCGCGGCGTTTTCGCTGCAGCTGCGCATCTACCTGCTTCTCCGCGCGTTTTTCTTCTTCGTGGTCCGGAAACAACTCGCGGTTTTCCCGCCCGCCGCGCGGCACCCGGTCGCGATCTCCCCCGCCGACGACAACCCGCTTTCCCCCGTTCCTCTCGTCGAGCCGGCCGCCTCCCCCGCGGTAATCCCCGCGAAATACGCGGAGGCGGCGTCGAGCGTGGCGGGGATCGCGGTGGACGAGTCGGGAATCGATTTAGAACTGCAGAAAGCAGTGAACGCGCCGTCGATCCGCGTCTCCCAGCAGGTCGAAATCACGCGCGTTAACCGGTAACACTCCAGAAATCGGGGCTATTTCGCAGATATTTGTCGTGCTGCGTGGTGGCTCCGTCGAATTCGAAATCGAACTCTGCGTCGAGTTCGAAATCGAATTCGGGGGCGTGGAGCGGAGCTGGGAATTGCCCAGGGCGAGATAACGCGACGATGTATCTGGCGATCGGCCGCTCGCAGCTGTCGCTGCTGGAAATGATTCGAGGAAGCATGAAGGACGCGGTGGTTCGTCTGGTGTTCAGTCTGCACGAATTGGTGGACATCTGCATCGAGAACAACACGCGGCGGGTTCTGAGCGTGCTCGTGCAGACCGATAAAAAGCTGGAGAATTGCGAGCGGATGGTGGGGTATTCACTGCAGAATCGGCCCGGAAAGATCGTGTACAAGCTTTTGCTGCAGTTTGCGACCGCGCAGACGTGTCTGGAGGCGCAGCGGTGCATCATGGTGGCGCGGAATAAGGATATGGAGAAGAGGAATCGCGAGGTGGGAGAGAAAAGGAGAAATGATGCGTAGATTGAATCGTTGTTGTCGAATAACGCGAATCTTCGGGTTGTCCCGATTAACGCGGCAGTGTCTTCGGTGAACGAGTAGTAGTAGTAGAAGAAGAAGGAGGAGGAGGGGTTAATTCGTTTGCTGAAATGATGAAGTGGACATTTAGTGAATGAGTGTTTGCTTGGAGTGTTTGTGAGATAGAACCCTGCCCAAAATTGATTTTGAGTGGTTGCTTTTATTATTTATCACATTGTACACAACATTGATTGTTTTGGATCTTTCCATCATTTCATTTATCTCCGTGAATTTACATCTCACAATAAAAGCACGCTGCCAAGTCCATTTTCGATAGTTTGTTTTCCTCCATTACTTCATCATTTTTCCATTCAGCGAATCCCTTTTCCATAGCCCTTATACAACAAACATTCTAAGAAGTCCATTTTCGGTTGCTTGGTGCCGTGTCTTTGATAATTCGCTCATCCAGCGAAGGCATCGACCGAGCCGCTTTCAATTCTTCCACCAACCGCTTCTGCTTCTCCAGCATCTTCAACTCTTTCGTTCTCGAAGCAGCCTGCATATACGTGTCTCTACCATCAATCCCATCATGCAACTTCACTTTCGACTCTTCATCAAATATCCGTCCGAACTCATTAAATCGCTCTGGCCCTCCGAGCTCTGCCCACTGCGAAGCACAGGCGGGAATACAGCCAGTTTGGCTTCTTCCTCGGCGATGCGCTGCTCCAGTCTTTGTGGAATGAATGAATGAAAACGCTTTACATTTTCCGCTGCTCCAAAATCGATTGATACAACGCGACCGAAGGACCACATTCCTCCTCCTCCTCCTCCTCCTTTTCTTCTTCTGTTACTTCTTTGGGAGAGTGGTGATGACGATGATGATGATGATGCTGGACAAGTAAATGAATGAATAGAGATAGAACCCGGTGATGACGATGACTGTGACTGCGACTGCGAGAACGGCTCCGACTACGATCATCTACCATGCAATAAAATGAGAATAAAATACGTTTTTCTCGCGAAGTTCTACAAATTAGCACGAAATGAAAGAATTACTGTTCGGTGCTATATGCTCTTGATTTTATTATATCCACACTTTCTGTTCTCTCACGAGGTGGACTTGGAGAAGATTCTTCCCAAATATTCACGTCTGAGCGCATTTTCCACCGCTGTATCTCTCTTCTACGAAATTATTTTAAAAAGTGAGTAAGCAAACAGCGTTGGATCTCTTGATCTATTTGCCTGACCGGAAAGTCGTTCCGAGGAATTAGATCGAGATCTACGCATAATATTCCTATATTCCAAAATCTACCGACTTCCATAATACATAGACGGCATTATTATAACAAACAAAAAAGAGAGTGACTAAATGAACGTTTATTGCTCTATGAAACGGTGAGTAAAGCTCAGATTCGCCTTATTTTTTCATAAATCACAAAAACCACAAAAAGAACATATATCACAAGTAATCTAAGAGAACCAATCAAATCTGCTCCTCCTAGCCTTCAAGTGAATCAATGTATTATTTCCCCATAGAAAAGAACCAGTCTACCGTTCTTTTCTGCAGCAGAAAATAACTGTTGGAAGGATGGTTAGATCTCTGCTTGTTTGTGCTACTCTCATTCATTTCCGCTTCCAAGCAAATCAGAGTCAAATCATTCATTCATTCATCCATTTACTCATTCAATTCATCAAATCTAATAAACAAGAAACGTACCAAACCAAAATGATTTGAGTGAATTGAGTGAGTAAGTGAATGAATGAATGAATGATCGATCGATCGATCGATCGATCAATCAATCAATCAATCAATCGATCATTCGATCAATCGATCAAATGAACAACTCGATTTGCTAATTCAATTTCAGTTCTCCAACTTGGGTGAATTTGAGTCAAATAACTCAATTCAATTCAATTCAATTCAATTCAATTCAATTCAATTCAGTTCAATTCAAGTCAATTAAGAATAATACAAGATTAATACAAATTCAATCAGTATGATATCACAATGATGATTATAATATGATGATGAGAAACGTGATGATGTCAAAATAATTTCAAAAATGATGTCAAAAGTGATATTCATAATAATGATAAAATGATGTTACTTCACTTCGCTTCATTGCACTGCACTTCCACTCTACCATTCAAATTCACTCCAATTTCTATTATTTCTCTTTCTTGCTTTCTTTCTTGCTTTCTTTCTTCAAATATCCAAATATGCGCGAATTCATTTCCTTCACGCACAATCCATTCAACCACATCTTCAGCCATTCGCCATCGCGTTCCCCATCCATAACACCATCCCCAATCCTTTCCTGTCCTTCTTTTTACTATCAAACGATCAAATATTCGTTCAGCAACACCTTCAACTCATTGTCTACTCGTTTCTGAGTTTCCCCGTTTCCCCATTTCTCAGAAACACCTTCAGCAATCGGTTTACTCGTTCCTTCACTCCTATTCTCATCTTTTTATAGTAAAAAAACTCCCCAAAAGGTTCATTGGATTGTTTACTCGTTATGGTTCCGTTTATCATTCGCTCAGCAACATTCTCGACCATCACTTACTCGTTCCTAAGGTTCCCCGTTTCCACGATTCTTAGAAACACCTTCGGTTTTTGTCTACTTGTTGCTTTCACTCCTGATTCGATTTGTGGCAACACATTCAGCGAATCACTTACTCGTTGTTGAACAGAAAATGCGATCCGTGAAAGAACTCTCTAATGAATCATTCAGTGAAACACTCAAAGAAATAATCAATGAGCAATTCAATGAACAATTCAGTGAACAATTCAATGAATCATTCAATGAACAATTCAATGAACAATTCAATGAATCATTCAATGAATCATTGAACCATTCAGTAAATTCTTTCATGAGTCCATCGATGATTCATATCAAACAACTGTAATGAAACATTCGATGCTATTATTCGAATCACCGAATGATTCAATGATTCATTCAACGCATTTCTGCTTTCATAACCATTTCCATTCTTTGCGACTTCCTCGATTTCGCACTCGCATCGATCCGCTCTCTCTTCCATCCCCAAACCAACCAACACACACAAACCAACAAACCAACAAACACTCCATCAAATCAAATCAATTCATCACAGCTCTCTCCCATTCCTACTCTTCTTCGTCTTCATCTTCTTCATCTCATCCGCAATCGCAGCCGCCAATTCATCCTCAAACTCCCTCTTCAGCTTCTTCTCCGCCTCCGCCTTCGCCTTCTTCACTTCCTCCGACTCTTCCTCGTCCTCCACGCTGTTCACCGTCACGACTTCCGGAATGTAATGCTTCATCATCTGCTCCACGCCCTGCTTCAGCGTCACGCTGCTGCTCGCGCAGCCCTTGCACGCGCCCGTCATCCGCACTAGCAGCTCGCCAGACGACTCATCGAACGTGTGGAAGAAAATATCGCCGCCATCTGCTTTGATGCGAGGGCGAATTCGCGTGTCCAGAAGCTCTTTGATCAGACGGACCACTTCGCTGTCCGTGTCCTTGATCTCGTTCGGATCTTCGGGGATTTCGTCCGGCTTGAGAACAACCGCTTCATGGTCCGGAGAAGAGAAAAAGTCTAAAATGGTGTGGAAGATCGCGGGATTCAAATATTCCCACTCGACACCTTTCTAAAAATTACAAGAGAGAATAAAAAACACTTGGCGTGTTACACATATATAATCATTCCCGAGAAGGACGGATTTGACTTCAGGAATGTCGAATAATTTACTGGCAAGGGGAGAAGCGCGCGCTTCCTTCGTAGTATTGAATTCCTATCATCGAAAAAAGAGAAAAGAAGGGTACCATAGTATGCCCGAATTCTGAGGGAAGGACAGAAATACTAGGTGTAGGAAGAAATTTCTGCACGTCTGGATTCGGAGTTTCCTTTATCTGGACGAAAAGAGACCGGATAAAGGAAGAAAGGTTAGGACGAGACCATAAGCGCCTGCATTATATGGAAAACAATCTGGATATACTGCGCTTTAGGAACAACACCCTTAACGAAGGTAAACATCGATGTGAAGAATTTTATGACCTTTCACCACGCAGTGAGAATTACTATTTGACAGTTCAGAAGCACATATTTATAGGTATTTCACACGGCGCTTAAGTTTTTGGGCACTTCTCAAAAAAGGTCTATATGTTGCTTTTCTGAGTGAATTTGCCCGAAATAGAACATTTTGGATAGAATACCTCGTACCTTGTAATTTGTGGGATATCCCACAACTATCATTTATTTGATGTTTATTGTATCGATCACTCTTTGATGGAGAGCCAAGGCCCGTCAAAGGCAAGTGAGGATACTTTAAGCGAAAAACAAGAAACATCAGGTTTTAGGCAAGGGAAAAGCGTAATTTCTAGCATTAAAGGACGAACTCGTCCAGTTAGTGTCCTCCCAGGGATTTGAGAGGACACTTGTTGAGCAAACAATTGCTCGTTTACAAAATGAGGGTTTTACGATTCAAAATACTCCAAAGGCTGTTTTAGAAGTAATCAGTAGTTTGTGTGGAGATTCATCTGTGGTTCCTGCAGAAACTGATACAGAACAAGTGCTCTTTTAAAGTTGCGTTGAGTGTAGGTAAAAGTAGAGAACGAAGTACTGTCGCGCTTACAAAGAGCCGCTGCAGTTCCGAGCATTCTCAGTGTTTTAAGCGGTCTAACCAAGTGGTACCATAGCGTATCGATATCTGATGTGAGGCCGTTGTCTGAACTTAACGGATAGCGAATCTTGTTGTTCGATGAGCATTTGCTTTGCATCTTGTGCGAAAACATCATCCATTCGATCCAAACTCCCAATTTGAAGCCTTCTGTAATGGCCTATTTTTCCCTCTTGTTCGCTATTTCGGAAGAAGGCAGCTCTTCCATTTTTGAAGGACTTTTCTCTCTTTCCCTCCTTCCATTTCCCAAAGACATTTCTCTCTCTCAAATCCTTCCCACTTTTGTTCATTCCCTTCTCTCCACCCTTCCACCCAAGCCTTCTCTTCCCTCTCCACCAATCTTGTCCTCCCCCACGAATCCCTCTTCCCTCCAAAACTCCTCTCCTTCCCACCAAACCAAACTCCAATCCGAAGAAATCATGCAAATGATTCAATTCCTTCACGAAGCCGCACCTCGTTCCACCAATTTCAAACAATCCGAGCCGGCTTCGGTCGGCTTGCCGCACGATCGCGAAGTGTTTCAGCGAGTGCGGGGAATGCAGGAGAAACGGCGCGTTTTACTGGAAAAACGGCGTCAAATCGAGCGGGAATTGGCGGAATTGGAGATCGAATTGAACGAGCTTGCGATGGAGGAGTCGAAAGCCAAGGCCACTTTTGAAGAGCAGTTGCAAACAACCGTAAATTCGATGTTGACTGTTTTGAAAAAGGAGCAAGCAACGAAAGGCGACGCCTCGTTGCTGGGCGTGCAGTCGAAAATCCTTCAGCAAACCCACCAATTCGCACTTATGGCAGTGAAGCAAATTCGGCACATTCGATCGGAAATCGATCAAATTCGCAGAGAACTCGAACAGAACGAGAAGGAGCGAACGATTCTGCAGACGCTGAAATTGAATCGAAATCTCGCAGAGATCGAAAAAGCGAAACAGGCGAACGAAGTGTTGATCCAGCGATGGACGCGCGAAGAGCAGGATTGTGTGTCGAAATGCTCGCAGATCGAGCGGGAAATCGCATGGCTTGCTTCCCACTTTGATTTGTACAGACCGGACCAGGAGCATCTCGCACATATTTATTCCCTGTTCAGTTTGGTGGGGGTTTCGAGCACGTGGAAAGGGTTTAGCGCCATTTCGCGATTGGTGGATTCGTTCAGGGAAGCGGATCGGGCTCGTACTGGAGAGCAGAGTCAACAAGGTCAGAAAGGTCAACAAGGTCAGAAAGGTCAACAAGGTCAGAAAGGTCAACAAGGTCAGATAGGTCCGAATAGCCAGAGAAGTCGAAAGAAGGAGGAAAAGGACAAAGGAATCAATGCGGGTCGAAAACCCAAACGACGGTGGAAAACAATTCCGCAACCTCCCGCTTGTAGTTTAGATGAGATTCAAAAGGAAGAGCTGTTAAAACGACAGTAGCTTTTTTGTTTGTTGGTACGAATGTGGAGCACACCTTCCAGGACTCCGGTATATCGCAAAGAACGTAATTTTTCTAGAATGACAGATACCTTTAAGAACAATTGGAAACAGCTGCTCAAAGATATCCCCCTACAAAACCCTATGTACGTACGACTCCCAAGAAAGAGAGTGATCACGAATTCTGTAGTTTTATTGCACATCAAAGTAAACCAGCTCTGGAAGAAGAAGTACTTGATATCACTTATATTTCAGATATAGATAAAGCAATTGAAAGAGTTAAATAAAAGATTGGTGGAGGAGAATGGCAAACTAAGTAATTGCTGCAACGAAGGATGAAGAGTGTAGAGGCTCAGCAAGTTGAATATATTCAGAAAATAGCAGAACTACAGAAAGACGTTCTTGACTTGCAAGTGTTCAAGGACTTGCTTTTTACACGGAACAGCGTTGTAGATTACTTTAACTTTCAAATCACAACCAGCCTGAGTACTGCAAAGAGAGTTCGTTCCAGAAGGTCACCATCAAGCCAACAAACCTCACTCCCTCTGTAACCCGAGGTAATCGAATCGTTTCTCTGCGACATAGTGGAGGACAGTCTCATTCTGGATCCTCCCGACACGCCCAAGCGCGACAATGTGAGGAAGCAACCATCCTCCCTCTTCCCAGACAGTCCTTCCTTCCTCGCTAAACGCTGCCGCTTTGAGACCCCCATGAACGACACAACCAACACAATCGAGCTAAGCGAACTCAACCCACCCAACCCTTCTCATCTCCCCCCTCGAACGCTTCCTCATCTCGTTGAATCAACCCACATCGAGCAATCTTCTCTTCACCTCAGCGGCCAGCGCGCCGCCAAGCCACCCCAGGAAATTAGCTTTCAGTCCATTTCCTTGCAGGACAACGATCCATCCATCATTCGTGACGTCGTTCCCGCGGTTAATTTCGATGGAATCAGTCTGTCGGGCATAAACGAATCATCGATTTCGGAGACTCGTTTAAGCGCAGCGGGCGCAGATTCCGCCGTGCCGAACGAGGAAGTGAACCCTGCCGATCTCAGCTATGAAGCGTTGCTTCGCTGGGAGCAGCAGCAGGGCGGCGTGTTGGATGAGCGATGGAACGAAATGCGCGAATCGACGATGCGAGTGAGGATTGAAAGGGAGGTTGAGTGTGATAGAAGCTGGAGTACAAACCGTTCCGCGAAATCGTGATCGATTCGAGCAATGAGACGCATGGAGCGTGCTGTATTTGTACGTGTGAATACGATGTGGAGGAGGACAATGAGGCCGATTCGATCTGTCTGCTTCCCTGCTCGCATATCTTTCATAAAGGTGGGTGAATGAATAGGAAGACGATGATGTGTAGCTTGCTTGGATGGGTGGCTGCGAAAGAAGTGGACTTGTCCGTTCTGTAAATTCAATTTAATGGAGTGGATGCATTCTTGTTGTGTTTGTTGTGAACAAAAATCAATCAAACAAGCAATATAAAAGACAATTGAAAGTATTATTTAGAGTAATCATCAATTGGACCTTGGATGAAGTACATTTACCTCCATTTATCCCTACTGTCACTTATCCATCTTGTCATCCATGTTAAGCAGACTGACAAGTAGATAGATGAATTAGTAGATAAACAATAAGGCAAACGGGCAACCCAAGGTTATTGTCGACCCATCATCCACTCCAATCATCATCAATTCTTCTTCACTCTCCTCTTCTCTGGTATATTATTCAATCAAACAAACAAACAAGCGATCAAAAAGACAAGCAACTCAAGGTGAATAAGATGCATCGTCCATTCCATGAATCACCTTTATATAACCAGTTTCTTTCCTATTTATTCTTTTCCCCCTTGTTATGACCAACAACACAGCTAGAAAGACAAACCACTCCATGCTATTTACGACTCATCGTCCATCTTGTGAAGCACATTGATCACCAGTTTCTTTTCCTCTGCAAACACGTCGTCGTTCTCTTCTACTCTCCACCCCACTCCTCGTTTCTACCTTTTTCGGGAAGCAGGGAGCCGATAAACTCTACAAGAGCTTGTCGATTGCTCACTAAAATTCGTCGAACTTCCGCTGATTTGTCCGGATTCGCGACGAATATCTGCTTCGAACCCCCTCCGCAATCTCACTTTGAATACGTTGAATGCATCGAATTGGATCGAAGGGTACTGCGAGCAAAGCAAAACCATGAAAATCTTCAAGTTCTCTGCCGACTTAATGAAGTGCAGCATGATCTCAAAGTTGCTTTTGTCGATTAGAAATTCCCCAAGCAACTGTTTGTGAGTCGATTTGATTCGTTTTGTACGTGTAACACAATTCGTGTGATGACGTAGTTTTCGGATTCTAAGAGGGCGTAGATCCAAGAAAAAAGCTGGTTGTAAAGCGGCTTGGATGGCCTCAAAGCGCTGCTAACGATTTGTTTGTTTTTTCGAAGGAGCTCGCGAATGGACTGGAACACATCCGAACAAACGTCAAAATTGGGATCGAAAGCATATTGAGTGAAAAGAGGCTCGATTAGGGACGGACGAGAAAGAAGGAGCTGATGAATGGAACGAATCTTGATACATTCTCGAAGCATTGTTCCTGCGTTTATAGATAGCGATTGTTCACCGCAGCTAGGATGATAGGCAGCACAAATCCAAACCAAGTAATGATACACTGTAAAATATCGCATCCCTCCAAGGATGTCATGTAACTCGAAGAAAATTTGTAATGGTCACGATTTAGTAGCGTACAAAACACCAGAGTGAAAGATTTCCTCTCCTAGTCGATATTTCATCATGTCTGGGCCCACCTCGAATGAAAGTTTTGGAAATGCTAAAAGAACCTGGATAACGACGTGATTTTCGATGATCTCTTTTGCCAGTTCCTCGCATTCTTCAAGAATTGGCTCTCGATCTCCCTTAAATTAAGCTAATAACATAGATAATACCTTTCCAAACAAAAAGTTTTGCATCTGCCAAAAGCGTTTATTTAACTATCAATAATAAAATGAATAAACACAAACACGACGACCATATTTGGGAACGACTTGCCTAATCACACAGTTCAGCTCAAACAAGCAAGCTTGAACGAGTACCGGGGGCGTTTTATGATAACCCAGTAGTCGTTTAAGAAATTCCATTTTCGCAATAAAGATTTGAACAAAGCATTTCGTGTTTTCCAAAAATCAAGCTTCTTTTTCTACTCTCAAATGTGTTTCAGATGAGAATTGCCTAAAAGCAATTTTAAGCTATTATCGAGACTGACTAGGTGTTGTTACTGCATGAAGATTTGTTATGACTCTTTATGATTAAGTAAGATTTCATGACTAGAGTTTCGAAAGCTGAATTACTCGATGCTCTGTCTAAGGATACACTTGTGGGAAAGTGGATTCCTTTTTAATAGTAGAGTCCCGAAGAATTGCTTCCATTTTTGCACTATCAACTGGAGAATGGCTTTGCGTCCAGATTCGATTTGCAGGATTTATTGCCGTTTCTAAACGACAAGCGGTTTACAAAAGTCATTTTGGACGTGCTTCCGGCTTTTGTTGCGAATTCTGCAGGTATCTATACTATCTAAAATTCATGGATAGAGCGGACAAATCAGATATTCGAGCATGTACTCAAGCTAGAGCTTCCTAGCTCCGAATTGGTAGTGGCTTGGTTAAATATGCTCGTCCATTTGGAGTTGTCTAAGGAGAACCGTCTTATCTTAAAGCGTGCCTTGTCAATTCGTCAACAGAGTTTTTCCCCACAGGAGCGAGCTGTTCTATTGCGAACTCTCCTTTCAATCATTCCCTCCAAACAAGATATCACTTTCCAGTCAAACATTTCTTTCTTACTGCAAACCACCCCATTCTCGATTGTGGAGCCACTGCTTCCTTCCTTTTCCTCCAAGCCAGTGCCTCTAACGTTGCTCGAGGAGCTCATTTACAAACCTTTAACACCCGATTCCCTTCTTTACACTCTTTATTTTGCGAGTTCCGATGTGTCTTCTCCTTTGCTATCCACGTTGAAATCGCGAATCAAAAGCGGACATCTTACACACTCTCTCTTCGAACAAGCAGTGGCTCGCAGTTCTGCGATGACATCCCAACTTCTCCAATGCTTCCTGCTCGTTGCTTCTTGGGAGATAGAGAAAGAGTTTCCATCCTTGAAAGCGTGGGCAGTGATGCAATCGCCCGGCTTTTGGGTGAATTGGTTTGAGAGTGCGTGCTCATTATATCAACGCGATGCGAAAGAGTTTCAAACCGCATTGATGCAGCTAGCAGAAAACAGAACCGTCGAAAGCCATTTACGAATCCTTTCGCTGAGTTTATTGAATCATTGTCGAAACGAGGTGTGCGAGAATATAGCTCATTCTCTCCGGAATCATTACCATATTCTCCCGCGAAGCACAATCGCTTGGTATGGTTTCTTGCTTAGAGACTACAAAGGAGACATTCAGTGGGTTCAGGAAGTAGACGATTTCACTTCCATTGTCCTCATATCATCCATGAAGTTGCCTCTTCGGGATTGGATCGCTCTGCGATCGAGCCATTCGCAGGATTTGGATGTGATTGCTGAGAGAATCCGCATGGGAATCAAATGCACTCCGTATTGGTGCTGCTCGATCGATGCAGTGGGGAATGAATTTGTCAAACGGGTGGCAGACAAAAAGAGTGAGAGCGAAATTCTTGAGCTCTTTGAGAAAATGAGACTCATTGTGAGTCTTTGCTGTGGGAATAAGCAATACGATGGTGAGGATGTGTATTGTCTCTTATTTGAAACGGTATGCTTTGGAGATTCCATCCGATCTGGAAAGAGTGTGAGTATTGCAGAAGAAAATCGGTTTTATGATCGCTTTGATTTATTGATTCCTTGGATGAATAAAAAGGGGTATGAGTGGATGCGTCTGGTTGAGTTCTTATCATTCAAATCGATTTGCACTTTGAATTCGCCTCGTAAATGGAAGTGTCTGTGCTATTCCGAGTTTTACTGGACTGAAGAGGAAACAATGCGAACAATCGAAATCATGAAGGTGCAGCCAAATGACTTGTACAATAACTTGGTGTTTCTCCGGTGTTGTCGCCGTGTCGGAAAGCTCCCAGTTCCCACTCTCATCGATTTGTCTTGGGACGATCCTTCCATGCTGTTGCTGCTTTTGCAGCTGTATCCGTCCGATTCTACGATTTTGTCCGCTTTGAGAAACGATTCATGGAAAGAAGTAGATCCTATTGTGATTCCATTATCGATTCGGGAGTATAACAAGTTTGTTGATATTCCAGACGCTGTTGTGATGCTGCTTTCGTTACTGAAAGAGCCGACAAGTTTTGGTCATTTCTTAACTCGCTCCTTTCCTGTAGTGAAACAGAACGAAGATTCGTGTTTGCTTCCTTCAGAGAAGCGAAGAAAGGCCAACTTTGAGGCTGTGATGAAGCACATCGAGCAGCTGGCCGCGAATGAATCGACCAATCAACAGTGTTCTTCGCTCGAGTTTCCGTTTCTAAACCCGTCGAATGAATTTCATTTCGGGTTGACTTGTTTGGATATGTGCGCTGTTCGGTGTGAGGAACTGCGCTCTTGGAGAGAATATGCTCCTTGGATCCAAGGGATCGTGGAGCTGCTTCAGAGTTTTGATGTTACAAACATTTTAAAGAAACAGAAGGTTCAGGTGGAACCAATTGTAATTGAGAAGGTTGCTCGAGTGTTTGTGGCGTTTTTGAATGGCATTCTCCTTGATGCTGGAGAAGATGAAGATTGGAGTGGATTCGTGGAGCAAATAAGAAATAAGGGACTTATCAGTAGGGATGTGAAGGACTTAGTGGAGTGTGTAGAAAGCACGTTCCATTACAAAATATAGTAGGATTGTTTGTATAATTTCACTGCTGTTTGTAAAAGAAACATGGGGGATTGCAATGAAAGTATTATGACTTTAGCAACAAAATACATATAGACTCCTCCCGGGACAGTGTTGAACGAAAAACGCACATAAAAGACTTGCTGCTGATATTCGTATTATCGTTTGAAACATTTCTGAAGATATGGAGAAATATCTATCAATCAGGATTTCCCATACACTAAATACTTCTAAAACGTGGAGATACGACCTTCTTGAATGAGTCTTCGCCTAGTTTGATATATTTTAGATTCGGAATATCTATGATAGCAAAAACAGATAGCTGCTACTATTCATATTCACCGTGGTCACTGTAGAAAAATTCAATTGCCGAGAGCCATCAAGCACAAATAACGATGGAAGATCTAAAAAAAACAAAAAACAGAATAAATACTTTCCATTTCTAAAGAGCAATTATTATCATCTGTTCCATATAAAGCAAAATATCCAAGAGAAATAGACTCCAGTTGAGGTAAATCTATTCATGATAATCGTTTTTTGCTTTGGGTTCCTACCTTGAAATTGTGTTAACTCCGATCGAGCGAATGATCCCCACCCCAAAACAACGTTTTTGAGGCTCGGCAAATCTATATGGTCATCACTGTCATAAGTGATCAAAACCTTGCAATGAAAGAGCACAGCCATAAAAGTTGAATGATTCCTTATCGAGTGTACCACAAGTAAGTGTTTCTAAATTGGGGAGATAGGCTAATTGAAACTCTCCACCGAAATCAGAAAAGCTCCACTCGGCAACCTCAAAATGTTCCAGCTCCTTGCAATCAATTAAAAAGAAAGACTTCTCTCTATTCTTACCGTAATTCTCTGTTTTCTCAGTAAATGACATCCTGCCTATTTTGATTCTTTTCAATTTAGGCAATCCACAAATTCGAACTGTCTGAACTCTTGTAAAACTATTGTCTCCAATCTCTATATATTCTAATCTTGAACAATTGCTCAGATCCAGCTCATAAACGTCGTTACAACAGTCTGAAGGTACAATAATTCCTGTTACTTTAGAATTCAACTGAATTATGTCTTCACTTTTTGTTATCGTCAATACATAGTTAATGTATTTGGTTCTCCAAATTGACCACAACAGTAGACAATAAAGTAGAGCCAGTATAATGCCAACATAATAGTACTGTAAAAAGAAAATGAAGGCGAGTGCCACAATGGCAGCACCCAAAAGAGTAACGAATATTTTTTGGCTGTAATATGTACACTTTTTCTTCCCTTGAATCCATTTCCCATTATATGTTGGTTTGCCGTTTTTGTAAGTTCTTCCTTCACCATGTCTCATTCCGTTTATAAAATTACCTTCATAACTTAAATTATTTCCACTCTTATCATATTCTTGTCCAAAACCTGCTCTCATATATCCAGAAGATAGTGTGTTCACGAATCCACCTTCATAACATCTTTGTCCATTCCGATATTCAGTCATTTTATTATTTACAAATTTTTTTAGCGTGATTTCTTCTTTTCCATCCTTGTAGTGGGCAATTTTACTGATTTGGCCATCCACATATACATAGCAAATTCCCTCGAAGTTTCCTTTCTCATTTCTTTTGCTGATGCTCTTCACTTTTTGGTTTTCATCCAGCTCCATCCAATACCCTTTCATATCTTCCATAGCAATAATGTTTCGCTTCTTTCCATGTTCATACATTCCTTCAAATAAGAGGCTTCCATCCTCACGATACTCTTTGCCCATTCCTTGTCTCAATCCATTTTCCAGATTTCCCTTGAAAAAGATTAATCCACTATTATAGTAAAAGGTACAAGGGCCTTGAGCAATTCCATTTCTAAACTCGAGTTCTGCTATAACTATTCCTTTAGTTGACCTAATACATGCTGGTCCTTGTAATATGTGCTGAGAAATATCACATTCGATAGTATAGCCGGCATGAGGAGATCCGACAACTGAAGTGATTCTTTTACCATCACCGGGTATGTTTGCAACAGGAAACTGAGTAGAAAAAGTTTGTTCCCACCATTTATCATCTGCTGGGTCTACACTAACATTTACACTAATACTCTTTAGTTCAATATTACCGCTTGGTTTGAATAGCTCTATATTGCTCATCTGATGAAAAGTCGATTCTGTTAAAATTACTGAATAGAAATTAACGGCTGTTATTTTATGGCCCATTATTAAACTGAGGTAAAGTCGGATTCATTCTCTCATTTCTAACGTATGTTAAAGCAGCTGCACGAATTGAACAACAGGGCGTAAATAAATCGATAATGTACGAAAAATGAAAATAGAACGGGAAAACACATTTTCGCTACAGACTTAACGCTTCATGTATCTATAGAATATATATGTGATAAAAGAAAATAAGGTGGCGTGTTTCATGATTATATATTTATTTTAAGGTATGTAGAGGTATAAACATTAGTAAAATCCAATTATCTGTTTTTAAGTGCAAGCAAGCTCAGGTCTATATCTTGTATGAATTAGTTTGTTCCAATGGATGGAAATACTTCTAAGTATTCCAATCAAGCCACATTTACACAAACGACTTTACATGGGACAGTGTTTCTTAGTTGTGCGTGTATCTCGCGGAAAATCCATAATAGCCACTTACCACACCCGAATCGCAGTAATTCTACGTTAGGAGAGAGAACTCGAGCTACTGTGTTTAGAACACTCCAATTTGCTAGGAAACGTCTAGAACATATATAACCGCTTTCTTTCTCCATTTGTTCTGTATAGTTACACAGATATGTTTAGCCGAACTCAATAGTTCAATGAATTCCCTTTTTCAATGCTAGAAATTCCAAAACTATAGTAGTAGTACATATCATTACAGAGCACTCACACTAAGGCCTTGATCTCTTCCAACAATCCATTGAAACACTACAGAACAAGTAGTGGATGTTTTGATTTGATTTTAATGTATATTACAAAAAGCTGATTCGAAAATTAGAATCAGCTTGAAATAAAAATATTTGTGGAATTCAAGAAAACCATATTTATGCTCTTAAACATTATATTCTAACAAAATAAGTAAATGCACCAATTTTTACTCCCTAAAAATGTAAAAAATCCATTGTGGCATAAGTGAATCCTAAATGTGTATTAGAATATAGAGAATTCACATCACTAATACAATTAGGAACAATTTCTATAATTTAATGATAAATGGTTACGGTAGTGTGAGAATGTATATGATCCTTATAAAATAACTATGTGATTAGGTGGGGCAAACTCAACTTTTGAACCAATGAGTATTTGGGTGGCAAAGAAAACATATCTCGAAGAATAAAAAGGAAAAATGAAGTGATTCTAGAACAAGGAGATAGCTAGTACTAATAAGTCTAGCATGGATAATGAAAATGGTAAACAAATAGGCGGAGTGACAGAATATGATTATGGTGAAGCAAATGCAACAGCAATTTGTGAAAGAATTAGAAAATGACTAAATAGGAAAGTAAGATATTTGTTGTTGTTAATATAAAAAATAGAATGCAAAAATGGAATAGTGAAAACCAGAATGGAATAGAATGGAATGGAATATTGGAGTAAAAGAACAGCATCGAGACTTCTCAGCGAGTCACCCACACTGGTACTAACTCGACTCGTGATGACTTAGCTTCCTAGATCGGACGGGTTAGGGCGCTTTCCATTAGATATGGCCGTTCTCATTTTACTTCCATTCACTAACCTATTTATATATCACATTCTTATCATCACATACTCGTTCACTCACATATTTTGAATTACATTTCTGATTCTTCATCAACTGCAATCGAGAACAAATGATTCCAGTGTTGTGTTTTCAAACAAACAAAAATGCAAACATTCTACACATACATATTTAGTATTTACTTCTTCAAATTCACCAAGAACTTCGAGATTCCTGCATTGTTAGGAACGAAAGTTTTATCACCTTCGTGCCAGTTCGCAGGACAGACTTCTCCGTGTACATCACTGAACTGAAGTCCCTTGATCACACGGATCGTTTCATCCACACTACGACCAACTCCATTATCATTTATATAAATATGACGGATTTTCTGATTCGGATCGATCAAGAACAATCCTCGGAAAGCTTGAGCATAATCCAAACCCGATTTATCTTCATTGTATACTCCATAGTTCTTCATCGTCTCACGAGTCACATCCGAAAGCAACGGAATATTGATAAGACCACCCAGTCCACCCTCAGAACGGGATGCCTTCAACCAACTCAAATGAGTATAAGGAGAATCTCCAGAAATTCCAAGCACCACAGTGTTCACTGCAGCCAACTTGTCCGCAGCATCATTATAAGCAAATATTTCGGTGGGACAAACGAAAGTCCAATCCATGGGATAGAACAACAGAATTACCCACTTTCCCTTGTAGTTATCAAGCGAAATATTGGAAATTGTTTCAGTTCCTTGAGCTCCATTCAAACAAAAGTTGGGAGCAGTTTGACGAATCGTGACGGGCATTTCTTAACTTGTATAAATATAGATAGATAAATAAATAATTAATGAATATTAATGTAGAAAGATAGCTCATTTTTGAACAAAAAAAAGGTTGGGAACAAATGAATGAAACTCCCTTCTTTTCTCGAGGATTGTGAATATACAACAATCGAACAGTTTTTGAATGACTATGTTGAACATTGCACTTGATACCTGAAGCAAAATTAATGAGTACTTCAGAATTTGATGTTTGGTACTTGAAGATGAATGGAGCGAATATTAAGTTGTTCTGTTGCTTCCAATGTTGTGATGAGATCCAAAAGAAACAATTCCAATATTGTATTGAACCTCTATTACAAAGTTGAGGTAATTCTATTTGTAACTTGTAATTCACAAGTTAAAAAGTTGAAAAATATACTATTGTCCAAATCATAACAGTTACAGTGACTTTCTTATTGCAGATCAACCTTGAGTGTTTCCATTCTAAACGAAATGCGAAGGAATATCACTCTTTTGAAATTTCATTCTCTTCTTATGTATAAACCACACATTTCATATAAATGTGGTTCTAAAGAACAGAGTGAAAATGGAAAGAAAGTAAATACATTGACGAGAATATAGGCAAATTGCCATATAAAGAGTGAATTCGTAGAATAGGTACAATAATGGGAAACAATTAGATAGACTGCAAAATATAAAGGGAAAGGTATATAATTTGTTGGTGGGTTACATAACACTTGGAAAGCTAAAGGCAGTGATACTCACTGGCTGTGACGACAGTTTACAATGTTTACAAAGTAAGCACAATGACGAATACACTGTGAAAAAACAGTATGCCCGTTCCAAAATGGAATCCTCAACATATTATACAAAAAAGAAGATGATGGAGCTCAAATAGGCAGAATTATATGATTTAAATAGGGTTCTGTTACTATTGTACAGTCGATTGATTATATTCTGGATCAGCACAATTTCAAACATATAGAAAACCGTGATATTAGTGAGAACAAGAAGGAAAGAGAACCAATAATGACGAGGAATCCAATGGAATGCTTCTTGAGGGGATGTGGAAGGGGAACAAGCTGGTGGAGATCATCCGCAAGATCGAGGGAACTATTATGATTGAGTTCAAGCGAAGCGGTAACAACACCATCACTTCGAATCGAATTCCCCTCTATGTGGGCGAATTCGTGTATGATGAATCGAAAGAATCGTTTCTTCGAAATGGTCGAGGATACTGGATCGATGAAGAAACTCGGATTGCTACTCGCGAAGTGGAATGGAAAGATGGAGTGGAAGTGAGTGGAAGAGATCTCTATGATGGATGGCATATTCATTCATTCATTCACTCAATATTACTTGTTTATTTAATACTATTGCTATGTTAATCACATTGCATTTCACATTGTTTTGTTGATCAAATAGAAAGCAAGGTTTTCATTCATAGGATTCATGGATTCCATCCATCATATTATTCAATCGATTGTTTTGTTTAATGATACTATGATTCCTAAGTAGTAGGCAAATGATGCAAAAAACGCGAACCCATTTCCCACCCTTTTTACTACGAATCCATGGCGAAATAGCCCTAAAAATCGGAGTCTGAGGGGTGACTTTGACAACATCACTTTTTTGGCTTTCATAAGAAATTTCCCCTCATTTTGAACAAAATGCGCGTGGCAAAACTACGTGAAAGCCATTGCTTGCCTTGCTTGCCATGAAGTGTATTGTTATGGTGACCAAAGTAAAGCAACTGCTCCTCTACATGTCATTCAATCGGTAATGTCTGAATACCAGTGTATACACGTTGTCGTCCAAGATCCATCGCTTGTTATCCGTGCACGTCATAAGGGTCTTGGTCTGCTCTTTCGTGCTGATATCGAAAACCTGGTTGTTGATGCGTTTGAAGCTGCCTTCGATCACTGCATCTCCCTTCTTTTCTGCCTCAAAAACACGCTTGTACAAGTCGATGTTCTTCACACTCATCCTTTCTCCATTGATCACGACATTGCGAGGAACTCCCTTTGCTGCATTGTGTATCACATGCTTCTCGTCGATCAGACAATACATCTTCGGTCTCAGTCCCACGAACTCCATGATGCGATGTCCGTTGTGCTCGTCCTTGAAGATGGGACCAGGCAACTTCTTGTTGAAGTTGAGGAACGAGTCTAATGAAGGAAACTTGCTCTTGTCCACTTCATACTCGTAGTAGTTCACGAGTTCACCATAGAAGTAGCTCGTGTTGTCCAATTCCGAGAAGTCGAACGATTTGTACATGTCACACATCTTGTGAACGATGTTAGCGCGATCGTGCAGTTGTACGATGAGCGAGTCCGTGTCCTGACCCAACAGCTCCACGGTGTCGAATGTCGTCTTGAGCACGTTGTAGTAGAAATCGTAGATGATGTGCTTGGACATGTCGATAATGGCGAACCCGATGAAGAATGGCTTCTCCACCCTGCGCACCGGTGTATTCAGCTTGATGCCGATCAGATTCTCGGAGTACATGGTTGTCCCGGCGATCATGTCATATCCATGCTTCTGAATGATGGCTTCACGTTCATTCCATGTGTTAGCGAACTTCACTTTCATCCGTTTCAACCCAGTCTCCACAAATTTGCCATAGGTCGAGTTTGCCAACAGCTTGTACAGGTTCTTCTCCACAGTGGTCTTGGACTTCGCTCGTTTCTCACTCAGCATGTTGACATATTCGAAGATGAACGGTGCCTGCTTGAATCGAATGATGTGGTGAATGTGTGTGACACGATATCCCTGTTGAATGCCCAGTTGCAACAGTGAGTAATGCACGAGATACTTTTGACGAGGTACAAGATCGCAGATGAGCTTCGGTGTATTCACCTCTTTCACTTTGTCCACAATGTCGTTCTTCTCAGCGTACTTCTTGATTCCATCGGAGTACATGCCCGCCTTCTGTACGGGGAAGAATGGCAGATCATTGAACTTGTCGTGGAGTTCCACTGGTGCCTCGATGTCACACTCGACGAAGAATCCATACTTGCCGAACGTCTTGAGTGATTGAATCCACCCATTCGGGTCACGATTGATCCTCTCCATCACTTCTAGTCGCTCAGGTACACCCACCAACTCATAAGGCATCATTCGATGCATGGCTCCACCATACAGGTTGTTGGCGTCCAGGTAGTAGATGCCTTGGGACGACGTTGCTTGCTCCTTGTTGTCAATGTCAACCTTGGCATGCCGTTTCACGATCTGTGTGATTCCTCCTCGCAGGTTCTTCAACAATCGCATGAAGTCATCGACTTCATTTGTCTCCATCAATCGAATGCCCTTGCTCTCATAGAATTCACCCATGCGATTCAAGAACACTTTCACCAGTTGTTTCTCGGCGAGGCCCTCATTCGCGTTGATGCGCATGATGTACTGAGCCCATTTCCTTGCGAGGGTCATGAGGCTACTCTCACTATGATCGCCCTCCATTGTCACCTTCAAGAATAGCGAATATGCCATTTGTGGTGCTGTGATGTAATGCATTGGATCAACACCGAATGCATTCAGTGTGGTGTTTCGGAAATGCTCGAATGCATCAGCCATGAGAGTCACATCGAGTACATTGTACAATTTGTAGTATTCACCCCATGTCTTGATACCGAAGGTCTTCCACAGCTTCACCATGTGATCATACTCGTCTTGGGGCATCATCTCTCCCTTCATATCATCAATGCATTGCTCACGAGAAGGAATGACTGTATTGTTCAATGACTCGTACGACTTGATGAGACTGTAGAACATGGGTTCTTTCCGTGTCAACAGATCGATGTATTCATCACTCCATTGCTTGCCTCGAGACGGGCAGTACTTGCGTAGTTGTTGTTTGGTGTGCACATAGAGGTCCAAGTTGCCTCCAAGTGTCTGTGCCACAATGGAACGCAGTGGACTACTGATGAGCTTCAACGAGTCCTTGAATTGAATGCCATTGTATTCGATCTGCATTTCCTTGTCCTCAGTGGTTGGAATGACTTCGAGATTCCCGCCAGGCATCGTCGCGATGAGCTTCATGATGAATGTGAAGTCATAGTGCGATCCATTGTGGAAGTAAACTGGCAGACGATAGTTCTTCTTGTTGAATGAGAGCTGCAGGTTACACTTGTTGCAACAGGTGCAGATGTACTGCCCGGCTTCGAAGAAGCGCACTTCTTCATTCCCTGTGGTGTATTTACCTGCCACATGTACATGATGTCTAACCTTGTCATCATCCAGTTTCTTGTGGCAGAATGGACTCACGGTTGTTGAACGAAAGTCCTTCTAGACCTTCTATGTCTTCTCCAATGGCAATTCATCGAAGAGATACGTTTTCACACTCTCTTGCAATTGCACGAGATAGTCCATGAAAGGACGAAGGTCTTCTTCGCTCTCGTGCGGTGCATGGAAGATTCGTAGTTGCCAATCAATGGCTGGAATGCGTGACACGGCTAGACAGGACAACATGATTGGCTTGTGTCTGTTCTTGTCATCAATGGCTGACTCGAAGTCAGCGTACACGAAGACCGGTGCTGGCATTTCGAATCGCTGGTTGGTGAATCGTAACCGAGTTTCCTCGTTCGATAACTCGTACTGATCGCTCTCATTGACGAGTTCTCGATGTGCTTGTACTTCGTGAGCATGAACGGCTTTGCAAGATCCGAAGAAGTCGTCACAGAACCTGCACTTCACGTTTCTTGCTGTATTTCTATTCTTTGCATCACTCTGACGAAAGATGCGATGTTTGAAATCGCTCAAGTCCTTGATGTACAAGAAGTGCTTATAATTTGTTTTTTCCTTCCGTGTGTAATTCACGATACAAAGAGAGAGGGTGGCTCCTTTCCTTTTCGGCTTGTACACCTGATAGCATGTGAATAGGTCATACTTATCCTAGAGTTGTCATCGTATCCAGGTAACAGAGTGATTTCGAAGACATTGAAAGAGACTTTCAACAGTTCTTCCAATATCGTGAGTTTTCTTCACTTTGAACGAATGCCTTGTTATCACAAATGTCCATTGCTTCCTCCATCTCGTGAATTGTTACTCCGAACACCTTGTTCTTGTTGGGTTGTTTCCACCACTTGTTGTACACGGATGCATCGCCCATCTTGCGAATTGCGGCTATCTTGTGTCCGCCTTTACTGGCCAAAATGAGATACCGTTGCAGTCATCAGTTGTAATCGATATTCGGGTTGACAACTGTGCATCCAAGGGTCAAAGGTGTATGATGTTTGTAACCCACGAATGTGCGAAGAGGGAACATCTCGACATGGAAGCCGATCTAACCACGGTACACAAAACCACTTCCTTCCGTCTCTTGCTCTTCCACGGCATTTTTGTACCGTCTCAGATAATCCTCCAACCACTCGTCGATGCGATCCTTGTGAATGATGCGAAGGTGTCCCAATTGATCATCGGTAAGAGGAGTAAAATGCATTCCCAGGCATGTGTCCACATGAGGTTGTACGCCATGATGGTGATGAGACACTGTGGATAATCACATATGCCATTTAAGATGTACTTCTTCGCTACCTCATTGAACTGATCCATCTCGTTCATCATCAAGTTTATCGATTCCACTTCCTCTTCGCTCTTTCCATCTGGTAATCGAACCCATAGTTTCTTGTCATCATCGTTCTTTAGGCGAAAGTCCTTCTTGGTTTGTGTCTCATTCATCCATTCCTTGTACATGTTCCTATCAATGGTGTGATAATACATGAGTACACATTCAAGTGAGAAAACGATCACATCCGTTAAGCGTACTTCCGCGACTTTGCGATCGAACATAGCAAAGAAATTGTTGTGACGTGTTACTATTCGTCTCTTCACAGTGTTTATGAATTCAGGCAACGGTTGTTTTCGCTTACTACCGAATTCATGTCCATTCCACTCATACTCGAGATATCTCTCGTTCCATGCTTTGCTTCCAACAATCAGATTCTTGAACTCTCCTTTGGGATCACCAACTCATTTACGAGGAGTTACATGTTTTTGTTTCTTTGCTCCTGTCATTGACCTCGTATTCTGATCCCACACCCTAATTAACACTTACGCTGGTGATTCTGAAATGGTCTGATCGGTGACCTTCCCATCGATCAAGTAATACTTGGCTGCCAATCGTTTCCAGGTTTGAGTGCCAATCCTAATCTTTCGTCCAGTTTTGGGATTAATAGTATATTCTTCGCGATGAATACTTTTTAATATATAGGCAACCATATTGTTTAAGTCTAAAGTAAAAATTAGATGGCAAGTAGCTAGTAGGTACCAGACCTCAAATAAGATAATCGCATGTCCATCTGCGTCATATTCGAATTCATCGATGTCGATTAACTCAGAAGATGATGAGTCGTCTAAATCATTTTCCTGGTCGTCCACGAATATCTTCTTG